TTTCCATGTTGTAGTCAGGCATCTGTAAATACGGCTGAAGAAGTTCAACAGCTTCTTCGTTGATACTGTCTTTGGGGAAGTTCATCAGTGTTTGAAGGAAGCCACTTGAACTCATAAGCTATGATGGATCCAGTAAAAAAGAAAAAAAGGATAAGACCTATATGTATATAAAACAGAAAAAGGGGCTCCGAGTTTGAGAAGAGCATGTGCAAAGTTCAAAATTCGCTCATGAGAACAACTTCTATCAGACAACATACCTTGAGTGCTTCACTCCAGCAAGGCGTGACACAATTTCGTTCTGGATCGTACACCACTTGTGACAAGTTGCGTCTGAATAATAAGAGYACGCAGTCCATAATGCGCATGATCAAATGTGGAGGCTTTGCCAGTTTACGAACGGTGGAAATGTCTGATGCTTTGATAGTCTGGAAAAACAGAAAAGGTACATATATCATGTAATCAGAAACAATGAACATCCATTTTCCCTTTTCCTTTCCACTTTTGTACTCCCTTTTTTATTCACTATTTTCTTTTAATATAAATGGATTTTTGTTTATACTAAAGTGAATTTCGCCTCATAACGCGACATTCTTTATTACAAAACARAATAAATATCAAGTTAAAAMTCATCATTAGGATAAGGAAGGRTTTACCTGTAGTGCCATCTCTGCTTCCTCTAACGCTGGTTTAGCGGCTGACAGCTTACCTTCTGCTACRACTTTGTCAGCCTAAAACAAAAAATATATATACAAGGAYACGGGGAAAAAGAGGGGAGGGTTGTAGGCACTCCCAGCACTGTTCCCTTCTTTTCTTAGCCCCGCTAACAAATTGCATTTTCACGTCTTAACYGTACTATTTTACATTATATGTACTCACATTAATCTCATCTACGATTGCCTGCGCCTTATCTTTCACTTTTTGTACTGATGCTTTCACTTTCTCCGCAGCCTGAGCACTGACAGTGACCTCCGCCAACACCTACGATAAGAATGCAAATGATATAGAAACCTGACAAGAAACGTTAGATATAATAAGTTAAAATTGTCAGAGTTTTACCGTATTCTTTACTTTTACAATGTTACATTATRTTAGAATTTAACGCGWYGCAAATAAATAAAWTAATGGCTACCTTATCAGCTTTYACTGAAGCAATAGCCAATTCTTTTTCTTTGACTACRAGTTCCTTTGACAGTTCAGCTACAGATTCGCTGGCCTCTACTAATTTATCCAAGCCAGTCTTCATGCGGTCAGCTAGTTCTCCAATGTGGGCTTTATTTTCTTGGTAGATTGACTTGTAGCCATCGATAAATGATAAATACGACTTGGGTGTTACATGCGTTTGACGACGGAACCTACAAGGAGACAACTAAGTACTGCATAACCTTAAGGGGACAATTTCGCAAATCAAATTATCTCCATTGGTCCGATTTTCTTTGTTCCTGTTGCCTCAACACATATCTCGCAATGCCTGTTGTATGGATTGCTTAGATTTAGGATCACCTTTTTAAACAACTGCAAATAACTAAACCTTCGTAAAACTTAATCCATGTTCGATAAAATATAGTTTGCCCTCTAATTCCAAATTTTCTGCCACAAACTTTGATACTCTACATGTGGATTTGAGGTTTTAATCCCGCAGAGAAAACCAGTGTTGAAGTCTGTTTTAAAGTATTCGGACGCGTGTGTATGGGCAAACATTCCTCGATAACACAAGTCTGGATCTCGGGCAAATTGAAGGCAGAAAGAAATCGCAGTTCAGACACCAAGAAAATTAAAAAATAGCCACGATTTCGTCAGTTACCTCTCAAAATAATCGGTGCAAGTCTCAGCAACAATGTCATGAAACACACCCATACTTTGTACCACGTTACGCTTGGTCTCGGCAGTGCAGACGATATCAAACTTGGACAAGAAGTAATCTGCCACAGCAATCAGAGCGTCTTTTGGCCAACGCGTGAACCAATCCATCGTGCAGCCRCTTATAAGACCAGGGAACTTCAGGGAACGRTTACGGAACTTCTCACCCACCTATAAAATACAMTTATTGTGAGTCGAGATTATGTCATGATAACTAGTTTGTTTGTTAAAAGTTCTGCTGTTGACGTCAAAGTTGTCAGTCTACACACAATTAAAGACAATTTACCGGGGAAAAACACAAGACAACGTGTAGGTTTTTGCGAGCTCTTGATATAAAGTAGGCGTAGAGATTATCTTGCGTCGGAGGCACTCGAGGAAGCTCTTTCTTCATCACAGAGATAAGATTCTGAGTTATTTCATCGAGCTCGTCACGTGCAAACAAGTTGGACACCTAAAACAAACCGCAATTGAAAATATTAGTGAAGCTTTACATCTTTATCACTTATTGAAGTAGTTCTCTGTGACACACGGACAAACGAAAAAAAAAACCCGCATTAACCTCTCCCGATGAAAGCACGTTGTTCAGGTATTCCAAGAAGGCCTCGTCCTTAATCTCATTGTCAGTAAAAATAAAGGTTATTCCTTGACCATCACAGCCAGCTACACGGTAAAGGTTCTTCAGGTCATCCATGAGGTTCGACACATTGTAGGTTCTGGTCAACGCAAAATACACAATGAATTTTGAATATATATAATCATGTATCATATTACGGTCAATGTACGGTACGTTTACGACCGGATCGTTTAATATGTAAACAGTTAGTCGATCCTGTGCGCTATGATCGCTTTCACACGAAAACCGCTCTACTGTCTTCAAATTGGACAAGTGAACTGTAAGATAAATCCATCTATGATCGATAATGAACACCAAGAAACCTCTTACCTTGACAGAGTTATCTGGAACATTTTGTAGCCAGCAATGAATGACGCAAGTCTCGTGAGCGATTGTTTACCGGATCCACCAACACCCACAAGAAGGGCGTTGCCACATGGTGTGCGAATAATACGCGATATCTGTATAGAGAAAAGAGCGATATCCAAATCCAGAAATCGAATATTCTTAATAATACTATAATAGTGTATCGTATAAGTATGCCATCAGTCCTGGAACTAACTAGTTTACATATGACGAGACTTGATAAGCAGACAATAACATACCTTTACCAAGTGTACCATTGCATCTTTGAAAAACACCAAGTCCAGATGCCCACCTCGAACTGTCTCGTTATACATCTGCATATACGTGCTAAGCTTTTCGTTTAAGAAATCAAAACTTGGAACCTATATGATGAAAGCGTTTATTAATATTAGCAACACGTATGAATGCGAATCAACCTATTAATCATAGCAAGCCTCAGTATCGTCGTTACTTTTGGATGTGATCAATAAGATGTTATTACGCGGCTCTCRATGGGCAAGTTCCAATAGGTAAAGCTATCTCATCTCCTCTATTCACCCACCAGTTCGTAGATCTTTGGTGCATCGAGGTCAGCGTCTTCGGGCTCTTCACCAGTTGGTTCTGGAGCATCTCTAATAAAAAAAAGAAAAGGATGAAAAATAAGTGAGGACTAAATATAAACAAAACTTTCTTCATTCGCGTTCGAGATTTGATTAATAAGGAGAAAACATCACCTTAAAAAGTCAACAAAATAAGGCTCTTCTATCAGATCGTCAAGTGCATCATCTCCGAGACACTCCTGGAGTGTCTTTTGAATCGCCTTTTCAAACCACGCCCTATCAGCCTCATTCGTAAAACGATCGGCAATCACGCGGGTACATTCGTGCTTCCATAAGCCTAAGACGAGTCTACGGCTATCCACCTCCTCGCCAGTTACATTCAACATTCCTTCCCAAATACGTGACAAGTCACGCAAATTGAAGATGTAATGGAACTTGGCAGGGGTTGGGAGCATTTTGATCTACAAGATAAGAAATATTATAACAGGTAATACGAGTTACTGAAATGTTTATAGGTAAAAATGTGTTACCTTGGTTTTCTGCCACAGCAGTCTTGTGCAGTTGACAAGCTCTGAGACAGTGTCACACACTCCTTGGCCAAAACGTTCAGGGCAGAAATAGCCACAACCAATTACACCTTAGAAACAAGATTGGACAAAAGAATTAGTATAAGCCTTTTGAACAATAAATGCAAGYAGTGGAAGTCAAGCATCAGGCTATTAATAAGAGTTTTCCATTTTTTACGAAAAGGGCATACATTTGATCAAATTATGTAACTTAATGCACCGTCCGTATAACTAAGTCCCTTTTCAAAGGGTATTTTCGTGAAAACTAAGATTACAACCAGTCATATGACTCACCAAAGATTTTGTCAATAGATGCATTAGAAGGTAAAGTACAGTTGAAGATAGAAAACTGTCTCTTCAAGCGTTCAGGGATGTCGTTACGACCACCGCCCGGATGAATCATAGCAGCAATGAACTGAATGTCTACAATGTGTGTGAATTCGCCTGGTTTTTCGAGATTGTAGAAGCCTTTCATTTCCATCAGCTGTCGAACTATCTCATTTGTTACCTTGAAATAATGCAACATATAAGATATCTCTTCAGTGACGTAAACGGAAAAAAATTAAAATCCGTAGAACAGAAAACAAACAAAGAAAACAGAACAAGAACAGATACAAAAAAGACGAGTGAAATACGATAAATCTTTGTTTAAGAAGAAAGACATATGATATTGTGTAAAAAAGATAAGTTTAACACCGTAAAAAAGTATGGGAAATAACTTACTGACGTTTCGGATGTTAATCCTTCGTCGGAGTAAAGAGGAAGGATTAACATCCGAAACGTCAGTAAGTTATTTCCCATACTTTTTTACGGTGTTAAACTTATCTTTTTTATACAACTGTTTCTTTAGAAACACCGACGCAGCTCACACTAGTTTACCGCTAGTTCCCACCATATGATATTGTGGTCGAGTTATGACAAAAAAAAAAAGACTTCTTTTAGATCTTTGTTCCCAGACAAGATCAGAATGCAATGGAGCACAATACTTCACAAATATGGAAAAACACAGCAGGAATGAGGTTGGTAGCTAAGATGCTGACCTGATCGCCCCATTCATTGATAATTGGCATATTGATGTCATCTACAAATGTAGTCATTTTACGTCCAGCTGGTGGCCCGTACGTTGTACCAACACGTTTGTCTACAAGACTTTCGATTGTGCGCTGAAACAAAAAGCACATAGTATTGGAATTCTTTTGAATAGTTTTAAATAGAAACAACGATACAACAGAAATATTTACCTGGAAAAGCAAAGGCGTTGTAGCTGAAGAAAAGTTGAAACTCTTTGCTACATGCTGTTCRGGGTTATACTTAGCCATATAACCCTTGATCATAACTGTCTTGGCCGTACCTTGTTCACCAATAAGCAGTACAGCCTAAATAAGCAGACTTAGTTATTTCCTTTATAAAAACCAAAAGATGGCAAATCACGACAAAAAGGTTAAGAGAACGTAGCTGTAATGTAAATAATAACTGGCTTAATAGTCTACTCAAACCTTGCTTTGTTTGGCAATGGTATCAATAAGCACACTTGTCCTRACATTGTCAACGTTTGGTACAAGGATTGAAGAGTATTCAGGCTTTGAGTCAGATGGATATATGTACTCCTGTACTCGATTATCCCAGTGTTCCCAGTGTCCTGTGAAACAAGTCAACAAAGATGAGTTGAAGAACGGAATGTCAATTGGATCGACAACAGGATAGAAGTGCAATGAAACGAAGTAGCAAACAAGGTATAATTTGAGGCGTACGTATCGAAATAAGAAACAGCAAAGCATAAATAAGTTCAGGGTATTTTATTGTTGGTAAATAAGTGATTATGACAAATACAAACCGTTGTCATCAACAACAAACTCAAAGATGGTATTCTTGCTATCTTGCCCAAGGTCAGGCAGATCCAGTTTCCCAYGCTKTATAAGGAAGTCTTGCATCTTYGCACGATCTTCCAGTTCTAGTAGCGCACCGACTCCCCACATCAAGGCAAAYACGAACAGTTTAGACARGTGAGCAGCAGCTAAGACGCCATGTTCCTCCTTAGATGGTATCAATCCCTCCAGAAGATCAATGCACTTGAAATAAGAAATATTGAAACAAAGTAAATGAAAGCATATAACCATGAAGCTTTCAGTGAAACAATGCATCATAAAAACACGATCACATCATGAAAACACAATCCAAACTCTGTTCGAGTATKTACAGGTGCTTGGGTAACTAATCCAACAAAATGTAAGGTTGAAGATTATCGCTGAAATTTATTAGAAATTATAAGATRTTCTATGCACTTTCCGTGACTGGTGTCTTCTACTTGTTTTCTCCTCAAATAAATATTCATAATTGAGTGCAATCGTGTACCTGCTTAATGATGTTACAGTTTAGAATGTCCATTTTCATGTGGAGATTCTGAGTGACATATGTAACCAACTCGTCAAACACTGACTCAAACAGCTGCTCAAACACGTCGTGCTCTTGAGGTTCTCGAGAATTCAGCCACGCCTGCATAGCATAAAACGTACTCACAATGAATCTACATTTACGCTGTGGAAGCTCGAGACTTCTTCATGTTGTTCTAAACAAAAAGACACATTAAAATTGACTTTAAATCACCTTGAGTATCGGTTGCCATTCCATCACAGATGAGCTCATAAACACCATTCCATTTCTTGATACAGTAGCCGGTGATGCGTTGTCAATGTTATGAGGTTCGAAGACTATTTTACACTGTGGTGACATTGGGATGCGATCACCGTTGGCCAACGTTAATGTCTTGTTGTCGTCTAATACACTGTTGAGATTTTCGATCCATATGGCATCGACAGGACCGTCCAAGACAATCCAGATGTTTTCTCCTGTAGTGAAAAGAAAATGCTAGCTAAGATTTGTTTTGATTATTACAAGCTTTTGTGTCGTCGCGAATCATAACTTCGAATCAGACTTTCACTTGGATTTGAGGTTACCGAAGGCACAGTTCGTCGGTGGGCTCAACGTACCTTTCTTGGCTTTAAGAGTCTTTCTCCAAAGTGTAGAAAATATTCCATCCGTCCAATCATTAGTTGAAACGTCTAGTCTCCCGAACATTTGAGGGGCTGTAATAGCCTTAGGGTTCATCCTCATTTCTCGATGAGGCTGACCACAATCTCCCATGGCTTTCATGAGGGTATTGATACATGTAGTTTTGCCTGCACCACTAGGTCCCAGGGCCATCATGCCATGACGAACACGCTGGGTTTCATACAGCTAAGAGATACATAATTAAGTAATTCTTAAACTGTCTAAAGTATCCAGCCCCACCTATAAGTATATTTAGCATGAAGTACCTGTATAATTTTGAGGACCCATGGGGGATGGAAGATAAGTCCTGCGTCCTCGGTGTTTTTCTGAATAAAAGCTTCAAGTTCAGGGTAACCAGCCTTGTCCAGGACAATTCCAGGAAACAAGTCATTAATGAGACTAAGAAACAGAGGTTCGTCCTCGTCGACCTAAATATGGTTAAAAAGAGAGAGCAGTGTCAATAGCAGTAGGTTAGTTAACACTGAAATACAATTAAAATGTTTCAATGCGTTTTAAACAAATAGCTGGTCATAAATAGTAATTATGATGCCAGATGTCTTCGTCTAAAAGAACGTTATTGAATTAACTCAAACCTAAATATCTGACCTGGATAATAATAATAAAAAACATGACACTTTTAGAGCATGAGGTACTGGCTGTCCATGACCATTAGTCAGTATGAGTCAAGTATGCGATGTTCTTACCAATTTCGATAGGTTCATATCCCTTAGGACTCTCATGACAGTGGTCGATTCGCTGTCTTGTGGATTTGCTCGTTTAGCAGCTCCCAGAGTACGGAGCACAGACAAGATGTTACGCAAGCCAAAATCATAATGTACCTTGGAAAAAGAAGACAAAAGTGGTACACCATGAAGTTAATCACTTCCTCACTGATTGAAATAATCTTTGTTTTTCAGTCTATGAATTCCTTCTAGCTGACTAACCTGTTTGCTGAGCTGTTCTTCACAGAGTTTGTACAGAGTGTAGAACTTCTGAGCCAAGATGACATTCTCAATGAAACCACAACTTGCAAGTTTTACACGCATGATGATCTGAAGTTTATAAAGTAATACGGGGTTTGGAATAAGAGCTAGATGTCGGTGAGGGTAAACATTCAATTAAACTGTACAAAACCTGTCTATCAGGAACCATCATAGCTACAGTACGGAACTGAATCTTAAGGTTTTCTGGGAGTTCTTGGCGGCCAGCATATCCAGGATTCTAACAAAATGTGAAAAGAAGTCATTATAAAAATGCGATAGCAGGCAATACAAGAAAGATAGCAGGCAATACATGAAAGCGAAAAAAACAAAACAATAACAGTAGAACAAATAATGAAGAAAACGAAGCAAGCCAGTAAGCAAACGAATGGAAAAAAATATGTAAAAAAATCAGCGAACAAACACAAATGCAAAAAAAAAAACAAAAAAAAAACACCAGTTTACCATCGTTAAAAAGATTCCGAATTCTGGATTTAAGTCGACGACATCGCCATCACTGAAGATAAACTGTTTCTTTCTGTCCTTCTTGGCAGTGAGTACGATGTAGATTTGTTGTGCAGCAACAGACAATACAGGCAACTCAATACGATTGAATTCATCAAAACAGCCCCAACTACCAGACTGTGCAAGACCTAAACAAGAAATACTATAGCTAAACCTAGATAARTGTTTGTTTCTATGAAATACATCACATGCAGTCTGACTCAAATATGCGGCGTCATAAGCTTTCACTACAACTGATCTGTTATTTCATACTAAGTGCGTCGTTTTCATGTGCATGAGTACGCTTCTTTCAGCTGTAAGTGTATTTCTAATAATTTTAGGAAAAACAAATAAAGGGGTTTTCATAAATCCGTGAAACAAAATTGTAATAGTCAAAATGCAATAATGTATGACAAAACGAAAAGAAATATTAATAAAGAAATAGTGCGCTAAAGTGTACTTCAGGTGTTTACGAAAACCACTGTAAATCACCTAAACTGATGTCCTATCAGGTGCGTCCGACAATTAATACCAACCTTTGTATATCCGACCAAGTCCACGGAAGTCCATTTGATCTGAGCAGTTAAACACCACTACGTACTTCCCTAGAGCTTTACCCATATCCTTAGTTGTTTCTATGAAAAAAAAATTGCACAATATCAATACCACATGTAGGTAATCCCTCAAATATAGATATCTGAGGGCTTCTTAGAAATAAGTAAGAGATATACCGTAACCTCAGTTATAGTGGTAACGGAAGGATTCTATAAGAGAGTGGCATACCATAGTTAGCATGGGCATACAAAATATAAAAAAGATCGTGGACAGAGTTGTCCATAGTGGAATACTCAACAAAACTATCTACCTGTTTTTCCTGTTCCTGCCGGACCAGCGGGTGCACCTCCCATGGACATGCCCAAAGCCTGTGCAAGGGTGATGTAACAACGATCTGTTAGTGGTGTAATGACAAGCCTATCAGTACAGCCAAGGAACTCGTTCTGGTAGCTGAAGTCCACGTCGGTTATCGACACAATACAATCGTCAATGTCTTCTTTGAAATAGAAACGAGACTGTTTCAACCACTCAAAGTCCGTCACTGATCGAATATGCATTTTGACCTATATTGTCAAGACAAGTAAAACAAGAACGTCAGTATCATGAGTAGAATCGTTATATAAAGTAAATAGTGTAAAATAACTTCAAGCTAAAACATGGTATATAACATTGAATCAGAAAATTGTTCACTTACAAGATCATCAAATATATCTCTCTGATGTACATGGATGGTAACAAGCGTCTCAAATTTCGTTCTCTCCATCTTGGTGAGTTCTTGAGTAGTAACATCAATTAGAGCGTTTAGCATGTTTAAGAACTTTTGATTAGTGGTCGACATGACTTTCTTGTCGTGGCGAGCGTGTTTAAGAGCCTCCTCGGCATCTCTTGTCCAAATCATTTGAATACCTAACAACCCAACCTGTTTAATGAGAAATAAAGGCGTCAGTTTTTCCCCTCTTCTACTCTTGCTGGCCTTTCTCTTGATAGCATGTATTTCTACTTCTGATTTTATCTCTTTCAATATCACTGYAACGCCACACCCTACTACTAAATCTACTTTTTACAAAACAGTTTACAAACTCGTTTAATACCGCCAAACCCAGCAACATACTCTCATGAAAATATCAAGTGCAACAGAAGTTTCAATTTTCCCTCATACATGACAGGAAGCTGAAAAGGGKACGCGTTCCACGTCCTATTTACAAATCCTCCCCAATAATTTTCCAAATTCCATAATATGGCTTCCAGCRTGAACAAATGATGTTATTWTCTGTGATTTGTATCCAAACAAAAAGAAATATAAAATRCACACCTGTGCAGGATACTGATTCATAAATGCCATCAACGCAAACGAACTATCGTTTATAGCATGATACGCGTCTCTGATAACTCCATGTAACGATGACATAGCCATGTTYAATAGATCGCCCAGCCATACTTCTACATTCCCTTTGGCCATCACAGGACTTTCGAGCTGAAAAAGACAATCGCTCTAGGTTAGAGGACAGACAGAGAAATAGAAATATAGAAGTTTTAGGAATACCTGAACGGTTTCTCCTTCTGAGGAAATAATTGCTAGTATTCTGTCGTAATCCTTATCGTGAAATTCCACGTTCTTAACATTGTCGAAAACATTGAGCAAGTGAGCCTATGGATTAAAAGTGATAAGATTTAAGATATTAGCATAAGACATAGGCATAAGAACTAAATCTATCTCTWTCATCATTCATACCTGAATGGTATGTGAATCGCTCGCTTGTCCAAGAATCTCCAGCAATGCTGGATCAGATACAAAGAAAAATCGAGGGAAAACGAGCCTTTTCTTCTCCAAATATCTGAAAAGTAAAAAGAATGAAGACAATGGTACAAGATAAGATATTCCACGGTTTTCCAATGCATTGTGGGATCAGTTTCTCGAGAGGATATGGAATCTAACAATGTATTTCGTATGCGGTATATGAGGTAAAAGCTTCAGAGAACAATTACTAATATCTTTTCAGTCTAAAATATCATTGGTTACCCGGTAAGCGATTTCTGACATAGTTCTAACTGCTCCAGTAAATGTGGCAATAACTGTCCCATGGTTTCATCTCCAACACAGCATTGTACAACATTCGTAGTTTCATGAGCGCGAGTCATTATCTTCACCCATGATTTGTCTATGCTTGCAAAACGTTTGGCTTCCTAAAAAATCAAGACAAAACAATTATACTCATAACTTGTTGACGCTCTTGCTGTATATTAAGTAGCACGTGCATTTTGTTTTTTGTTGCATAAATCAACATTTCTTTCTGCATAGATTTATTAGTTGAAGTTGCAAATTATTCCAACAAACCTTTGGCAGCTGCTTAGCAATATCACCACCAACAAATACGGCCTCTAAATAAACCCACAGATTCTGAACTACCATCCAATTCTCAATTATATCTGACGTATTAGATAGTTTCTGTACCCAAAGTTGGATGTTCTTCTTAAAAGGAGCATTGTACCTTTGAACAACATGAAAACTCCATGTGAGTGATGGTATGAATTGCAGTAAATTGAACTGATACAAGTGAATAAATAACCGTTGTTGCATGTTCAAAATTAGTAATTGAAAAATCCGACAGTGGGATTCGAACTCATGAGGCCCAGTATGCACACTGGTGAGAGAACTTTCAAGCCAAGCCACGTTGGAAGGCGATTAAAATACGAATAAATTAACAGTCACCTGTTGCTCAGTAACGAGCTAAGCACCATCAAGCTATCTTCTAACAGCGAAACAATCTCTGAGGTTTCCGCGCCTTTAAGGAGAAGCTCGCCACGGTTTTTGAACGAAGCGAAAGAAAATTCTTGCGAGCTCCATTCTGCTATGACTTGGTTTAACTTTGCTTCAATGTCTTTCTCTTTGACCGCGGAAATACAAATATCCTGAAAAAAGTTTGATGTGAAAATTAATTTAGAGTAGAAAAGGGCGCAAAGCAAAATGAAATAAAAAAAAACAATGGTTGCGATTAATATGAGATTATAAGATTTTGTTTATTCACAGCATGAAAACAAACCTCAATGTCCTCCTTATTCTTCAGAAGTGGTGCCTCCATGATATTGCGCAGCTGGAAGTTCTCATTTTCCACATCAAACTTGTGTCCAGTTAAGTTTGCGATCCTTTCCCAGTGACGTTCTTTCATGGCTTTGTTGGCCATTAATTCTAACAATGGACAGCACTCACTAAAATCGTCAATGGTTTTCTTCAATTCCAGGAAGGCGTCCCATTCTTTTAAAGCTTTTGGAAGCTTGCGGCATCTAACAAATAACGCATATGTTGACGAACTGAGTATATAGTCTATACAGCCTTTTGCAAAAATTATGAGAATTGTTGAAATATCTAAATATCATAATATCGAGTGCATGATGGGTAATCCCGTGCGATGCCCTTAGTCCCTTGTCTTTGTAGTTTAGTTTTTTTTTGGGCGATTGACTTATCCGTAGTTCTGACCATTTTCTCGATGTCAACAATGAATTATTCTAGCAAACCCGCGTGTTCCAGACAATATATGGATATGGATATTATGATATTTAGATATTTAGACAATTCTCATAATTTTTGCAAAGGGCTGTATACACATTAATATATTATATTGTCTTACAAAATTAAGAGGAAAATAAACGCAAAAAGATAGATAAATATATACGCAAATAACCACAGCAACCGAACAATGAGCTGCCAAATTACAAAGAATTAAGTAATGCCCTGAGTAAGAACTAGGGAAGCAAACGGCACAGGAATGCAAGGTGCTAATTGCGCATTGTATAATCCATCCATCCCATTGGTTAAAACATGAAAATCTGCTATAATTTCACAAGTTAGCGAATTTTCTAACATTTTATTTGATGTCTGCTTTCACTTTCATGGAAGCTTTCTTTAGCTTTAATATTAAGGCAATTCTACGTGGGGAACATAGCAAATTAGAAGCATCTTTTGGCTATTGTTTTGAGTGCTTATGATTGGATAAGAGCTTTTAACACAAAAGAAACTTGGTTTCAAAATAGAGTTTATCCACATTTTATTTCAAAAATGTGTTACCCACAGATGGATACATAATCAGTGTGAAAACGAAGACATTCGTACATGGGGAACTTGCTATGCCGCAGAACAATAGAGAGTTCCCTAGTTCTTTAGCGCATTGTTACTTAAGAAACAATTTGGAACCAGTCGCCATAATTCTATATGTATACCTGTTCTGGAAGTCTAATAGTTCACCGTTGATTTTTTCAATGTCCACTTCAGTCCACAGGATATCGTAGTAACCACTGACTCCATCAATAACAGAGTTGTAAAGCCCATAAAGTTTTTGTAGCAGGCCTAACTCTTTCTTGATGCGCACAATATCTGGGTACTCCGTGACTTCTAAGCCAAATAGCTGCTCACCGCCAGAGTACGTAACGAATTTGCGCCACAAATCATCAAAACGGCTCTGTGTTGGACACCACAGCACATCAATAACAAACCAGCACGAAGTCAACATTTTTTATTATCGCACATTTTATCAACACTTCATACGGTTGTCGGACTCAAAAAGGWCATATCATCGGAGGTAAGTAAGACCAAAGAGGGTTTTGGTTACTCTCATAGAAGGGGCCATGATCATATTCAGTGCAGATATTGTTAAGCACACAATGTATATCATACTCATGTATCGGCTTTAATGATACAATCTTTTCAAAACCGACAACGTATTTTTTGTCTTGACAGACGAGAAAACAAAAGGCTATTAAGCTTATATCTCAACTGCAAGGAAACTAAGTTTGAATCTTCTCTCAAATTGCATAATCAGTAAATGCAAGCGAATATAAAATACAGTCTTTACCTGAAATACACTCAGTCTATCACTGGCCTCTTGAGGGGGGATCCCAGCGGACATCGGACCTGCCTGTTGATAATAACATGACATAATAGGGTTGAGTACGTAGATAGGAAATTCTTCCAGGAAGTCAAACAAGAATACGGCAATTTACCTCAAGGTAATCATCAGTAAAAGTATGAACATTCTTCTGATAAACTTCCACGCTATCAAGCAAATCTGCCTTAAACTGAGGCTGGATTTTAACCAGGTGGCTTTGGACGTCTCTCTAAGAATATCAGACAAAAAAGGTAAAACACTTGTATGAGCCTTCGAGTAATTATTGTTGTTGTTGTCATTTATCCTTACCGCTTGCGATAGAAGTTTTCCAAAGGAATAACGAAGGGTGTCTACTCTTTCAACTTCTTCTCGTGCGACTGCAACTTCAAACTTATTGAGCATGGAGTATGCTTCCTTTAAAAAAGACAAATCAAGAGATTCAAGTGGGATTTATTGATTCGAAAGTCTTTGAGGTGATCACCGATAACGTTTGATGCCATATGTGCAGTCGTTATGCTTGAAGCGTGTATGTCATTACTCGGGCTTCTTTTCTTTTAGTTCTTTGCATTTTTGTTTTTACAACTGATGCAGGTTGGAGAAATAACGCGCCCTCATTGGCTCTGCAATCCAGATTGTGATTTCGTTGCCAAAGCGAAATATTGCGCGACTATCATATTTCCCAACCTACAAGTTTATTATTGTTGCGCACACAAGCAAAGTGAGACATAATATAGAGATATTCCCTCATACGTATTGTAGTAAATACCTCTATCGGTCCTAGTGTCATGTCAATTCGTATTTCATTCTGTCGAATCTCCTCTAGAGCAGCCATGGAACTTCTGACATCCTCCAAGTCATTAATGGGCCTGCTAAGTCTCTTTCCAAAGTCAGACACAAATTGTGTAATCTCATCCATACACAGACGATATTTGTTATTGATACTATGACCGAACAACAGCTTCCAGGCTTTTATTTCTACAGACAGGGCGATCTTGAAAGCCTCTGTAAATTTATATCAGACAAATATTTATATTCCTTTTTGGGGATTCATTAGAAGGAATATTATGTCCTGACAATAGCAGTACCTGAGTATAGTTCAATTGCACCATGACCAACACGAAATGTTGCAGGGATGTTAAGGATTTCTTGTTCTAAACACTGATATCTTAATATCTCGCTTTTGAATTCTGATAATAAAGGATCTGTGGCTGCAAATTCCTGAAAAAAAGTATATCATTAAAATCAATCAATCAATTAATCAAGAAATGGTCCGGGGTGAAAGCAAAAACATTATCATTGACAATCGATGAAAGGAAAGAAAGCTTAATAATAGTCCACCTTTATCTTACATATATATCAGTAACTATGAATGGTTTCTTATTATTAGCGTTTACCTTGACAACAACCTCTTTATTGCCATCCCATATGTGCTGGAATTGATTGAATTGATCCAAGCATTTGAAGACCTCAGTCTTTGTAGAGCTGATAGACGATGTTATGACCATCAACAGTTTGGTAACATCCTTGTGCTCTGACACGCTTTTATAGTGATTTTTTAGTTTAATTGATGGGATTTCTTCCTCTGCATAGAAAAATAGGCGTTGATGATACAACTACGTTCTACGGCGGCAGAAAGCATTACATGTAGTGTTCCAACTTACTTGACTCAGTAGCTCGTTCTGTTTTCCTGATTTGATGTTTAATCTCAGTTTTCGACTTGAGCTCAAAATGCTCGAACCTCTTCTGACCCCACTGAGCCACTGATCGGCTAACTTCTAGCACGCTTTGCGCAGCTTTATTGAGAGTTTGTTGTACGTCATCTAACGATGGATGGATTATCTAGGTAATATCATTACCAAGATGAATCTACATCTACATCTACGTTTATTACTCTCAAAAAGGGGGACCGTCACTATGAGAATGTGAATGTGAATGAACGAAGTTGGAGTTGCATGAAAAAATGGAGTGAAGAATGAAGAATTTATGATAGAAGAGAAATGTGAAGAAGAATAAATAAAGGAAGTGTAGATTTGGCATGGGAAAAGCCGGTAATATGAACCTGTATTCAATATTTTTGAATGTAAAACCATCTTTCCCTAATTATCATATATACTTCATAATCAGTGACAGCATGCCGGTCAGAAAACCTACCACTTGAGGTATTGCTAACGTGATTTCTGCCTTGAAAAAAGGTCCTTTGATATAACTTGTGGGAATATTTCCAGAACTGCCAAAAAACGCGCCTTTGGAGAATGTCCTTGTGGAACTAAAAGAATCGCATGATTCACATATAGATATAACAATGAATTATGAAAGCATGATACAGCATTAACTTAAAGTTTCTGAAAAGCTTGAAATTACTTATAATATAATACGGAATGAGCTTGGAGTCGACTGTAATATGTAAAAAAGTTATTGAATGGGTTGTTAAGCGTAAACTTAACTACTTTTTCACGTACATAATCACTGTAACTTGGAGCGGTTACCAAAATATTTAAGTGCAGAATCAATAAGAAAAAGGGATTCGGCCACAATCTATACCTTGTACAAAATACGCGTCGTTTGATCCCATCCAAGGCATTTCTCGTAGCTTTCAACAAAGCTTCAAAAGTCTTATGATTAAAGTGCATGATCAGTTCTTCAATTTCTTCCTCTAATGTTTTCTCGTCGGTTGGTTTGACGGCCTTCTCTTTGGGTGCTTCTTTGTCTTTTTCATCTCGACTGTCAGATTTCTTCTCTTTTTCTTTGTCTACAGGTTTAGGCTTGGCACCGAGTTCGGTGATCCCAATCTCTGCGAGTGACTCCTTGAAGATGTCTACAATTTCATGAGCAGCGTCTTCTACGCGTAAACTTAGTTTGTCTAAAACGTTACCCATGCTTGCACAGATTTTCTGTGAAAGTCATAAGAAAGAGACTTGGAATAACACTAGCTATATTTTACAATTCTCGTCACAAAGCACTCGTAAAATAATTCTCTGATAATTGAAACTTGAATGATAGTTACCTGAGTCTTTGCTAGGAAATTATCTGTTGTCCACGGCTCGTCTACTGGAAGTTCGCACAGAGTTGTTTCACTCATTTCCGTTAAAACAGAATCTATTCTTGCTTCACGAATATCGTTGACCTTAATAATATAAGCAGTTTCTATATGTGTTTTACAGGCAATGACCTCTGTAAATTAACCTAATTAACCCTTTGTTCGTAAAAAAATGCTCGACGTTAAATCACTTCAAATCAAAACTCTTCCCTGTCAAGTTTCTAAGAAGTTTAAATAAGGCATGCTTCTCAAACTTTTAAACTACTAGAAGTGCTTTCCTTAGGAAAGAAACAGCAAAGCATTTAGTTGAAAAACCGAATCCTTGGAAGAGAAAATGGTATTTACAAATATCATTGCTGCTTTTATAGCATTATGACAAATTTACTTACTTGTTTGACTAGTAAATCCACTTGTCGAAGTCTTGAATATACATTTTTGATGAACGTTTTGATATTCAGAGAATTCCAATTCAGCATAATTACTCCGGGACTGATGGCTGCCTCCACCTGTACAATGAAACAGTTTATGATTTCGCGTTTTCCCATTACTTCAAGAGGATTCTTATAGGCCAAATACTTGCAGCAAACAGTCATGATACATGAACCAACAGTATATGGTGAGAAAGAGAACACTCATTGTAACGATTGTAACATTTCTACCGTACAACGCCCTTACCTTTTCAATGTGTGGTGCCATGAGTGGCTGGAAGATATTGGGAATTTTGTTTTTAACTTTTTGTACATCTTCGAGCATCATCTGAAAAACAAAAAATAATACTATGTACTAACTACAACAAAAAATAATACTATGTACTAACTACAACAAAAAATAATACTATGTACTAACTACAACAAAAAATAATACTATGTACTAACTACAACAAAAAATAATACTATGTACTAACTACAACAAAACAATACGCAGAATTGATATTTCTGTCGTAGGGTGACACTCATGACGAGAAGATCAGAAAGAATACTGGACAGAAATAATACTAGACACTTCTTACAAGTACTTCATATTTCATATACAATATATGTATACCTTAAGATCGTCTGCTATATTTTTCAATGTACTTCTGTTCATGAAGAGTAGCTTGGCGCTTTCAGGAATTTCAAGGTCCATCTTCATCATGCATTCGGTCTCTCGCATTAGTTTAACTAGTTGAGGATCAAAGTTGACCAGCAACTGTCCAGTTTCTGGATYACGTACTAGCAACGAAGCTTGCAAACCTACATGGAATATGAGTTAAACCTTGAGGAAACGACCAGGTGACCGTTAAATAGAGATTGCCCGATAAAAAAAGGTTTCACAGTATCTTATCCTATCATTTTAAGTTTAACGCTTACCACTCTTTGCAATCTCCACTTCTTTAGTCCAAGCTTGATGGTATATCATCTCGAATTCCACTAGTATTGTTGCCATGCGGTTAAAGTTTTTAATGATGGCTCTGGCTTCTTTAGTTTTAAGACAAGAAGGGTGTGCCTCAAATACGTTCATAGGGTCCCTGATGTGCCTCATGAGCTGCCTTGACCAGCTGATGCTCCCTGCAATTTGCGGTAAATCTCGCGCAAGGGGTGGATTATTGCAGTTGGCTGCATAAATCTATTACAAAACAAGACAAATGCGTTTATTTTGTTCCTGTTTCATGTTTAGAAAATTTACTAATAATAAAGTAATGTGAACTAGGAGAATGGCAAACAACAATTAGGATTTACGTACCTTTCTAACGATTTCCAATTCTTTACCAAACATCAAAAGTAGACTACGGTACGTGTTTTCAATTGGAGTTTCAAGACCAGGAATTCCCAGTTTTTCAAACCTTTTACCAAAAAAATAATAAAACGAAATCGCATGAATAAATAACTGATAAATATCACACAATTTATTTGTGTGATATTATTATTTATTATTATTCTTTATTCTATAGACGCACCTTATAAGTAAATCCAGAGCATTGGACGTGGATTTGAACTTTGCAAACGACAGCTTCATAAACCTTTGCAGATGGTTCTAAATGGTGATTATATGAATGAGGTAGTATGAGTTGAAGGCCGAAATCAGAATAATGACGTTATTAGGCTAGACCATCATTAGTAAGTACCGAATACGCTAATTCACGCTTGCTATTCATGATACCTCAAGTTCTGACATCTGGCGTTTAAACTCCGCAAAGTCAACAGTAAAATCTGGGCGTCTGTGGTCCAATGGGTCGTAAGGCTTCTTTTTTAAGGCTGAATAAATATGGTTAAACTTTGAAGCCATCGCCTCTATCCCTTCGATTTTAGACTTGGACAGCACAGAGAACGTTTCCAGAGCGTTCAAGACTTCGATTATCTTCAAACAAAAAAGGTATTCGTCACGAATGATCATGGTCTCTTCCTACAATTTCACTTAGAAAGGAACGTTGGAAAAATTGCTGTCCATCATAAGGTCTGAAACCACAGCAGGCAGGCAGGCGTGGCATGGTGTCTATATAAACTATTCAAACATTTCATACTAGAGTTCAAACATTACTTAAACGTGCGGAGTTACCTTTAGTATTCGTCTGCAAAAGGCGTCAAATTTCCCAAATATGGACATCTCCGAGAACTCGAATGGTTTTTGACTTGGATCTTGAGCAATCTTGAGTTTAGTCTTCTGGAAGCAAGTCTGGTATGCTTCGTTCAGTCTGAGGCACACTTTGAGTTTTTCTATCAGAGGCTGACGAGGCTGATCCCAAACACGAGTTAGCCCTATTTCAGTGACGTAGTTCTTACAGGCCCGTACCATCTGGTTGGTGACCTTCAAGAAAATATCAAGCATTTATTGATAATCCATCAGGTGGTAGACAATCCGGGACTTCGATTTGTGTCAAGTGCACTGACTAATAAGTACTTCAAAGTTTTCCATTTTGCAATGTTGCAATAGTAGGTGTGTTTTCTAGGTCGTTTTAGCATGAATACATATTTAAATTTGAAATGTTTATTAAAAGTTGAGTTTAGCGCGCTTGAAATCGCTCAGCTCTGCCTCGGTCTAGATCACTTATCTTGCGCAGACTCCGTGACATTTCGTCAAGTTTTTGTCGGCATTGAACAGTAAATTTAATGATGAGGTTAAATTGAGGCTTTCAATATGAAGGTTCAATAAATGAATCGAGAATTAGATTAATATTAGCTGCTTGAAGCCGTGCCATTCTTCAAAAAACTCGCTTCCCGGGTACCTCACCTTGATGAAGAGCGCTGTCATACGTTGTGGAGTATTATAGTATCTTGATATTGCATGAATCATCTGAATGGAGTTTATAAGGACGGCAATGCACTCTATCATCCCTGACTAAACATGATAAATAATGAGTGAATTATAAGTGTGTCAAAATAAAACAAATAAACTTTAAAGTGAATTTGTCCCAATTCTTCCTTCTGTCTACACCGCTATTATTTTTAAATAAAACGTCCAATCTCTCTAACATTAAAAACGTTAAGCGTTACCTAGCCTGTGCTGCTTACCGGATTGGCTCGGTACAACGGTTCACAAGCCTTCTCTAACGTATATAAGAATTTGACGTTGTCTTTTGCTTCGTTGGCAGCATCTGTTATACGGCTGTCCAAGTCCCTCCATGTCTACAGAACCAAAAACAACACGATGAAATAATGGAAAAAAAGTTCCCGTTAACAAAGTATAAACTTACTTTTAAACACTTGGACTTTGCAAGCTGCAATGTTTTAATGACAGCTCTTCCTTCGCGACTTTTGATCTGCTCCACTAAAGAATTAAATCTAGCCATCCGCAGTTTCCAGTGTTCAAGTTCCGCCATTGGGCCAGTATCGTCAGCTTCGCGTCGCATTTGTTCACTTTCCGCCAGAACCTGTTCTATTTGTTTACACCATGATTCAACCAGTTCTTCCAGCTTGGCAACCATTTCTTGATTAGCAGCGATTTCTTGTAAGGCTGCATGAGTGGTACATTCAAATAAGTCTGGAACATCACAGTGTTGGAGCTCGACTGTCATTTCAGCACTTGCAGTTGCACCTAAAATATGACACACATAGAATATAACCAGCTTCAATATAAAATACAGGATGTTGATGGTGAGAAAATTATTGCTTAATCTTTGTTTTGTTTGTGCCTTCACTTCATGGACACACCCAAGTGGGGTGGTCCCCCTTACCCACTCTTACTTTGGGGAGGGAGGAAAGGAAGGGAGGGGGATGAGTGTGAGGGGGAAGAATAGCAATATGATGTGCAGCTTTGTGATAACCAAACGTTCACATGTACCCCTTCCCTTATTACAATCCTTGATCTACCTCTGCTACACGTACATGTGCAGTAGATGCATGTCAGCATTGACCTCCATTGCAGACATCTACATGTATTTAGTTCTCCCAACGATTTCTAGAAGCAGTTGGGTGAATTACATAAGCCATCTGCAGCTGAGGTTATGTAAGCACACTGTTGTATACTGGCAGACATAAATTTATACTCTTTATCCAGTGAATGCCTTTTTTTATTATATTCTTGCTCTCTAATCCATTCTAATGCACCCAGCAGATGCAAAAGTAATGGGAAAAAATGCACTTACTGTCTGTGAATTGAACAAAAGAATCCAGGGAATCAAGGAATTCATCTCTAGTCTTTTCCCCTTGAGGAGTTTCACTTAAGTCTCCCCATCTTTCCATAGCTTGGATGGCAGGTACATAAATCGTGCTCAAGTGTTTTTTGATGGTCTGCATCAATCCTTTCTGAGTTAGATCGATCATTCCAAAAGATAGATCCTTGAAAATGTTTTTTCAGAATTAGTAATCCAGCACTTCACATACTTTACAATTAAATTTTCATCTTACAACAGTTATTAAAGAAAGAGAATGATTGGGATAACATAACACTTACCTCACTTATAGTTCTTATTTTGACTTCTTTTTTGTTATCACTGCGGGTACAATAGACCATGATTCCTGTAAGACCTTCTTCGTGACCATCTGTTAAATGAAGGGTGTATGCCTTCGATGTCTTTGGAGTTTGAAGTATTGCACGGGCACGTATCTCTACAAAAAGTGGAAATTGTGTATCCAAGTCATTACAATAGTATTGTAGATACTCATCAGTGTGTTGACTGAAGTTTTAAGTTAGAATTTTGCTGACTACAGTATTGTTTTATATAGTTTCATTGATTATTTGATATTTGTATTGCAGTATCACATACGTTACTTACCAGAGGACTCATCATAACATTCTTGGAAGTAAAACATCAGCGACCTTCTTCCACCAGGTGTAAAAATGCTATCAAATAATTCCATGGACTAAAAGGATCAAACATAACATATATTTAATAGTTAATAAAAAGATCATTGATTCAAATTACTTATCTAAATAGGGATTGCAGAACCATATAATTTACATTCCAAAGTACCATCTTGAACACTTGGTGGGAACTATCAGTAAACTAGTGTCAGCTGCATTGGTGTTTTTAAAGATACAGTTGTGTAAAAAGATAAATTTAACACCGTAAAAAGTAGATGAAATAACTTACTAACATTTCAGACATTAATCCTTCGTCAGAGTAAACCTACTTTTTTACGGTGTTAAATTTATCTTTTTACACAACTGTATCTTGAAAACTTGCTGAGCCTTTAAAACAGAGGTTGGGTTATCCTTTCAAGAAGGAATTAGCACTAGAAACTGTAAAATGGTGTATTTCTTCTTTGCTCACTTTTCCATACCATCCCATCGAAAATTACATTTTCGATACTGCAAAAGACCAACATCTGAACTGGGCCTTAGTGACAAATATTTACTCATGAATATTTTTGACTATTATTTTGCTTACATGTTCTGTATCAATGATAAATTCTTCCATGGAGCTCGGCTCTATCCCATCCAAAAAGAAGCTGACCATATTCATGACAAACTTATGCTCTTCTTTGATGCGTTTTCTTCTTGCTTCACGGTTTTCTCTAATTCTTTGCTGCATCAAAGCAAAATGATTATGTCTTTAACATAATTTCTGAGGGAGGACTGAGGGAGGACTGAGGGAGAATAAAGGTGGACTGTCCTGTTTGACTTTCTGGTAAACCAGAGCTCTGGGTAAACTGGGATTTTTACTTCACATTATTAATTCAAACTGGAAACTTGCAAGCTGCAGTACATCACCAGTCAGAGTACGCAATTTTAGATAAAATGCTAGATGAGATTCCAGTGTTAATACCTGTCTTTCTTTCACCGTTTCTCCAGTTAGAGGATGGGCCATGTGTGAAGCAACACTCTTTCTTCTCCTGTTCTTGTCTTGAAAGTGACTGTGGCCATCATCCGGTAGACTAGAATTGCGTTTACTTCCTTCGGCCATGGCGATCCTGTATGGAGAATGCAGGGAATAAATAACCGAATCTTTCGCTTTTAAGTAAAATAGCTAAGGGTGCAAAGGTAAAACAACAACAACAACAACTCTGCTCATCCTTCATTTAGGAGGTCCATGTACGTAACAGAATGTCATTCGCTACAACGCCACTCAAAAGAACGAATTTACATGCAAAAGAACACTTTGGTAGTCACTTACCTTTTATAATCGTAAAAAACGATAAAATTTGTATTTATTTATTGAATAATCGGGGAATATTTAATTACATTTTTCCCCGATAATGGCAAAATTTTGCAAACGCAGAACCCCGGCGCGAGTCATAAGTGAAAATTACGCGCCATCATGTACTAACCAATCAGAGCTAGCATCGTTATTTGATTGACGGCTTCTTAACAAATCACAACAAGGAAGCCAAGTTTATGCTCCTCCTAGAAACTGGTCAGCTGACTTACCCATTAGATTATAGGAAAACATTTTCCAACATTTGAACTTCTGCAAGATTTTACTACAGACACTTGATGAATTCTTTTGGATTGTTCGTATCGTTTCGCCACAGAAAATATCAGAGAAATTCCGGCGTATCATTTTCAATACTGGGTACAACGCAAGTCCCATATTGCAGCGCGTCTCATCTGCAGAATGGATCAAGGTCACTGGTTCGATAAATTCTTCTTTCTGTGAGTAAATTGTTCACAGGAGTGATGACAGATATTATCATGGAAAAAAGGCTCACTACATTAAAAATTCCCAAAGACATACTCTATGCAAAGTCATCAGAGGGCAATGTTTTTGTGCACCCGTTGTGCAACGACTGGGGTGTGCAACCCACGTGCATATTGTCCCAGGATCCACCTCAGAATTAGATGGCAAATACTAAATCTACACAATTTAGAACTTTGATCAGGTAAATATATATACCTATATCAACAGAATCAAGGAATGATCATCAGTTCAAAACAGTGTGATTTTCACAATCTAGCAACACAATTAACAGGAATAGACTTCTGAACCTTTTACGTCACTACTTGATTTTCAATGCATTGTGGGATCAGTTTCTAGAGAAAACAAAAGAAGTACGCCATGTTCTGTCCCAAACATGTCCTACAATGCATTGCGTATACGGTACATGATGTAAAAGCTTCAGAGGTCTATTATGACTTCTAGACAAAGCTCACTTAGCAGACTTAGCAGATTATTTCCTTTGAATTAAGCATGTATTATGATTAGGGAAAAAAATGGGTGGTTTGAAATGCATGCACGGACTCAATTGACTGATGGCTGATTGGCCAAGGGCAGTAGTCTGTTTGTATTCAATTATTTTAGTTATTTTCTTTTTTCCCCTAGTGACAAAGTCTTTGTTTACCCTCACCTAATGGAGAATGGAAAAGGGGAATGTGAAAAGTGAACTTTATTTCTTACTTGAGCAGGTAGGTGATTGAGAACTATAAGAATTTCTCTCCTCTATATGGCCCTCTTATGTTTTGGTATGTTTTTGCAATTGTTGTAATGTTTTGTTGTTCAGTTGTTGTTATAGATTCTTGACAGATTTAGTCATTAGACTATACAGTCAGTGCTATTAAAACCCCTGTATTCGTAAAAACCTGTCTGATTGACCTGCACAAACAGGCTTCCTTTTCGAGAAGCCCAAATATAACGCTATATATGACGCTAAGTGTCATACACAGAATGGACTTGATAACAAATCTTTGTATATTAATTAAATCACATGAAGGTCCCTATATAGGTAAGGAAATGAGGAAATTCCTCTTCTTATGCAGAAGGCAAAGAAAACCCACCACCCCCTGATTTATATCTAACCAAAGAAAAGAGCTTCTGTTGCTACATAGTTAATATTAATTATGATGACACAGAACGTCTTCAGTCCATGCATGTGCAAATATAGTGTAAGTAACAATCCACACACAACGAGTTTCATAAAAACAGCATTTTTACAGCCTTTGCGAAAGTAGCACCACAGATTCACGTCGCATATAAAAATTTTCTCGTCTATTGAAAACCATGGTGTCGTTACCATATCATGATGTAGCGAGGCGCTCAAATGCTCTGCTTTCCTAGTCGTCATAGTTCCTATCATTCATTATTTTACAAGGACGGCGTTTGTTTTATAAGCTTGTAGTATACGTGTCTGGATCTTGCAATAGTTCAGAAACGGATCTTCCTTTATGGACCCCCAAAGTTGAGTCTTTGTTCTCAACATTGTCACTATGTGCTAAACTAGAGTTTCTTTGCTGTGTATTGCCCTGAATGGAATCGCCATCATTAATCTTGATTTCGACTCTAAAACGTGGAGGGGTCGGCAAGGGTTGATTGTATCCTATACTATGAGGCACTGACGTCACATGGGAGAATTCCAGTCTATTTGAATCGTTATCTGCAATAGAAAACCGCACTGGAGTAGATGAACTCCTTGGGCGATTGTCAAAAACTAAAGGCGATAGTTGCGTTTTCTTTAATGATATTAACGGGGAAGGTTTCACAGCCCCAACAAGATCTGGCGTGGAGGATGATTTGAGCTGGTTGACTCTATCCTTTCTTAGTAAGACATCTGAAAGTTTTCTGTCTCCAAGAAAAGTAAGGGTAGAAGAACATCTTGACCTCGTTGTGTCTGCTCTGGGCTTAGCAATATTGTTCAATCGGCCAATTCTTTTAAAACAGGACGTCCATATCTGCCGACAATCTTTATTCATGAATAACAGGAAGAAGAACATCATACACAAAAAACCAGGAGAAACTATCATGGCTGCGTACAAAGGTGTCATGAGGTCAGGCTCCTGGCAATGCCTTGTATGCTGTAAAACAAAAAATAATTAGTCATCATCGATATTCAATAACGTTTCTCGTACGTCATTTGTTCTCGCACATAGAAAACCATTTGTCTCTAATGTTGGCAGTACTACGACAAAAGATATCTCATTGCATGTGTCAGTTTTGCTTATTCAACCAACATACATGGCCTTCGTTCTTTCATCTTTTCGTATTGAGTTTCAAGGGAGTGGTTTAAAACAAGCAAATAGTTTCAGTAGCAATTTTTGCGGTACGGTTGTTGCGCTCTTCAAATCCCGCATATCGACAACCGTGCACTGGAAAAACCGCACTGTATCAATGGGTAAAGTTGCCTTGAGAAGTCCATAAAAAAACTGAAGAAATGACAGATACCTTCAGACACGTGAAGTAGTTTTGAGCCAATCCAATCAGTTTGTGAAGCTGATAGTCTTTAATGGTTTTCACAGATAACATAACACCAACAACCAGGAGTATCACGACTGTCATTACCATGAACTGACGCTCAATACGCAGCATTGCTTGGGTGTCTTTATCAGCTCGAATTGCATGCCTTGTGTTGTCCTTTCGTGACTAAAAATGGACAATTACAACGACCATGTATTATTAATAAACCTTTGGAATAGTTTAGTTGACTTAAACCAAATATTTGGTATTCATACACGTTGAATGTCTCTATAGACACCCTTCATCCCTTCTGATGAAACCTCCCCAACTGGACTAAAGTGTTTCATAAACTTATGAACGTCAGTTTGTTACAGAAACGGAAAGAAAGAAGTCTTCAATATGTGGTCAAACAACTCTAAGAGAATCATTTGAGCGCTTATTATTTCGATTAGATTATGTATTTCTATAACTCTGATCTAGAGCGAATTTCGTATGAGTGGGAAACGGACGGTACTGTACTGTGACCGTAATCGTACTGTAACCAAATTCTAGTGCCCCATTGGTTCACCAAAATTGTGCAGGCCAGGTGCGGTAACTGTGCGGTAACCATGCGGTAACGGTGTCCCACTCATACGAAATCCGCTCTATTACTAAATGCAAGGACAGTTCAATTTAAAAATTTTATGCTCACCCTTCGTATGCACCAAGTGATTGACCATAAGAGGCATAGGGATACCCCTAAGGTAAGCTGCATTGGTAAAGTCACAGCAAGGTACTTCAGCAATTCACCACATGGAGCAGCGGTCATAAAGTCCACAAATGCTATCTTATAAGCTGGTGCCGGGTACTTGACATAGATACAGCCGGCCACAATGATCGCAGGCACTACCCAGCATGCAATTGACTGGCAGAAGTGGATGAGTACCGATGACTCAAACAGTTTCCTGGTTCCCTTGACAATCACTAGATATGTGTTCAGTATGAAGCACGTGGACCAAAAACTAAGGCAAAGCGTGAAATAGTGGCATGATGCACCTGAAAGAGGCGAAAGTTTAAATATTATTTTTTACTATGAAATATCTTGATTATTATATTCTGCTTAAAGTGGTACCTTGTATCGAGATTAGAAGAGATCGCATGCCTGCAGGACTCCAGCGATCCGTTTCACTACAAAATGATTTTTTCAGTCCAGCACGAAGTGGAATCATCTTGCAGCAAGCTGGAAACAATAAACAATATGTGTCAAGTAAAAATAAACATAAAAACAAAATTGACCAGTATAAAAATTGCATACTTACAGAGTATGATACAAGTAATGATGATATAAAACCGAATCACGTGGGGAAATGTACGCCTGAGAAAGAATGAAAGAACAGATATTATATGTATCCATTTAACATTGAAACCATGAAACAAAGGGAAAAGTGTTTTACACTAATACCAATACTAATGCCAAACGGACACGTGAACAGAGAAGTGGCGAACATGGATTTGAATACTAGAGAGAGAGAGAGGAAGGGAGGGAGGGAGGTAGAGAAAGAGATGCTCAATGGATATATTTTCGTTTCGCACACAAAGGAAAGAAAATATACTTACAGTGATTCGATCTTTGCCCAGGTAATAAGAATAAAGATTGTAGCAAACAATGGCAGCCATAGGCCGACCGCCATTAGTGCGTAGTAAACAGAATGTGTTCGACTTGACATAGTTGTCCACTCACAAGGTGCAAAACACTCCTTTGTGACGTTATCGTAAACAAGAGGGGTGTTACATCGTTGGACCGCTGTATACGAAATATACAGTAATTTTAATCAAAATTAGCTAGACGGTATACACCTGTTAAGCTAGGCGACACACCCTGATAAACTCATTTATCCCCTCAAGGCCGATTTACACCATGGTATGGCTGTCGTGTACGACTTGTGTTATTATACCACTCAAAAAATCTCCAAGTCAAGTCGTGTAAATGTCTCTATTGCTTGAGGTCGCTAGTTATACAATCATAAACAGGGAGATAGGGTGTTGTCTGTGGATAAACTTGAGAGTATATACCTCTAGACGAATTGACTTTGCTGTTATTCAAGGCAAACGCATGCCCCAAACCTGGTCGCCTTGTTGAGTATGGTGTTATTCTGAAAATACAAACAAATAAAGTTAATAGCTTGAATCCTACAACACAGGCACCTTCCCAGGGAAATCCTGATCAGTATTTCTCAGTTTATATCGGTCTAATCGCGTCCTTTCTAGGTGAGCCTTGGAGGGGACTGAGAACGAGAAAATGAAAAGGAAAAGAACAGTCATCGTAAAGCATAACGACGAGGGAGTCGCTTCATCATAATAGATTTAATCTTTTTTAATATTCTATTGCAAACGACCGCACGCCAGCAAATCAAACTGAGCGCGGACTCTAGCTGAAAAACAATAGCAAGTTTTTTATGGGTCTTTTATGATTTACAACACATCCGTGCCTTTTTCCTACTATTTCAATTCATGTGCCACAAATGTTTGATTGTTAGATTCATCACATTATGTTTATCTTGTTTTTAACCCACATAGTTCCTCTTATCAGTCATTACACTATAAATACACCATTACTTTTGCTAATTGATTTATTTTGTGTGTGCATAAAGTCGTCGTCAAATTAGATCTTGGCGTGTCTTTGTTTATCTATCATATCCTTTGTTTGCAGACCGTTTTTGAACGGAAAGCTCATAATATTTTCCTTTGTTTCTTCTAATAAGGATTTCATTGAATTGAATCCAGTGTACTCATTTTTATTCCAATTTTATTTCCATTCAACATCCATTTACTTTCGTTCCCACTCAATACATCTGCACAAATTCAAGACCAGCTGAAGCGCTGAAGAGTTTGGGAAGAATTCAAGACAATAACCCCCTCACTGGTCAAGCGCTGTCATGAAATGCTTCAGCTTTCGTAAATAAACGAGCCAGGGTTCTGTGATATCAACATTTATGTCATCTTTTGGGCCAAATAGTAGTTTAAGTAGAAAAAACATCGCGTTTCTAAACACACCGTATCAGCTATAAATAAATATAAGAGAATTGGAAAACATTTTTAAAGTTGAATACAACAGAAGTATGACAAACGTCTACTACGACTGACCCAGGCCTCAGATGAGCTCACATTATTTCACTTTCTGCTGCTGGTTTCAATATTGATTAAATTATATTCAGTTGCGGGTTATTATTATTTCTTTGTTTATTGTTTTCCTCTAGCTATATTATAACTTTTGAGGCGAATACACGGTCCTACAAACGCCAGATTTTGGTCGTAGCAAACCATGGGGTTCCGTCCCGTTATGTTGAATATTTTGATCCATTTGGAACCAAAGAATCGATCGCGAGACGTATTCTGCTTGCCAGTGTTAGTAAATTAAGAAAGTATCGATATCATTTCAGATTCTCATCTCAGTTATCTACTTTCGTCGTTGTCAGCTTAGTGGTCAAAACTGATTTAATGTCATTACACGAAAAATTATTGCTCAATTATAATTACACACAATATCATTATACTGTGTATTCAGAAACCGTTCACTGATACCTATTATTATTATTATAAAACATGGATTTATTAATCAATGTTTCAATGGACGATAATTAAGATAATCTATAAAGAAAATCCTATGTTTCTATTTAATATTTATCAATATATTTTGTGAGTAAAGGTTAAAGCCCTTATGTAATCGTTATCATTGTACATACACCTCTAAAAACATATAAAAAGAAAGATGTCACATCTTTGATTCAGCACTTACCCTGTGTGATGCTCTGGCTGATGAACGTGATAAACAAAAAATACTGTAGGTAACGAGGCAATGCAGATGAGTACAATGTGAACCAAGTAAAATACAACGCGATACATTGGTCGAGTCTTATTCTTGTAGCTTGATTTTGCAGGGGAAGATACTTCTTGGGTAGCCATTTGGAGGTCACTGCTCCTATCCTCTCTTGTTGCCATGATTTTTGTTCTGTATATAGTCTTGATTTAGCTTCCAAAGGAAGTTTATAAACATACCGTCGTAAGTAAACTGTACGTGTTGAAATATGAAACCTTCGTTTGAAGAATGGAAAGTGTTGATTGATATCGCTGGAATTCACTCGAATGTTTGCATGTTGTGCTTCGGTCATATCCGGTCCAAAACTTGTACCGGGTGGTGCTTTTTGCTTCGTGCATTAGAGTTTACTTTTATGGGACTTTGGTTAGTCAACATCTTATTCTAAGAAGGTACTCTTCAAGGTCTTGACTTGATACGCCGAAGCTGCTGAAGGCCATTCTAACCGCGTTGAGAGTAGGTCGTGATCYCAGTAAAAACATGTTTTYGTATGACTTGTGTTAAGGTTTATGGTATTCAGATAAAGACAGATAAATCCATGAGTCAACACGGTAATCCTGGTCAAGGTCACTTATAAAGGACCTTAAATAACTTTAAAATAACTTTTCTTCGCCAATTTCCTATTATCCTATGACGTAGTTTGGTTTGTGCGGTGACATCATCGCACTTTCAAACACTTTCGCTTTAGTTTCACCAAGCCATACTAACTATGACCAAGCCCATGAAAAAGAGCGCGCTTTATACTGATTAAAGAGAAGTAATGCTCTTAAAAAAGCATGCTCTTAAAAAAGTTCGGCGCAAAATACTATCTAGCATGTATATTTGCATTTTTTACATATCTACGCCTTTTCCTGACATGTCCTTGATTGACAGGATCAGTTTGACAGCAAAGCTAATACATGTATATGTACGTCACTTCTTTCACGTTTATAAAACCATCGTCGGACGCCTAGTTTCCGAGGATGGTCAACCTGAAGAAGCATTTCCTTCTTTACTTGCAGCAACCCTATGCTGTGAGTCAACTCTTCATTACGTCGTATAACAAAGGCCCCCGTGCAACAACTCTTATAACTCCTCGCCGCTAAAGAATGATCCAAGGGTTTGAAACGCAATCAAATGTTGAGATAAGATAAGTCTCCGAATGTGGTAAAAAATCTGGAAGAACAAATTGCATAGTCTGATCAGGGATTAAACGTGAAATTATTAATTAATTGATTAATATCAATCAATTCGGGAACACGAGTGCTTCCCAAGAGCTCCAAATGTCCGATATCAGAGGACAGAGACACGGGCAGCCGTGTTATAACCTTCATGTTGACGCGATTCTGTCTCTGCTGTCTAGTAGTGTTTGTTTCAGGGGCGTGCGTATTTAGAAGGAGATCACGTGGTGCTCGTGACATAGGACTATATGAGTATTAGAGTTTTCAATTTTTGGCATCATTTATTATCATGTCAAAAGACTTTCGCTGGAAGTCGTTGTCCTGAATTCTGATTACCTTCAACCGAATTGCCTTCAAAATGGCCGGCGGACATCACTAAGGACATGATCGGTTTTCCTGCAAAGATTACATTCGATTGCTCAGTGAAAAGAGTTTAATTTTGGGTAGTCATTTAGTCTTTTTAACCCTGAAAGGTATCAATTCAATGAATTCAGAATTTGGTGCCGATATGATCTGATCAGCAAACCACTCCATATTGACATTTAAGAATAATCCGTATTCCGATCCGTGGCTTTAGCGCTCCCATCCACAACGAAAGTCGCCGATTTTTTATTTATTATTATTTTTTTTTACGAATGATAAAATTAGTACCAAATGCCAATCCTTCTAACTACAGTGAACACCTTCACTAAATTTTTTCTAGTTTTCAGTGACATCTTAATTTTCCTTGTACGCATCTAATCCGCACGAGTTAAATCTTTTAAAGTGCCTATGACGGCTGACAAAAAAATTTCTGATTCTCTGTGAGCTGATTCTGTATAAAATAAATAATTGAATGGTGAAATATTCCTGCATTTCAGTGTTGTGTCTTTGAGTTATGAAGGTTCAATCTCACAATATGTTAATGAAATGACGTCAAAGATAAGGCTTCATTATAGATATACGAACTTCGAAGGAGTCACTTAAAAATTGTTTCATGGCAATAAATTTACCGCATGCAATGTAGGGAATAACCATATTCCCAGATGGCGTTCATGAAAACATTTTTGAGCGACTGTTTCAAAGTTCGTATATCTAATGAAGCCTCCCTTGACGTCATTATCATTTGCGTCTTGGAAGATTAAACCTTCAAAAATTCAAAGACGCAACACTGAAATGCAGCCATATTTCACCATTCAATTATTTACTTTATATAGAATCAGCTCACAGACTAGAGAATCAGAAATTATTTTGTCAGGCGTCACTATAGGCACTTTAAGAGAGTCTTGTTTCAAGACTATCAAGTCAATTTCTTATCGAGTGATTACAAAAAGCCGGCAAAAGCTTATTTAAAAGCTTTAAAAGTCACTGTAATTACAAGTTATACCTAATGCCTGAATTTACAAAAAAATATACGCCTTTCAGTTGCTTTAGGAAGTATGCCCTTATTACCCATGATGCATTCGAAAGTAAAGATTGATCTATTAGCAAAATAGGATGTGAATGCGCATGTGCGGTTGGAATAACGATTTGATAAATTGTTTGTTGCCCTCCAGCAAAAACCGCTCTAAAATCCGTCTGCTCAGCCTGAACCTATTTTACCAGTCATTACTTATTAAAGTCTGTGATCATATCACGCTTTCGTCAAAATACACCACCTCCGCACATTTTTATATTATAGAATTTTTAAAACAATAAACTCTTTCTGACTAAAATTGATCACTTTAATTGTTAAACTTTACTTGTCCCGAAGCGCAAACATCGTTATTTCTGGTGTAAAAGTCATAATATCGTGCTGACTATCATACCAACTGATATATAATTAATTAAACAGGAATTTAGATTAGACAGAAAAGGCGCTTCGAGTTATACTAATAATCTAAGCAAAATTTGCACCTTTGATCTGGTCAGTTATTTCTTGTTCTCAGAGAGCGACATCGTTCTGTGTCTTGAGATGGCCTTTGTTCAAAAGAAAAACTGATATAACTTAAGGTAAGCCCAAATGTTTATTCAAGAACACAATAATGAGCTGCAAACTGATAGTTGAATTGAGACATATTTTCAAGTGTCCTAGGACTTTTAACGCTGTCAAGCTAACGATAGTTTGTTACATGAGTCACTTTTTCATATCATTTTCCAGTCAATTGTTCAAAATACGCCATTAAAACTTGTTCGTTTTTTTGAACTACTGTTAATCGACTTCTATACATTGTCCTAGTACTGCAGGTGTATATGTCAGAAACGGCGACTGCTGTATTATTTATTATTCATGGTCGTAATGATGAATGAGAGTCTTGAATAACTTGTATGGAAACCTTCTCAATAGGTTCATAGATTTTTCAACTAAAAATAGCTGTAAAAGTTAAGAGAATATTTGATGAAATATATAATGAAAACGTTATTCAAGCAAACAACGAAGCTGCCTTCATAAAAACTTGATAAATTCAACGCGAGAAAGTAATCGGCTGAAATCGTTTTTGAATTGATCTCTCATCATTTGCCACTCTTTTTTCTTTTGTGTACATCTAGAGTTTGTCCATCTTTTGGAGTATCGATAAACAGTCCTATGTTATGATATTTCTTTTCAATCAGACATTTGTTAAAAAAATAACTGCTATTGGAACCATCGGCATTATATTAATCTTGCATGATTTATCTTTCTGATATCATAGCCGAATTAGTTTAGCAACGTTTAAGCAATTTATTCAGTTTTATCAAGCTTTTGACATGCCTGAACGTCATTAATGTGCTCAGCCCTGCAGGTAATGAAGAATAAACAGTTGACAGATTAATTAACTCAGGAATATCATTATAGCATAGCAGTAGTACATCCCTGGCAATAAGCTACCGCCTTTCCAATTGCCATGGTAACGTTTCTACAGAGAAAGAACGGGTTAATAGAACAAGACAACCAAAATTTCATTTAGTGACAGATATTGTTAAAAAGTCAAGACCAGCAAAACAAACTCTGAAGTGATTCGAGAGTTCCAGATATTCATGTTCCAATTTTAGTACAATAATTTATTCTTTTCCATTATAAACCTTCTCACAGTTTCCTTTATTGGGACCAATTAATTTTTAGTCGCCTCAATGTCAAAAATATCATCATTATTCTCAGCGTCAAGATGTTCTGTCATCAAATGAGTTTCTTGTCGTGGAGTAGGTTCAGTGCTGGGGGCAGTAATTGCCAAGGGAGTACCTTCTTCAATCATGCGAAGTCCATTTGCATCGTTAGAGTCATTCGATCTTTTACTAGACGAACGAAAGTACTTTCCTGGTATTTCTGGAGGGTCACATGCGTCGCTTTCACTATATGCTCTCTTCTCGACCATGTGGCGTTTTCTTGCACCAATTCCTAGAATTCTATGGCCTAAGCTTCTCTTATGAACCACGAGTTGGTGCTTAAAATCCACTTGAATCTGCTGATCACGGGTATATGTACGAGGAGTTTGTACTGCTTTGTTATTCTCATCGCCAGAGCTCATCATATAAACATTACCATGACCTTGTAAAGAAGCAAGTGAGAAGGTCCTAGACTGCTCTGCTGCTCCTTGTAGTATATGCTGAAAGTTCATTTCACGAAATGTTCGCGCGTTGTTTAGCTCTGGTCTGAAGAAAATTACGTACACTTTAGGCGCGAAGATAAACAGCAGTAGAAGGAAGTTTGAAAATATTACTGCGCAGATGTGAATGACATGTTGTTTGACTCCTCGTTCAGTGCTTCCATAGTAGGCCGCCATTAAGGACAACCACACCATATCAAATGTAAACATGGCGAGTGACACAAACTTTGCATGGTTGTAGTTCTCTGGGAAATTCCTAGATTTGAACGCAAGTATTGTGCAGAGAACACTCAAGAGAATCAAAAAACCACTTGAAATTAGAAACCAGTAACTTGTGTTGTTGGTGCACCACAAATACCGCGATGGGTTCAGAGAGAGTGTTTTCGTGATCTTATCCAGGGGAGGTTGATCGTGAAACCAAGCCATGCAAATCGATACTTGTATTGCCGTGAGGACAGCCACAGTGATGAAATGAGCGCGACTTGAGCGCAAGCATCGAGCTTGATATAACTTGGTGCTGTATCGATTGTTTAAAATCAGAACAGTTCGATAAATTTTTGCTAATGTCAGCGATAGAATTAACGTGAAAATAATGGCAAATAAGAATGCAGATGCCTTACATAAAGAACTACTTGGTTTACTAAGTTGAATAATTGGAAGAAGAAATCCCATTGCAATGCTCACAAGAAGAGCTATTGTGATCTCAAAACAACTTGCTCGAACTACAGGGCTTTTCCGATGTCTTATAAACACTGCCAGGATAAAAACAGTCAAGAGGAATCCAAATATAGTTATTAGACCAAGCACTATAGCAGAAGGGTGTGTCCATGAAAAGTACTGCAATGGGACATAGACACATCGACTCTTGTTTTCATTAGCCGCGTAATCGTCGTCGCAAGCAACACAGCTTGTTGCCATACTGACATTGCTTATTTCGTTGTTCTGGCATGGCTTGCATTCCCAGCAGCATTGGATACTCTCCCTTATGACGAAATATCCTGCTGGACATACTTCACTACATTGAGATGCGGGTATGCGACCAAAACCGTTACCAAAATCGACTATGGAGTCGTTTAAGTCAAGTAGCATTGATTTGGAGTCATATTGTCCTATTTTCACGTAGTTCGGTTCTCCATTGTTATCTTGGATATTATAAAAGTCATACTGACATTCCGCAGGATCTCCATTTTCATCTATAGAAAAATTTCTGCTGAAACCTCTGATCGTTTTGTTGAAGAGATACCCCAACAAGACTTTTGGGTAAATTGTTTCAAGGCACTTTTGTTTCTTTTCTGTTGCCGTAGTATTTGATAGGAACTTCAAGTCGAGGCAAAACTCTCTAATCGCATGACTCAATAAATATACGCTGTTCATGACGTAATCAATCTGCGCAAACGCAGTCCTGAGTATTTTTTCAGATTGAGCGTCTTGTGACTGCAAGGCAGAATCAAGGCCTTCTGTTCTTAATACATCAGTCAAAACTTGAAGCCAGGAATTCTTATCTAAGATTTCTGTAGACTTTCTTAATTTGCCTCGTAAATATTCTCGAAATCCGTCAGCACGATGATAGCTGAACATGATACCAACGCTGCCTTTTAGAACTGACAGCCGTTGTTGAATAATCCTTTTGGCGTTTGACCATGAATCGCTGGCAATCCATATGCGGCTTGTCAAATTTTGTGCGTCTGCCACCTTAATAATCTCTTCAGCTTTCGTTTCAGTCGCAAATAACAAAATAACACTGGAGTTTTTAGTTTGCTTAATCTTTTCTAATTCATTCTGAATATCATCCGTGGGTGGCAAAGTGTTTGAAAACACCACATCATTGGATAAACAAATGTCAAGTCGTCGAGCTTCTTCCTTGAAGGCCTGGCGCAAGGCGCCAGAATAATGGTCATCAGTCGACACCATCGATATATAGTTCCATTTAAAATGGGCAATAAGTTGAGCTATTGCTTTCGCTTGAAGGCCGTCTGGAGGCAGCACCCTTAGGAAGGTTTTATATCGGCTTTTATCATTTAAGAAGGTTGCACTTGAAGCGTAAGCAACTTGAGGAATATCATAAAGGCTAAGAATATAATTCACAGCTAAACTCAATTCACTTTTTCCCGCTCCTATTACACCAAGTAGAGTTCGTCTTTTTTCTTGTGTAAATGTTCTGTTATCCTGATGAAACCATTGAGATTTTCGAAGAGATGCATATGTTAGCGCGCTGCTCAATGAAACACCTAAAGAGCTGCAGGTGTCACTGATGTTGTAGCCAAGAGATACATTAAAAGGAAGTATCGCTTGTTTATTCACAAGTTCAACAGCATAAACCATAGACTCTGCAAGAAATATTCCTTTTGTATATCGACGACACTGAGAGGTCGACAGCGGGTCGCACGAGCACGACTGGGGTTGTTGAAGATGCATTGGAAACAACCCTCCGATAGTAAGATCCCCTTCCAAAGTCAAACTGTATTGTGTTGTGGTTTTGATGAATCCAACTAGAACTACCATAGTGAGCAGCATTGTTTGGACCAAGATATGGATTCTACGTTACCAAATTAGACGTCAAAATATAGCTTTTCGGAGTATTTACCAGCAGACGATTCAGTCAGCACACAGCATCGGTGTTACAATACCAGTTAATCTTCCCTATAAATGATTATTTATTAACGTTGCATGTTAATCAGTCGCAGTAGGGAATGACATATATTAACAAACAGACTCGAATCACGTGTTTAGTACTAGATGTACTTAGTATACTTTTGTACCGATGATAAGTCAATATAGAATAGTCAAACAGGCATCTGTCTCCCATCTGACTAATACTAATACTAATAATAATATATCTTTCTAAATTAAGTCGTTTTATACTCTGTCTGCCTACATGAAAATCACACGAGTCGTGCGTCTTTATTTTATTGATTAATGAGTTGATAATGTGTATCGCCCAAAGGGCATATATATATAATTTTAATTAATCTTGCTCTCATTTAAAATTATTTTATGAAAAATTCCAATAGCCACACACGATGTATACTCTTCAAATAGAATTGACTTGGCTGGTCAAATATTTTTTACCAGCTGGTTGTGCCATTTTGCATAGCAACATCGTATTTTCTTCATATTGAATGGATTGATTCCTTTCCTATCTAAAGCTACAATTGTAGCTGATAAGATTATCAATCTAAGGTGCTTTATATTAATGACTAACATCGAACAGACCTCTGTCTATTTAAAAGTAATGAGGGCATTTTGTCGGAAAGTTTTCCGCAATTTTTCCCAGTCTTCCATTAGAATACTTCCATTGGCGGTATGCCCTTTAGGAATCTATTCTTTTGAGAAGATCGGAACAGTGATAATGGAATTCTCTCATTTGGTCTGCCTAGAAAAGCACCCTAAGACGTACAATATACTTATGATTAAGCCCAAATTACTATCTGTTGTTGTTGTGTATTCGAATCTATTCCTAATAGAGTTCTCCGGCCTTTCCAAAAAAAGTCATTAAGAAAACGTACGTCTTTAGGCATAAATCGGAATTTATTCAACCGACGTACCGCTTGTCAGATATTTTCCGCAAAAAAGACAGAATCAGTGTTTTGTTTGCCTTCAGTTGTAACTTTACATATTGACTGAATAAATTCAAGAGATTATCTGTCTTTATCCCCTAGGAAGCAGTAGTATGGTTCTATAGTAATTTATTAAGTTCGATTATATTATAATTGCATTCTCCCTAATGCAGGTTTTCCCACATGTTTTCGCCCAGATAATTATCTGAAAGTAAAACTCCAAGCATGTATCATAGAATTGAAAGATACCTGTAGATTAGTTTAATTCGTAATTCCTTTTATTTTCCCTTGATAGTATAAACTCACTTTATATTATGGCCAGAAGCATTAGTAAATCCTCAGACACATGTTTGAATGTTCAGTGGATCCCAATGTCTTGGCATATATTTCTCCCTTTTAATTTTAATTTATTTAACTTGATTATTTTTTTAAACATATCTGAATTCTCAATATTGATTTCGAAATGAACTTCGTCCAGTATTTGCGTCCAAATTATTTATTTAAACAAGGAAAATTCATAACAGCATCTGGCTGGTTTTCAGGTATTATTACTTCACTTTACTTCGCATATACTTCATATTGAATCATATAATCACACCGCTCCAGTGATTGTTGTGGCCAATCATCTTAAAACAAATAATAGAGATAGTTTAAAGTCAAAACACTTGAAAATACTTTCTTTATCCTGATATAAACGCATAAACACCTCTTATTTTACTTATACATACAAATTGGGCACCAATAATATTATTGAAGAGTGATATTTTGTTGTTGTAATCCCAAGATAACTATTCTAACACTAAAGGATACTCTACATCAAGTAATGACTTAGCACTACCTCAACAAAGGACAGAATCCAAACAAACATCGAGGTTTCGCTTTATTTTAAAACATCGATGATTATAATTAGGTATAAGGAAACAGACTATTAAGATCAAATCGACCTTTTAAGATGCCGATTGGTCCTAACCATGATTGTAGAGATTTCAAAGTACTGAAAGTCGGCTCTCCGGAGTTAATTGAAGTATCAAGGTTAGGTTTGAGTGAAAATCCATCCAAATCAATTTGACACCTGCAGGGGAAGGCTGTAATGAAGCATGCCTACTGACGCATTGTAATGCGAAGAAATTCGAAACATCGTTTATTGGTTCAATCTCGTTTTTACAACTAAAAATAGTCGAAAATACGTCTTATCGAAAATATTCAAGATATGCCTATGCCAGAGAGCCAGTTTAATCGTTTGGGATGAGCGGTTTTTTGACCTCCCCCGGATTCGATCATTGAACAGATTAAATGGATTGAAAATCCACTGACATTGAGGCTCAAGATTGCTTTCACTAAGACTATGAATTATTAACCGCGAACATTTACTCCATAATTAATAACTGAGAAAGAAATATCGATATAAAAGGGGGGAAACGATCCAAACCGTTAATTGTGGTAAACAACAAAATTCGGTCACATCCGCACAGCTTCAGAAACAACTTAATATGAAATTCTTCACAAGATGAAACATGCGTTTCGATGAATAGATGTGAGTTCTCCAATCAAAATGTCACAGATCAAAGTCTGGTTTTATGTTTTGGTTTAACTAAGTAGCTGGATTGTCATCGACATTTCCGACGTGAACTAACTCAGAAAGTGACAGTAACTCTTAGGTCTCTTAGTTAGAAAGTCTGCCACCATAAGAGCTACAAAGGTGTTAATGAGAGACGCTCGTTTTACAAATTACAATTGGGGCATGAGTACTTTAGTCTGTCAGTCCTCGGAAATTTGCTAGCCAAGACGAGATAACAGAATATGTGTTAATTGACCATATTCACTATAATAAGCGATATCAGGATAGCCGTCTCGTTGAACTAGTCGATTTGTTTCGAGTTCATAAAAGGCATAATTATGAGAACGGTATGTATGTACACATTTGTGATTTCTATTTCTTTTTTAGCCGTAAATATAGTTTCCAGAGATGTTTTGTTTTGTCTGAATTGTTTGAATAAGTTCGGCACGGTTTTATCTTTGATTTATAATCTAACATATTATTATTTTTTTAGGTTGAATAGCAAGAAAAGCTGAGCCAACAAGATGATGAATAGCTTACACTTGTTAATAATTTTTTCACCTCTCGTCTTGGCGATAACATTTGCCTCTTCTGTAGACAAAAGACAGCTATTAGCATACAAGCCAGGACACGTAATCTTAGGCGGACTTTTTCCCGCGCATTATGGAAGACTGAAGTCTTGGCGGGAAAACTGTGCAGATATAGACATGAAAGGTATTGCTCTGATCGAGGCAATGATGTACGCTGTCAATAGGGTAAATTCTGATCATCTTCTCCCATGTAATCTGACACTTGGCTTTGACGTCAGAGACACCTGCGACAGTAAAAAGATTGCTTTAAAGCATACTTTAAGTTTTCTCTCTGGAGAATATTACTCGAGTATAAACGAGGATTTGTACAGTTGTGGCAGAGAAAAAAATTTCTTATGCGACGGGAGGCTTATATCCATAATTGGCGCAGGTAATACTGAACTCAGTGTTGCCGTTAACAAAATTTTAAGTGTTTTTGATATTCCTCAAGTGGGTTATGCATCAACTTCCGGAATCTTGAGTGATAAATCAAGATTCCCTTCTTTTTCCAGAACGGTGGTTATTGGCTCAAATAAGCCGAAAGTCATCGTGAAAATACTTTCTCATTTTGGATGGAAGCATATTGGACTACTTGTTAGTGATGACATACATTGGAAACCATTGGCATTAGAGTTTAAAAACCTTGCAAATTCACAAGAGATATGCATCAATATTGATGAATTCATATCCGACGACTCAAAGACGGTTGAAACTGTGGTAAACCAGATAAATTCGTCCAATGACACTCATGTTATTGTGCTCTTTGCGTCATTTTCCGATGCCACCAAAGTCTTTCAAAGAGCAAGTGATATCAATCTTAACGGAAAGCTATGGATTAGCACTGAAATGCTACCACCTGATATTGCAGCTGAGTATGGCAATACTCTGCAAGGAATGATAGCCATTGAGAGGGAGCCGGAGAGGATTGATGGATTTGCAAAGTATTTCACCACCCTGAATCCTACCAAAAACAAATGGAATCCCTGGTTTAAAATCTTGTGGGAAAAACTATTCAACTGTCGTTTCTCCAAATATGCCGAGAACGATAAAGGTGAATCACAAGACGACAAACCATCGTGTAGCGGAAAGGAAAACTTTAAATGGATCGGTCAAATCTTGTCGTTCTCTCACGCAATCCATGTGATAGACGCTGTGATGGCCGCTACTCATGTCATCAAGAATATCTGCCAAGACACTGTCGGCAATAATGCAACAAATGCAAGAGATCAATGTCTTGAAAAACTCACCAAAGATCGAATCTCAAAAGAAATGTTCAAGGGACCATTCGCCTTCCAGAGTTTGTTCAATAAAACAGTTTCTTTAGACAAGAATGGCAATGCTGTTGGATCGTATGTTATTTTCAATCTAAAGCAAGATTACAATGGCATTCACTTTCACAAAGCTGGAATGTACAAAAGTGACGAAGACGAATTAATCATCAACAAAAGTGTAATTTCTTGGCCCAGAGAATTCCAACCTGTTGAAATTTGCAGAACAATTTGTAGGCCAGGTTTTTACAAGGATTATGAAAGCTCAAAGTGCTGCTGGAAATGTAAAGCTTGTCCAATAGGAACTATAAGCAAGAGCATCAACACGAACAAGTGTGCTACCTGTCCAGAGGGCTCAATCTCTAACATGAAAAGAACATCTTGTACAAAACCAGTGCCAAAGTATTTCGACTGGGGAAGCAGCGGTAGTGTGACTTTGACTATCATATCGTTGACGTCGTTTTTGTTTTCTTTAATTGTCTTCTCTGTGCTGCTTAAGTTTAGAACTTCTCCTGTAGTTAGTGGATGGGGAAGTAGTGTGAACTTCTATCTCATTTGCAGTATTACCATCGGAGTACTCGTCCCATTTGCTTTCATCGGTTATCCAACGGAAGTCATGTGCAAACTTCAAGTAGTGACTGTGGCAACTTCACTAACACTTTCTCTTTCTTTGGTTTTGGTAAAAATAAGACAAATAACTTGCAAGAAAAAGAACATGGTTTCCAGATGGCGAGTACTGAGTTATGCTCAAAAGCAAACTATATACGCTTTGTTCTTTGTCATCTTACAGATATTGTTTTGCATTCTGTGGATAATAGTCAACCCACCTTATGTGAAAGTTGACAATAATGACCAAGGGAAAATCATACTATGTTCTAATCAAAACGCGTCTTGGTATGTTCTATCTTTCTCCTACATCATTGCAATATCTTTATATATTACCTTAAAATCATGTAAATCCAGAAATCGTTCCTTCAACTTCTCCGAAGCTAAGTATATCCTGTATGCCATGATCTTTATATACATTACATGGGGAGTGTACATAGCCACTTTCGTTGGAACTTCCACAGGATTTCTCCACATAACACTTCTTTGTTTGACTGCAATAGCTACTCAGATGCTGATTCTCGGTTTTATATTTTTACCCAAAATATTCATTCTATTGTTTAGACCAGAAATGGCAAAACTCTGCGAGTTTCAAATGGATGATACTTACGTGAAAGATCAAATAAGTTACGAAGCTTCCAATATGAGACACCCGCATCCAAATGGAATAGTAAGATCCAATTCGCCGAGCATAAGAGATGACAGTTCAATACGAGGAACACCCAGTCAAGTGAGTTTGGACATGAGTCCATCCAGTTATCCACAGGTGCGCACTCAGACGACCCCGCCCAAGAATCCCTCGTTAATGGAGAGAATACTTCAACAGCCTTGCTGTGCGGCGATTTTGCAAGACGATGAATCAAGCGTCGTTTCTGAGCAACAGCAGAAATATCACGTAAGCCCCTCGGTTCAGCGTCGACTACCACTAATCATGATAGATGAAGGGACGAGAAGCAACAGTCCAAGAAGTCAAATATCAGACCGCACATTTTCTCCTAATCCGGCCCGTAGAACACGTCCAAAAAGCATAGAGGATCATGAGCAAGAGTGTCTCAGCGCAACAATGGACGATACAGAAATATGGAGTAGGCGTCGTTCATCTTCTAATAGTCGTCCTAGTCAAGCACTTAATAACGAAGAGTATTGCTTGCGATTCGCCTTAAAAGGAAATATAATTGAGAATAAACATTTCAAGCAACATCATAATGCGGGCAATAATCTATTACGAGAAAGTAGGCTTTAAGAGTTTATTTCAACAATAGAGAAGTTAAAATCGAGGGCATTATGCTTTTATTGTTGTTCGCGGAAACTGCCGGATATTGCGAAAGACAAATATGGTCGTCCGAGAATTTACGAACATCCAATTTCCATGGGCATTAACTATCAGAGCATAATGCCCGAGATTGAAACTGTTTAATTTTTTTATAAAAAAAAACAAAATTTTTCTATCGCGTCACGTGGTCGACTCTAGACCAATGAGAGTGGAGGGAAATTTGTTGTATTAAAACTGTTTATAGAAGGAGACCTACGATTAGTCAACTTATTCATAATGTATATTGGGAGATTTTATTGGTTACCTTGAGGCAATACATATATCATAACCGTGGTAATATTGACAAGTTCAGAAAAACAAAATATTTGAATGGAATGTAAAAATATATATACAGGAAGTAGAGTGGCCATTTCGTCTCAAAAACTCTTCAAAAATGTCGCCTTTTACATATTATAAAAATCCAAAATCAGCTCAGAACACGACCTAGACGTTGACTATTTCTGTTTCATTATTATTTTAAAGGTTGGTTAAGAATTTTTTTAAAAATATGAAATTTATGGTTACGGAAAACATAAGTTCTCAAAATTTGAAAGTTTAGAACCACAAGTACGCGCATGCGTATTTGCGCACCAGATGCTACGTCACTGATCAGTATACGTCTATTTCAAGAGAAATTGGTGAATGGCAGTTGTCGAACAGGGATTGCTAATTGATGGGGAAAATAACACTGGTTTATACTGTAAGATAGTCTGTGGTAAAGATTGGCTTTGTTTAGTCTCCATTTTTACGCAAGGTGAAATCAATAAGGGAAATTAACCATAGTTCATTTCGGTCATGCAATCGCCATTCGCTGTTCTCCTCAACACCGTTTTTTGAAATAGCCGTATGTGACCGTTTCCAAATGTCCGTAAGTGAGCTGACTAATTTTATTTCAATACCTTTCTTGGTAAATTGTACTTCTTCATTTATGTGAATAACAAAACCTAACTTCAAAAGGGTGTTATTTGTATGATTTATAAGCTGTTAGTATCGAAAAGAGTAGGAAATAAGTTATAAACCAGAGATACCTTGGTACAACATTACAAAACTGAGATTATTTGTAGCGAGATAAACAAGCAAATCAGTAAAATTATTAATTATCTGATGGTAAAAAAAGGATAAATAAGATGCATGTATATATTAAGAAAAAAGATACTGATAAATCAAGGAATGAGAAGTTGTATTAATGAATTCACAAATAAAAGAAAGACAAGGAAATGAAATGAATCAATGAATGATTGTCTGAAATGGTGGGAAAATCTATAGCTATAGTTAAACATCGTCAAACGTTCCAAATGTTCTTTTTGCGTGCGATTTTACGACTATACATCCAGACTATAGTCCGCGCTCACATTTTTAGTGGTCAATCTTTTAAGCCCAATTATCGCACAAAAGTGATATGAAAACCCGAGTTGTGAAATATTGTTTCATATCTCAAATTGCGCTCTAAATGCTCTTAAAATAAATGCATTTTTAATTTATAATGAATAAGCTGTTTACCTAGTTCTTGTTCTTTTGATATATCGATTTCAAACAAAGGAAATATGTGAACTGGGAATATAGTGTTATAGCAAAGAATTTTATCGACTTATATTTTGTTTCCGTCCGTTCAAAAAGAAATAAATAATATAAATCTAGTCAACTAAGTCATTTTATTTATAGGTTTTTACAGGTTTCGTCATGTGGTATCGGTATGATTACGATATACGACATAAACGACCTCGAGTTACATTGATTTAAATGTGCAAAGACATGTAAACAAAGGTCGTGCAAACGAAATAGTAAATATAGAATTCAAAAAAAGCACGTACTACATACATACAGAGAACGACCACAAAAATACAAGTCAACAGTGGAGTAGAATTAAAGTCCAATTCAAAGCTCTAGAGAGAGTCAAGTTTAAAATCAAGTTCAAAACAATACTTCAAAAACACAAGGCTCTTCCAGCAACAAAAACACAACTCCTTTTATAAAATATATTACTTCAAAAAAGATTTTATTATCTTAATATTCTTATCATTATCACTCTTTTCCAAGCATTGTAAATTATATATTAAAGCAGATAAGCTTGCTAAGCTGTTATATTCAGCAAAATGAACAGCAGAGAATTGCTTAACAAATGGTCAAAACCAGCTTGTACCGATAGCAAGTGCCGTAGTCGTTTTGGCGCCAATTTGACGCGCGCGCCACTTTGGAAACTACATCCTGCTCTTTGAGGAGAGCGGCAACGCTTTTCAAAGTCACGAGTGAAGACATACGGAATTTTTTTACCATAAAACTGTCTACAATTTGTAAAATTACTTCTTAAGATGGAACTGTTAAAAAGAATTAACAAAGAAACATTCATTGAACAGGCAACATAATCTTTATACTTCCCTGATTGACGCATTATTGAAGCAATATCATAAAAGCCTGCTAAAACGATCAACTGTCGTTTTTCGACAGGCTGAAACGGTTTACCCTTAAGGCTCTTCGTTGATGCGGGTTTTATCATATTAAAAACTCTATATGTGCTATAATCCCTCAAATGGTACCCTCTCTACTTGAAAACGACCATCGATCATAGAACTGAAATGTCTAGTCTTAACAAGAATTCATTTTTTTGGGCTTATTTACGAATTTATAGTTGGCTATCTTGTGAATATGGTACCAGCCCCGGAAACCTTCTGATATCTAAGATCCTCAAGCCTTTTTAAATTGTGAAGTGGTTTGCCATTCATGTCAAATATATAAGCTACGTCCTCACTTCACTTCAAAAGTTTTTATTTCACAAATGTTCGTGGTAAACATTTGATCCTCTTATGTGCACAATAGTCCATTTGAGTTCATGTCTGCTTAGGCGCCTAGATGTCCAATTGCTTTGAGTTAAATGTCTTATTATCTTAAATTAGCAAAACTTGTGAAAAAGAAGAAGCAAAGATCTTTTGTTTTACCGGGATTAAATGATTGAATGATCCTTTTGATCAAAAACGATGAAAGACTAGTTTTTTATAATTTTGAAAGCGTCTCAGATCGGGATTTTTATTGTACCGTTTTCATGGGATACGTTTTTTCATAGTATTTTAATTATTTGCCGCGCATATAGAATTCAGATAATACGGGTAATTACATCTGCCCAACGATCTTATATTTTATAAAAAAAGTTCCTTAAATTTAACTTCTTCATTTCTTTATTTTACCTAAACCAAGGTCAGACTGAAACTTTTTTAGTCCGTATAACTTTACGAGATACTTGATGCAATTTTCTCCCTAAATGAGCAAGACCAATAACCTTTCTCATTTTCCCTGGAGTAGCCAATCAGAGCAAAGGGTTTTAATTTGATCATATGAAGCACTCATATAACACAGCTATACTTAATCAATTTAATATGCTCGGTGAACTTTAGCACAGTTTAGTTGAAGGTTCCTATTGGGGCTCCGCACTGTTTGGTTTTGTTGTTTTAATTTCCATCCATGTTGTGCGCAAGTGTTTTCCTTTTGGTCATGGCTGGCTGGTCGACCAATGCAGGTAAGTWGTTGAAATCTTCACATGGCAAAAGGAAACCCACAATAAAGTATCATAGTACATCTCCAGCGCTTCAAATTAGTCGGTGAATATAACAAGTTTTCATTGTTTTGGATTCGTTAATGCAGGTTCATTTATTAATATAATCCACCTGCGCGGATAGAGGCCGGCGTTTATAAACAATAAAGCTTTACGGCCATCTTTTCAAAATCTCAGAGTGATATATTTCCTTGAAATTAACGGGTTTTTTTTAATTTTTTTAATCTTACTTTAAATTGTTTGAGACAAAAAATAATATAAATAAACTTCAAAAACCAGCAGTATAATACTTACAGGCATATATTTAAACTTATAGAAAAATAGAAAAATTACATAAATTTACTGAATTCAAAGGCAATTGAGTGAAATTCATAAAATTCTTCCTAGATGACTTTAATAACAAATTTAACAAATGCACGTAATTATTTCATTTTTATTCATCTGTCTCAATCTGCTTTCTTATTGCCGTGGCAACGTGTATTACCTCTAATTTATCCCGTTATCTGGTGCCATGTTGACTAGGCCTTCAGTGCTTTACTGCTAAACACACTTTTCTACATGATTGATAAGTCATTATCGCGCTAAAGTTAAGTTGGAGCAGAGAAATAACGAGAATAAACACGGCGAAAACCATAAAGTTAATATTTCATTGAAAGGCATTAGTCTGTAGACTGTAGATGAGAGAAAAGGTGAATAAGAAATGAGTCAAGTTATAAACAAACACTCTGCAAATAGAAAGAAAGGATGAAAGGCGATAAGAAGATAGGGGAATAAGAATCGGCGAGCCAAGTAAAACAAACACGCATAAGTGCGTAGCCCTTTTATCAGTAGCCCTTTAGACTAGGATATTGCTTGAGTTATTTCTTTGTGAGCTGTTTCAATACTATAAGTACACAGGCAACCCATCGTTGATGCGATTGAATTTTTGATATGGGCTTCCTGTGTTAGGAGTTTCTTCCAATCATCTGAATTTCAAGTGACCTACTCATTAATGATCTATACTGCAGAGTTTTATTTTTTACTTAATAAAAGATAGTTACTTTTCTAGTTTTACACAGTTTTTTAGCCAGCATAAGGAGAGCGCCTTCACATTTTAGCAGAACATATTTTATTTGGATTACATAAGCCGCAAAGTTGCCTGCATGGTCATGTATCACGCAAATGGCGCCATTGTATTTTCTATGCCGAATGTTAATATGCCGCTCACGTAAAAAAGAAGTGAAGGTTGGTCGTGGCTCACGCTTATCATATGTCAAAGTAGACTTCTTTAAAAAAGTGTTACAATGTCTTTAATTCGTTTACTCAGATAAAATGAGATGTTTCTGCAACTCCGAAAGGTGTATTAGAGGATTTTGCTACACGCATGTTGGGTGCTACATCAATGTTCTGGCACCGACAGACCGCGTTAATCAAACGCGTATCAGATATGGCTGCCTCGTTGGTAATACAACACAATGCAGGAACACCAATACATCGAGATCTCTGTGTTGCAAAAAACAAGAATTTTGTAATATGCCGATGCCTCTCAGAGGTAAGTTTTATTCGTTTGCACTTGACTCGAAATTTGGATGAAATTTCAGTAAACATTTCAGTTCGCAATCGCTGTCTCATAACCTTGACTCGCCCCCGGCTGTCGTCTCTCTATCTCGCAATGCATCAAGGGAAGGAGAAATCGTCCTTCCCATGATGCATCATGATAGGAAGAGACCGTCTAGGGAAAAGTCATCTCACTTATAAAGGTTGGTCATCAGATATAATATCACAATAGTATCGATGCATTTTACTCATTGCTTCAGATGCTGTTTTGAGAAGATCAGACAACAAACAAGTTAATGACGTCATAAAACCATCCTGTGGAGCGTCTGCAATCCGACAAGCCAGCGTCATCATCCCAAGCATCCTCATTGCTATCATCCTTCTTCTGTCGATTTTAATCTTCATTGAATGGCAAAGAAACCACAAGCGCTACAAACAACAACTCTCCAATAAATCGTTTACTATTTTGATTCCTGGACAAAGCTCAGTTTAACGACTACTAGTTTTGATATCCATAGAGATAAATATTTTCATAAAAAAGTGATTGAATGCACAAAATATTTAAGTTTAATAAGCGCTTAGTCAGCGAACTCAGTATTAAAATCAGTATAACTGATCAGATAATATTTATAAGTTGAGATTAAAAACTTACCGCCTTTGTCGACGCGGGAGCATTATCAGACATTGAAATAATTGACTTGATATTGAGAGAGAACGAGAAACCCGAACATTTAAACTCGCATTTGTTCTCTTGGATATTATCGAACTTTGAGCCGGATTTGCACAAATCAAATTTTGAACTCCTAGTACATGCGCATTTTACGTCAGTCTCCTGCGGCTTTAAAGAGTAAATACTTTTTATTGTGTTAACAATCTATAACTACTATGTGCTTATAATACAATATATTACAACATTGTGATCTATAAATAAACCTGAAGATACATATTAAGACGATGGCTCAATCATTAAATTTGTAAATAACATGGACTACGAATTCAATCAGAAATGGATCGACTTTATATTGGCCCAGACAATCTGAACATTGTAGTATATAAATTGAATCCAAAAAGAAATAAAGATCCAAACGAAATGAGCGTTCTCGCTACCAGTCCCTCGTCAAACCTCATTGGAAGTAGCTGTGTAAATCGGCTCTTTGGTTTTGAATTTCAATGGAAGACCTCCACTAGGTTTTTAACCCTATAGCTCTATTAGCCTGTGCAGCGAGGCGTTCCTAGTTTGAGCCCGAAAAATTACTTGAAAAAACCGCGCACCAAATGTACGAAATGATGTAGATTTGATGTAAATTATTTACATCAAATTTACATCATTTTGGACACTTATATAATATTTACATGACATTGACAACCTTTTATTAAAGTGCGCGATCTTTTTCGGTGAATTCTAGAAGGGAACGCACCTTATGGGTTTCTTCGGTCCAAAGTCTCTCGGAGAGGCTAGAAATTGCAAGGTTTTCCAGAGATGACCTCGGACGATGAAAATATAACGCTTATGTTGCAGGTTTAACACTAATCACATCCTCCAATGTCAGTTCATTACGAGTCGCAGGCGTGTCCTCTTCGCGGTTATGCTGTGCATCACAACCGGCCTTGATTTGATTATGCATTTGACCTGCTAATTCGACGGATGTGTTAAATATACACGAAACTATCGTCAGAGACAAAAGTGTTAGTGGCACTTCTGTAACAGCAAAAGCCGAGGAATCTGAGGGTGCACGAAAGCGAAAATCGCCAAAACCAATAGTTGTGAGTGTAACAAAGGAAGCATAGAGACCTGTAATGTATGAGACCTCGTGCGTATGCGCAAAAACGGCCCCTGTAATTAAGATAGAGGTAACGAAACTGACAAGTGAAAATGTATAACACTTAATGTTCAAATACACGTGTTCTTCCTTCTTCAGGAGCCTTTTTTCAATAGCTATGATAGTTCTCATGTTAATATTCGACAAGAGTTTTCCCGTGCCATTCATTGTAACCATGACAATGGGAAGTCCAATCAGGGCATAGATGATGAGCACTCCTCGACCTAATGTTGTTTCGGGAACAATGTCTCCATACCCTACATTAAAATAAAAAAACTTAATTAATATATATTTAGTATAACCAGAGTATAACACAGTATAAAGTAAGCTTAATTTTGCCAAAGGATAGCTGAAAGGCAATTAAATGTCAAAGACTGGATTTTACATTGCTGAGAAAATGATTGCACTTTCTCCAATCTGGTCTTTTGCCTGCATGCCTATTATTAATTACTTTGGCTTGTATTGAATTCGGCACACACACGGCGTTTCAAACTTCGCCTAACTTCCACCTTACTGTCTGCAATTTCCTTGAAATGCACGGAACTCAGGTTTATTATAACTTTTTATTTTTTGTTTTGATTCCATGATGATTATCATTGAATGGTAGTTTTTCTTGCTATAAATATAATAACATTGAAAATCTTAATAAGCGAATGAAAAGGCTAAAACAATGGCGGCGACACCTTTTAAAATTTTAAAATGAAATACCCTCATAAGGATAAAGACGTCGTCACGATTGAATATGACACATTATGAAACTTTTGATTGTGATTGATCAAAACAAGCCGTGGAATATGGAAAAGAAATATTTTATTAAAAAAAAACAATATTATTGTTAAGTGAATATAACTAGACTAAGCGTATTATATCACCATCGTTTTACTGAAAACCTACACCGCCATCCAAAGAGCAATGGAAATCTTCGTTGGTGCAGTGCTTGAATTTAAACAAATTTAAACGGTGACATGAGTTTCAGAAGTTGAGATGAAAAGCGTCAATACTCAATTAATTCAGTTGTACACTTATTTACTTACCTATCGTGCTTATAGCAATAAATACAAAATCAAATGCCCTCCAGTACGTCCAATCTGGTTTATTCCGAATCACTGCCGCCTTTGCAATGTCTTCTGCTGCCATCATAAAAACTTCATCACTGATGTTAACTCCCAGTCGAAGAGAGAGCTTGTTTTGTGTAGCTTTGAAAATACGTTGTGCAACATCTTTATTCGGTTCATCTGTCTTCTCAATTTTTTGGAATATAGCAGCCCCAATAAGGAGATATATTATAAGGGCACTAAGCCTATGAAAGCACTTAAATTTAAGTATGGCCTTCCATGTTGACATGTTGCCTTCCCTCGACAAATCAAAATAATATGACAAAAAACTCACCTTGAACTCATACCATCATTTATTGATAACGTTGTATTAAAAATCTCTCATTACGTATAAGAAAAGCTCTAAGCCAGTAAAACTTAATCAATCTATGTATGAAGACTCATTATTACAAATATTAGAATCCAATATATACACGCTTTTTACTTGGTCAGATGGAATATCACGCATTTCTTTTATCTCAAACAGTGCACAGTGAATGTCATATATCCAAGTGAAATCCGTTTGATATCAAAAAGTTTTAAGACATGTGAACACAAAAAGATTAATTAAATTATAGCAATTAATTCCATATTTTTTTATAGGAACATAACGAAAAACCGACTATATTGTCATCTCGATCCAAATGTAGCTGCAATTAATTTCCGCGAGACCTTTCGAGGGAAATATGCCTGTTTTTAGCAGTAAAGAATTGTTGTCATGATTAAAATTATCTTTCGTTCTGATAAATTTTATGCCCAAAACAATTGTTTGTTCTTTATTTGCTCACTGTTGTTGAATTGAAGTCCGCATGATATCAGTTCCCTTTATCTGAAAATCTCAATAACTGCACTCTATGTTTTGGTAGATATCCACCATTAATCTTCTATATATTTAGGCAGATGCAGAACTCAAATTGCATCCCAGAAAGGATTTGTAGCTTGGTATGAATAAAACTCAAGGGCTACAGGATAATAAAAGTCATTTTCACGTTTTTGTTTAAAGTAAAGAAAAGGGTTTGTTTTTTGGTTCAGTGAAAGCAATAGGGGTCACGGCAATATTCACAGTATTTCAATAAACACATCACACTCCACGACATTTGTTTTTGGTTCGTCTTACGAAACGTTTTCTAATTCTAGCCATAGAGGAAACTACGAATCCACTGACCAATGATTTCTTTGAGTTTGTGGAGGTTGGATAAATCTGAGTGCTTCCTCAAGCGGCATGACTCGGATTAATGACACAAAATCTGCAACTTTAAATCAACTCCTTATTATCAACACTGAGAAAAATGAAAACAAGAGACACGTTTTTATTTCATTTTTGAGGAAAAGGAGTTCATACTGAATGTTGTAACTGAAAAATACTGAGTTTGTACACTGTGAGAATTTTCAGCACATGAATCATTTAAAATCTGAAAAAGGATATTGGAATTGTTTAAGGAGGAAAAATTAACTTTTGTTTTAGTTGTTGGTGAATTTTGTTAATACTCAGTTTATTGGCAATACTGCTGATATTTGTATTACTTTAGTTGCTATGGTGATGCATGATCTATGAGAATTGCCATTGTTGCTGCTATGACATTGTAGTTGCTGTTGTCAATGCTATCATGAAGGCATTAATTGGACAAAAGAAATAACAGCAGTAAACAAGCTAATTGATGAAATACATACACACAATCGTCCTGATTTTGTAAAATATTTTGCTTCTAAAATCTCAAAGGTTCCCTTTTTTCTAGAATTTTAGTCACACCTGAGAGATGAGCAACTCCAAACTTATGTCCCTCTTGCTCGGCACTGATTGCTACTACTAATTATGTACCTATTGCCATGCCCCTATTACCATGGCTACTACCAATATGTCCATATAATGTCATTGCTCTTATAAATTATGTACCTATTGCCATAGCTACTGTCAGTTATATCCCTATTACCATGGCTACTGTCAATTATGTCCCTATTACCATGGCTACTACTATATGTCTCAATAGTGCCATTGCTCTTGCCAATAATGTCCCTATTGCGTAACCGTCAATGTTTCGTTATTACAATGATTGCAACTGCCAACTAAGTCCTCATTGCCATTCTTTTTTTAATCATATCTTATTGCCATTGCTACTTATTGACAATGTTGCTCGTATTGTTGTCGTTAGTGGAGATGTTGTTTCTATTGTCATTGCTGTCGTCTCCCATAGTTTCGGCAGATTCTACTCCACTTCCATTCACTACATTACGTGGCTTTTCTAACATCTCAACGGCGAAGTCGAAAAAACACGAAACAGTTGTTAAGTTAAACAAGATCACAGGGATCTGCGAGACTAACAGCAGTGCTAACGTAAAGGAGCTATACTTGTCAAATAAGTGATTTAAATCCATGGTATAATCCCCAAATCCAATCGTACTCGCGGTCACAAAAGTTGCATAAAAGCCTTCAAAGTACGAAATATTATTTATATGTTGAAAAGCGAAGGCTGTCAAAACGAGATACAATAGGAAAAAAAGAAAAGACGCCATAAAGCATTTGGCAATAATATGGTCATGAGTGAGTCTACGACACATTACTTTCTCAGTGAAAATAACGAGTTTTCTTATATAGAAACAAGTGACTTCCCCAGTACTTTTAAGCGTCAAAACTGTCCAAGGAATACCGATCACAGCGTAGATGATGAAAACACTTTGGCCTGCGAGAGTCCTTGGAACAATATCTCCATAACCTGTCAAACAAATCACACAATACACCAATTAATCTATAAATAAAGAAATACTAATCAATATCTCAAGAAATCAAACATCTATAACGGTTCGAGATAACATTAATACCTGAGCGAAGGTTAGTTTTAAAAAAAGGATTGTATCCTTCATTGCTCTTACCGATTGTTGTCAAAGACACCAAGACGAAACTCAAGGCATTCATGTACGTCCAGTCATTTCTTTTCTGAATCTCCAGCGCCTGATCAATGGTCTTTACAAGATTAAGGAACTCCTGATCTGTGATATTAACCTTCAGCTGAAGGGCGAGTTCGCCTTTTGCTGATTCTAAGATACGCTTTGCAACAACTTGATTTGGCTCGTCAGTTTTCTCCAGTTGTAAAAAGATGACAGCTCCAAGTAGCATGTACAAAACTAACACCACAACTCTTTTATAACACGTTATTTTAGTTTTACGGAAATCCATCCTAACTTTTTCTTGTTGAAATAAACGAATCTGAATGTTGTCATATCACAACGAAGTAGTTTGACTTCATCTAAGTTTAATGACATGCTCACTATGACGCGTACCACACGCAATTTTTTTAGAAATTAAGAATCAATGAAACAACAGAGAATGCTGAATGGGAACAAAAAATAATATCGTTGATATTTGAAGTTTGATTTGATGCTTTCTCCTTTTCACAGACGTAAAACTCGGTTATTTGATGCAGGAAAAAAATACCGTATTTTTCTTTTTTCCTGGTCATATAGATTGACAGGGAGCAAATCTTTGCCCTCTTTGCACATTAAAAAGTTTAAGTGATTTTAAAATTAAAAACCATATCTTGCACCTGCTTAACTATTGAGAAATTTCACCTTGGAATTTCAAAGAAAGGAATTAACTTTTCATACAAAGGATAAGAATTTTAAACAATATTATTGTAATCACATTTGATTTAGATAACGCAAAGTCTGAAAGATTTTAAAAGGAGATTTATTGAATTTCCAGGATGTTAACAAACGAAGCTACACGAAAAGGTTACGTCATCAAGGCAGAGACCGAAAGGGAGCATGGGAAAAAATAAACAGTGTTTCAGTATACTTTGTATAGAGTGGTTTTCATAAACCCGTGAAACAAAGTGTAATAATTAGAGTGTAATAGATYGTAATAGTCGCGTAGAGACAATAAAAAACAAAAGAGCCAAAGTGTAATAGCGATAAATACGCTAACGTGTGTTTCACGGGTTAATGAAAACCACTCTATGTTTCACCGGGAAAATAGTAGGAAAATACGAAGAAAAAAAATACATAAAAAAACAATGACTGGCAATTACTAATATTYCAAGTATACCAGACAATATACAATTTGTCCTGATTTCGTATTTCTCAAAATTTGCGTTTCCCTTGCCGAGGCCAAAACCGACTATGGGGGGTAGGGTTATATATGAATGCGAAGCTTTTAAGCTTAAAAGAAGAAAAGAGAAGAAATGTTAATTCAAAACTTTAATCTTAAAACTACCATGTTGACCTGGAGGACGACTAATTTACATAAAATTATTTACATATTATATTCAAATTTATATTTTTGATATACGAAGGGAAACGTATATTAGTTATACAGTGCATTTTTGTAATAACGTGGAAAWTTGATTTTTACGTTTGAATAGGCCAGTATCCGTGGGCATTGCTGCGTTGAACTTTATCATCCTTGGTGACCCAGTGGTATTCTGCTGTCGCTCGTTCCACGCTCCTGGCACGAGCGACAAAAGATCACCTCTGGTTCGAGGATGTCTAAATTGTGCACTATTTTACAGTAAATGAAATTAAGAAGCCACAAGACCAAAGAAAATGCTAAATTATGTCTGAAAAGTCGACAGCAAAACCATTCAGCTACTCAAAAACATGCCACTGCTAAATCGTTTTGTAGTACAGCTAATCAAAGACAAACCAGTACAGTCTAGCCTCTATTATTAAGCGATATKAATATGAGGACCGCATGGCACTATGAGATGCATGGTATAGAAATAAAGTTATAGTGCTTATTCCGGGAGAAAGACCCTTGGAAATAAATCCAGAAAAAAATATTCCGACCTCTATTGAGCGGTGATCTTGGGAAAAGACCAGGTGATCGCTTAATGGAGGTTGACCGTTTATTAGAGTTTACTTTTACATTAAATATATATGAGAATCGATGGCGTTTGAGGAATTCATGAGTGACCGCTTTATCGAGGGTGACCGCTATGGAATGGGGTCGTTTAACAGAGGTTCGACCGTATGTTTTCATGCCCTCTTTTTACTTGAGTTTTCCATGATCGAATAGTTTACATTTACCCCGATTTGTTTAGCCTAACTTTGGTTCTTTTTTGCCTATTTCTTTCATGAGTGTGTCCACAATTGTGAGCTATTCAGTGGTCGAAAGTATAATTCTTAACGCTGCTTACTTTTGTCTATTTCTTCAATTACTGACAATAGTTTTTGTCGACCTTTCTTGGTTATGTGTGAGCCAACGCCGCAAGTAACAAGACTAGTCACGTGCTTACTTGAATATTCCTGCAATAAACAAACGGCGTTAGTTTTTACTCTTGAATCACTACAAACAAAGCCACATTAATCAAGATCCTAAAACATGATTGTCCAATACACTTAATTAGGAGCCTTGCAGATTAAATGTGATGCCGGCATAGAGTTCCGATTAAATAAAAAAAACTAAATAGAAGAAATCCTCCAAACACTTCACATGCAAAATGCATCCTAGAAGAAGAAATATAGTCTAAACTTCGTCAGAATCGTCGAGCTTCGTCGAGCTAAAGAAACTCTTCAAATATCTCTCTTTATCATATAATTATCTATGAAATACCAATATTTCTCTCTTTCAAAAAGTTTTTACTTTTTACTAGTTAAAATAACACATTTGAGGTTCCCCTATATATTGGAAGTGAAAATAGGTATTTCACGACATAATTTGCTTTTATATATAATCATATGATAAACAGAATATTACATGGTCTTGGCGACATAAATTTTATCTTCTCGTGTTGAAAATCTCTCTTTCGCTACGCTCTTTTCAACACTCGAAGATAAAATCCGTATCTCCGCTCGCCTATATGTAATATCCCCTATATCATCAAGACCATAACTGAAAACCGGACGAAAGTACAAAAAGTAAGTAACTGAATATCGGTGTTGGTTTTTTTACAAACGTTTCTCCTATGTCATAGAAACAACAGTCTCTTCAATTGATGATTCTACAYAGRAATCGTCAGAATGTTGACATCGAGCTGCAGTCTCGTCATCTTGTCGAAAAGATCCAAATACAATAGACTCAAACCATCGGCGTACGGGTTGAAAACACAAGCACAGACAAAAACACCCCAGAATTCCCGGAAAACACCAGTTTTTGAGGCAGCTAGTGCTTGGGTCTTCACATCTCATATGTTTTAGTCGATTGTCAAGTCGTGCCAGGTCCTTGGTACTAAACGTACAAGTCGTATCACCGATCCGATTGTTCCTTCCTTCGTCTCCATCTTGCTTTGAGGTAGGTTGGTGTTGTTCAGTAYTTTTTGAAGGCGAATTACTAATAACTAGACGAGTACGGAACATCTTGGAGTACTCGATATTCTTGTTTAGAGGATTAACATACGGCCGACAAATGGTGTACGAGAACGACAATGGTATACATTTTGCTGGAGTTTGGAAGGCCCTCAGACTGCCATCAAACGACGAGGGAGCTTGAGTGATCACAGACTGATATCGTTGGTACCCATCATTTACATTTCGAGACTCATGTGAGGTCRCTATCAAAGAATTGTCGGGTCCCAATTCGAAATTCGTCCAGATCCGTTCATCCATGTTGTATTTTGTTTCAACTTTTGGGAACACAGGCTAAGRACAAATACTCTACAAGCGCTCTTCGTATAAAAATCGAAAATTAACTTAAGCTAAGGTGTTTAATTGCGTAAGACTACGTCACGAAATAACGCAAAATGTCTAAAAATATGACTTTTTTGAAATATAAAATTACGCGCCTTATTTGCAGTATTGTTTAAAACATCTTTGATTTTCTGTAAGACAGAATATTGTGGTGTAATCGATGTGTTAAGGACCTTTTTTTAATAAACCTCTCTTTCACTAGCGTGTAGTGCATTGATTTTTACTTCTCATACATACCAAGCGCGTAAAACGCTTCGGAGGTAATTTAAGCAAATTCAATTAAAGCCTTAAGCGAATTATTAGAAATAAAAAAAAWTTGTTAATGAAATATTTCATTTATTTTTTTGGYCMAATAGTATGGTAATACTAAAACAATTAGACCTCTTGTCCTCGTTAACTACGAAGTGATAGCCCATTCGGCCTTTATTCGGCCTTTATTCGGCCTTTGTTCGGCCTTTATTCGGCCTTCGTCCTCATGGGCTATCAGCTCATAGTCCACTCGCCCTCGAGGTCCAATTGTTTTAAAAAAATATCTATATAGCACATACACGACTGTAATAACTTACCTTGTGTTCTCTAATCCATCTCTCCATTTCATTTTCGGTCAAATAAAAAGCCTTGATGTATGTCTCTACATATTCCCTGTCTGGAATGGGCCTATGAACATAGAAAGAGCATTAATGAACATAAACCGCACTTCTTTTCGATAGTACATCGATTATTTTGTGCCAGTTACACCCATCCATACATGTACGTCGGGTTAAAAGGTTATTTTGTAAACGCTTCGCTTTTTGAGAAACAACCTAAAAAACATTTGGTGTATATGAAATTGCATCTATAATCTGTGTAGCGGGAAAAGTTAGGACTATTTTGTGCCCCTGTCATGGCGCGCGATACCGCTTGCTTACCGTATATCTGTCAAGTTCTCCAGTTTCATTAGATATTGCTGAAAGTCAAGTTGCATCAAAGCTCGTCCTTCGTTGCTACATTTCTTGGTACTTGCAAAACTACAATAAAAAACGCACAAAGGTTGTGTCTTGTAAATCCAAATCTCAAAGAGATATAACTTAAATCACAATAATAATAATATAATATTAATTAATATTAATATTATCAATTAATTTTAATATAATATAATCATAATAGAAATAGTACAGTACGATAAATAAGGTAAGACAAGCATTTTATTTATTTGTTTACCCTTCAACAAATGTTCTGTTCGCCAGTCGAATACAGTGATCCCACAATACATTGTAAGCATCTTTAGGAACAGGAATCCTCCTAAAGAAAACATCATTTTATCAACACAGGAAGCCCACTAGTTGAAAAAATACAGAGGACATATAGAGGACTACAGTCAACTCTCGCTATTACGGACATCCCCAGGACCGTAATTTAGTGTCCTCAGTAGCGAGAATCCGTAGTAACAAGAGTCACTTTCAGTCATTTCCTTGAATTTTTCGCCGGGGATTCAGTATTTTACTGTCCGCAATATCGAGGTGTCCGTAGTAGCGGGGTGTCCGTAAGGCAGGAGTTGACTGTACAGACTGTAGAGTGATTGCTAGATTGTTATAACCTCATKTTTGTACAGTATTTCATTAATGTTCACTTACTTTGACAACTGAGACATTTTTAAACTAAAAACTTGAAATTCCTGCAACGAAAGATCGAAGCATTTATATAAGCAACGAGTGGAGCGTTTTCAGTCGTGATCTCGGTTAAACTGTATGCAATCTCGAGCCCAGGCTCTTTTGTAATTTTTGTTACCGGTCTGTTGAGCCCGCACTACCTTCCGTTAGACGGAAAAAGAGCAATTCCTGGGTTTGAGATGGCTGTAGAATGAAAGCAAGAACCAAGGTCTTGGATCAGAATAGACCTCCTATCACGTGTTATCACCGTATACGCAATGCATTGTAGGATATGTTTGGGACAAAACATGGCAGATTTCTTTTGTTTTCTCCAGAAACTAATCCAACAATGCATTGCAAATCAAGTACGTGTTATGCCAGAGCATGCGCAGCAAACGTTTGAGATTTACATAATGACATCATAGGCTATTTTTATTATGTATTTACCCTGACTAAGATGTCAACATATGCATTATGTTGCGACATGATATCCTTGATGTCCCATCGAACCCCTTGCATTAGGTGTAAAGTCTACAAAAAAAAAGAAAGAATGAAAACTAGAATAGAAAAAAAMACAAACTACCAGGTCATACTACAGTAAGATTCATCTATTTAGCTTGTACAGCCAAGATGGTGGCGATGATAAAATACTGATTGTTGTCAATCATTCCCATGAGTTAAAGGGACACTTTCAATGGATGACATGCGCAGTAACAGTCTCACCTCTAACGGASTTTKAAAGTATAACCTTCGAGGTAAATCATTTTGTGGTGCTTTTGACACACTTTGGAATATTCTAGATCTGTTTACGTTTACGATCTGATTTATGTCGCGCCAACTTGGAGTCATAAACTTGAAAACACTAGCCTAGTGTTTTCAAGTTTACTCGCGCATGCGTGCCATTGACAGTGTCCCTTTAAGACCGGTGGCCATTTTGGAACAATAGATACTGAGAAATCCTTTTTTGAACTTCCATCATCCAAGATGGCCGCTGTCACGTATAATGAAACAAAGAATTCTTAGCAGGTWATCTGGCTAGAACAATATTGCCGTGGAAGAGATTAATCCAAGTTAACTTTGCTTTGGATTAAGGAAGGGCTATTYTGTAAAAGTGTCTCATGGAAGAGAATCAGCTTTCCCTCAGTTCATCTAACTGGATGTTTTTAATTTTTGTTTTACCTTTTCATAGTCGATTATTCTGGACGCTACGGCCCTGTAAGTTGGTTTACGAATTTCTTGAACAGTGGTTATCGTCTAAAGAGAGTGAAAACATTTCGTTGATGATCATACTGGTTGACAAATTATATAAGATAATAAGCAATTGACGCTTACAGATATCATCATATAATGACAGAAAAAGTGAAGACAATTTGTGATGAAAACAAACTTAAAACACAGCTTACCTGGGAGTAAAACTGGGAGAGAAAAGCACGTTTGTTTGAAGGAATTACTGCATCGAGATGACTTTGTAAATATTCGAATTGTTTCCCTAAAAATATGCTTAAAAAGTACAACTATGATCAATACGATTTGTGTAGATGATTATGCTAATACCAAATGACTTTCGCAAATGACTTTGGCTTTGCAAAATTTTGTATCGATTATTCCCATTCGAGTGTTGAACTTGTTAAATAATGGTGAATATCGTGTGCTCATTCTAGTGTTTATGATTTCAATGTGTGAGACAAGAGTTTTGAGAATATGAATTATACAAAGACTGAAATTATCAATGATTGTTAAGCGATTCGGTAAAAGTTTATTGACAAACCAACGATTCAATACATAGTCCATGCATCGTATGCAATATCACCATTCACTATTCTGTCAATCTTAGGAATAGCTTTTAGAAATGGATAGAGCGGATTTCGTATGAGTGGGAAACGGACGGTACTGTACTGTGAGTACTGTAACCAAATTCTAGTTCCCCATTGGTTCACCAAAATTTTGAAGGCCAGGTCCGGTAACTGTGCGGTAACCGTGCGGTAACGGTGTCCCACCCATACGAAATCCGCTCTATGTGCACACAACACTTCTACGAATCAAAGCATGCATGCACGGCCTTTGAAAATACTTACAGAGACTCGGTTGCCAAGATTCTTTCCGACAGACCAAACATCGAGTCTGCACTAAGATCAACCATCGGTGAAAGGTGTGGATAAGGAACCTGGGGGAAATACGAAACAATTACAACCTCGTTCCCAGGGCTACTCTAATTAGTGGCCGCACGGGATCATGACGTGATACCACAGGTAATCCGCATTTTGCTAAGAGCGCGCGTCGATAAATAAAAGTGTGCGCATTCGTTATTTTCCTCTCTAAATCTGTCAATAGTTGGGCGGCCTATGGCTATGTGTTGACGCAAAATATCTGAGCTCGTGTGAACGTTATTTAGATTGGATTCACAAACAGATGCGGGACACCGTGTTTTAGACTAATAATGATGAATCTACCTTCATGTCATCTGCTGTACTGTCAATAGCCAAGTCTGGATCACTTTTCATGATGAGATTGTCAGAGATGCGTTTCAATGTCGTTCGAAGTTTTATACTGAGACCATGAGCACTTCCATCAACCTAAAATACAATCATTCTAGTAAATAAGAACAGCAGTTTACTAGTTATTTAGTTTTATCCAAACTCAGTGCCTCTCTCTCAATCAAAACCCTTTTTTTAAAAGTGTACAAACATTGATGTTATAAGTGATAGAACTTACCAAGACCTCGGGCGAAAAGAAAGACGTCACCTATGAAACAGAAATAAACAGAGATAAATTTATAAACTATTCATTCCTTTCTCTCTAGTGTCTACAAAGTCATATAAAAAAATAGGAAAAATATGAAACAACCTTATGACAACTCAATATGGCACCAAATATCAACATAACCAACAGATAACAAAGATAATATAGCTTAATATAACCCTTTATCCAGTGGTAAGCGCTTTTCAGTAGTAAGTGCTTTAATAGATTTTTACAAAAATGCTTACCGCAAATAAGTAATAGTCGAAAAGTTGTGACATACAAATCACTACATCGAAGGCGATTGGTTTGAGAACATTCATCATCTGCATGTATTTACCTAAGTATTTCACACAAAAAAAATCAATTTTCAATAAATCACTATTTGAGTTTAATCCATTTCAAAAGCTCCATTGGTGGGGAGTAGGGGAAGGGAAAAGGGAAAGGAGAGCCCGCTCCCGTACGCTAATATTCTTATGCTTACCAAACACTCTGAGTACGTTTAACGTTGTGTTTGTGATACACGGTACACGAGAAAGGAATTTTTGATGTTTGCGACTTTGAAGGTATCCTTCAGACCTATAACACAACAGCACACGTTGTATAGAAATAGCGAGTGATACATGTACGATGCTGGGAACGGAGGTAAACTGACCTGCCATCAGGAACCTCACCAGTCCGCTCGTCCACATAGTCTAGTTTTAACTCATCTGTTAACAATAGATCATTAGATAATAAATACCTTATTCGTATACTAATTTCTGTGGGCACTTCAATATGCGAAATCGCAACAGGCATATTTCGCGAGCATTGATTTCGCGTTTTTTTTCAAATAAGGGCATCACATGTAATCGCACCGCATTTTTGCATAAACGTTTTGTTTTGGTTTTGACACGCGAGCCGACACAGCCTCGCATCAGCAAATACTGATGTAAACTTTTAAAAATAACACAACACTTTTTAAACTTGGTAATGTAAACTTATATCAAAAAGATTGCGAAATAATGAAATATTGAAAGACTCTGAAGGTATGGAATATTGGACAAGATTGTTGGGCATGATATAGCTTAATATTTTATTATCAGCTTTTTGAATGGAAATAATTTTGACGTCATGATAAAACAAAAAGCTTTGCTGTTCAATTGTTACCTGGTATGTCCTCATCATCTTCGTCCTCGTCGTCATCGTCGTCTCTTCGTTTATCGATATCGCCCTCAATCTAAAGAAAAGACTTGTATTCAATAACTTCCACTAACCCTGTACTATAACCCTCCCTCCCTTACACTGCACTGACCACAACCCCCCTGTCTATTACACTGGCAAAAAGATATTCTCTTCATATGTCAAAATATGATTCTTCAAATCGCGATAAATACTTACTCCATTCTGAGCCATGACATCTTCGCCTTCATCTTCAATGTAAACATCGTCGAAAGGATTACCTTGCGTTGCGTACCGTGAAAAGAAACCTTGCAAAAACAAATAATACGTTATGACAGTTTTGTCACTGGGTTATCAAATGACCTTGCGGGTTACCTGTGCCTGTTACTGTGTGCATATTTCCTGAAGCTGTACGACGGTGTGTTTTGATCAGCGGTGTCTGCTTTTGCTTCATGAAGCGAAATTCCTACAAACAAATAAATAAAGTTACAATATGACAGTGCGGTACGAATAGATGTTGGCGCTTAATACCTGTAAATCAATAATCTTGAAGGAGGCTTTTACTGGACAAAGCTGCCATGCTTCGTTTTCTAAGAACATCCTCAGTTCATCCATCCGCGATCTGAGAACAAAAAAAAAACGATTAACTTTAATGAATACGTTTACGAGCTGATTTATGTCGCGCCAACTTGGAGTCACAAACTTGAAAACACTAGCCTAATGTTTTCAATTTACTCGCGCATGCGTGCCATTGACAGTGTCCCTTTAAATTAACGATTGATTGGCTGATTAATTGAATGACTAATTAATTGATTGATTGACTGATTGATTGATTGGTTGATTGATTGGTTGATTGATTGGTTGATTGATTGGTTGATTGATTGATTGGTTGATTGATGGTTTGATGGATGGATTGATTGATTGATTGATTGATTGATTGATTGATTGATTGATTAATTGATTGATTGATATTAGCAACTGTCATTTCTATTGAATACATATTGGTGGGATACCTGTGGTAGTTCTTAAAATACTTGACAGTCTGTTTCCTAATGGATTCATTCAAGTCCTCAGACTTGCTGCCACAAAACTCTTCCCCAACAACAATTAACCTGAAATAAACAAGCAAAGTGACTTCCAAATAACCCCTGCCCCTTCAACCTTCCAAGACCTCTTTGATATTTGAGTGGGATATCCCTACTGCAGTGTTATGGGCAGTATTTTCCAACATTTTAAAAAATATTATATATTTATACATCCCTTGGTGAAAAAATTACCTACCTATTTACAAGATCCAGAACGTATATAAAATCATCATATTTGAAGTATGAAAGATCAGTGCTAAGAAGGTGTGTTTTTATTCTTTCTTGAACTTCCTAAAAAAAATAGTAATTACAAACTTGAATGCCCTTTTAAAAAAGATTGTAGAGTACTTCTCTAAATGACATGCAGTTATAGCAAACAAACTTACAGTTAGTGTAAAAAATGTTAGTGTAAAAGATTAAGAAAAAATGTTATCTTGGAGATTACACTATACAGATTGTGTCATACATGTATGTATTATTCAAAAGCAAGCATATCGCATCGTGAACGTCCTGTACAATTTAAGTGGGTATCATGAAATTGAGAATCACACACTACACTGTACCTTCCATATCCTGTTGAGCCCATGGTCTAGTTTTTGCCGTATGTAATTCCTATTGTAAGTAGCTTCTGCAGTTTTCTCGTCATCCTTGTTCTCGTTGCTAGCTTCACTAGTACTGACGTGCATTGCTGGGTCATACTGTTCATGCCAACATATAACTTTATGGTAATTTAACATGACCTCCCAAAGCGCCTGCATAAAAAACACAGCTTATAACTAAGTAGATGTACAATTGTTTTCTTGTAGTAGAAAAGGTATCATCCAACATATTATATTTGACCATAACTATTTTGTCAGTGCAATGTCGAGTATTGTTTCAAAGCTAAGAAGTTTGTTATTACCTTGCAGAGGTCCAGTAAACATGGCGTGTAATGCTCCACAGTAACTTTCTGAGAAGAATTTTTAAAAATATTAAATATTGTATATTCAATTGTACCTTGAAATAAAGTTAATATTGATTCAACGGAACTTTTAGCTCTTACTTTACATAATTCACCAAAATGTACATGCTGAAGTCCATCATCTGCGATATATTCTGAATTGTCATCCTTCAAAACAACAATCAAAATGATCAATGAAAAAATTCTTACAAAGAAAAGAAAACTAGGTATAGATTACAAAACAAGTTCACCAAAAAAGTTATAGATTGAATTGTTTTTTTGTTTTTGTGTGTGTGTGTGTTTTAAGAAACAATGCTTTTTATCGCATAAAAGCAAACTATAGCAGTAAAAGGTAGTACCTCTACATGGTCCAGCAATGCAGAAAATGACACTTGGTTGATATGATTCATGAAGTGGATGATTAACTGATCCATGGAGATCTAAAAGCATTTATGTTATACCACAATATGTTAGCCAAATCTACTGTTCACAATTATCATTATTTTGTCTGCTGGGTTACCTGGGTTTTTCCTAAGTATCGATATCCAGTTTGAAGTCTTTCATAATATGCTGGGTCAAATTCATTGCAAATCCTCACAAGAGCTATGTCTAGTTGTTTCTGTCAGGGTAAAAATCAAGCAATAATGTCATTATGGATTCAGTCAATTAGTCAGATCAACAAATACAATGATCAAAAAGTATTTTAGCTTACAAAACAATTGATTAGTCAATCAATCAATAAACGTACCCCATTAGTCAATCAATAAAACAATCTACAAATCCACCAAATAGAAAACCAATCAACCTATCACTCAACCAATCACATAATAAATGTGCCAATCAATCAATATGTCAATCAATTATCAATCAATCTATCAGCTATTAATTTAATCTAGCAATCATTCAATCAATCAAACAACCAGATTGAACAATATATTGAAAACTGCTCAATTGATCAATTAAGCAATGAACATTTCTAACCTCAATATCAATTAAAGTTTCCTGAAGATTTGAGCTGAGCTCGCTATAAAAAAATGAAAATATTGAAGCACACTTAATATGAAATAACACAGTAAACAAGCTCTAATTACATTTTTATTTTTAACTTTTACATTAAAACTTCACAAAATTAATTCACCTTATACATTGATAATGTTTGAAAGCTCTTGCTGCCTTTTCACACTCCAAACAAAGAGTTATTGCACCAGGATAATCTTCTTCCTATAAATAAAAAACATTATAGATCTACATCAAACATTATATGCTCTAAGACAGTTAACTACACACCATACAGGAAAATACTGGCATACCTCTAACATTTCTTTGAGTCGAACATCTGTCCTTTGCTGAGAAAAAAGATTTAACCAAAATTATTTATATATTAGTATCAGGCTAAGAGAATGAGAAGATCAAATCATTTTCTACGAGATGATGAAGTATTTCCAAGACTCTTTGATATCATGATACACACTACACTCAGCACGGCTACATTTTTCATCTACAATATACTAAGGGACAGGAAATGAACACAGGGCAAGCCAATTGATATCCATCCCCTAAATATTTAATCCCATTTAATTTTACTGGTAGTCACAAAGTATCAGTAGAGTAGATTGTGGCATCTCTAGACAAAACATGACACAATCACCATGGAATTTATATTCAACTGAGAAGTATGTGGCTGTTCTCAAAAATGTGCACCCATGTGTACACAAAATCTGTTAGTGATAAGTGATCTTAGACTGATAATTTAGACAAGACTCACCAGTGTTTTGATAGTTCTCAGAGAGTCCAGTAAACTAATCAAATGTTGTTTTTTCCTGTGTTTGGCTAAAATACCAAGCCCACCAACTGACACTCCTCTGCGTGCTTTATCAAGATGTCTGGAATGAAAACAATCCATAAAAAATTATGTTCTGCAACAAGACAGTGCAAATGAATCATGATTTTTAAAATATTGCAGCCTGATAACTTCAGCTCACCTGCGACCTCGTTCACATATTGAGGAAGCGTTCTGAAGAGATTCTTGTAGCTCCATAACTCGTTGTAACTCCTATTGAAGTACAAAAAGATGAAACAGTCCTGTATGACACTTGTACTTGATCATTATCAAATATCTACAAAGTCTCTACCTGCACATAAGCGCTATGGTTCTCAAGCACCTTTGTATAAAGCTTTTTGGAAACCTAAAAGGTAAAAAAGCATTGGTTGTCAAAGACTTTAGAAAATAACAAAATATCAAAATAAATCATGTTAACTTGACACATGTCATGTGCTTACTGATTGCAACTGCTGACGTAAAGTGTTCCTATATTCCTCAACATCCTCTAGCACGAGGTCCTTTTCAGTTGTTTTCTGTTGTAAAAAAATGCTTAGCATTTAATGCAAATACAAATAACACCCAAAACATTACTAAATACTGATATTCTATACACCCTTTTAATAAGTCCCGAGGTATTACGTTCTCCRCACTTGACGTCAAATTKATTCTTTTGAATTCCTTTTGTATTGCAAAAATTTCAAAAGAATAAATTTGACGTCAAGTGCAGAGAAAAAACAATACCTTGGGACTTATTAAAAGGGTGTATACCCTTGTTTGCATTGATCATGCAACACAGACAAAATTTACAGGCTTTTAGAGATAGAAGTCCTGCAGTCAGTCAAAATTTACAAACAAACTGGAGGTTGGCAGCAAAGCACTTTAGTTGAGCGAACGCACTGTTTATTCCTATTGTTTTATTTAGACTGGTTATGTAGCAATGCAAATGACAGTATTTATTGATAATGCTTTAATGTGTGAAAAAGTTTATTAAAATAATATCATTCTCGAAATATGTTTATTAATCTCACTTCTACCTTTAACTCATATTCACTTGGATCAAATGATTTAGCATCTGAGAAGTATATTTCCTCTATTGTTTCCAAAACCTGCAAAGAAATAAAGATTGATAAGAACAAGGGGTTGCGATTAATTGTAACCACAATGTACTATCCAATTTTACTAAATGATAGCAGTTTATAAACTCATACCTCATCATCAGTCCTCGGATCATCGTCAAACTCTCTCGAGCTATCCTCCTGCATTTAAGAATTTTTATTAATTAATCAATGTAATTATAAGTAAGTGACGTCTAAGTAAGTAAGACATAACTTACAATATTATTGAAGTCCTAATATTAATATGTGTGCATTCTACAAGTATAATGCTTAAACAATGGTAATTTCATCCACTTTATTCAGCATTTTAAAATTGTTTGAGTATTACTTAAATTTTTGGGGGCTTAATGGAAATCGAATACGAAGTTAGATATTATATTTATAAGTTAATCCATAGTTTGGGGATTTGCAATTCGTTGGTCGAAATTCCTCAAAATATTCAGTTATATCAATATCGCCAAATCCAATCTTCCACAAAGAAAGAAGAGAAGTAACTGAAATATACACGTAGGAAAATATAAAAATTAAGCTAAAGACTTTAGCTATAAGTTAAGATTTTGCGGAGACGCCTAATTTAATACACTCACCACTCAATGAAATCCTCACCTTAAAAATGCTTTCTGAAGGTCCATCTGAAAGTTCTGAATCAGGAAAATCTTTATCCGATCTCTATGAATAATGAGCAATGGTTTATGTAATCGATAAAGCAGAACGACGACAACAGTCGACATCAGTCAATCTTTACATTTAACTTAATGTGAATATTCTTAACAAATACTTAGCTTTTTTATATTAATACGTACGTCAAGACCAAGAAAGGACCTAAATCTGTTTCTCAAAGCCATTTCTTGAGGTTTCGAGAGTACATTTTTGAATTAAATCCAACATTCTGTATTCTTCCTCGGTGCCATCGCGGCCATCTTGAATTGCAAGGAAACCACGCCTAAAATTTAAACTGTGAAGGACTGGGGCGAATCTCTTTTCTTATCTTTTTTCGCGATGAAATTTTTCTTTCTTCTACCACAAAACACGTTGATTTAATCTTTTAATTTTTGTTTAGTCTATGCGATAGTGGGACCCAGGCTTGAAAGCGAATTGACGTTGAAAAAGCAGTATTTAAACCATCAGCTTTTTCAACCACAACGTGCGCTTAGCCCCTCGCTTTTTATTGGAACAGGAGAGCGCGTCATAGGTTTTTATAAACAGGTATGGCTATAGAGTGCATGTGCATGCAAAGAAACTCTGATCGTGCGTTGAGTTTATCGTACCCGTGTGTCTAGGAGTCTTCCTTTTTTCTACCCGTACATTATATGATAGCGATGCTGATGAAAATACAAATGAAGAGTAGAATGATATCGATAATGGTGATCTGATGATGTTGTTGTTTTTGTTTTTGGTGTAATTTTTTGACATCAATGATAGTCGTCTTTCAAGAGATACTGAATAACTTAAAATAATATAGCGCATAACTGAAATAATAATATTTCATGTGTATTTATAAAGTAGAGTTAAATTTTATTAATAATGTTGAAAATCCATAAAATTACATAGAAATGATTGCTCCCAAGCAGAGAAAATGACTAACTTAGCCTATTTTCTCTTGCTTTTCAGACAATCTATGGAACAGGCGAATCAGCATATTATTACACGTAATTAGCTGGAAAAAAGGAAAAGCAATAATCTTTTTTTATTCACTTGCATAATTGCATTTATCAATATTTACAATGAGACTTGTTTTTCGCCGTACAAGGACCCTACGCGCGGTAAAAAGGGTCTCCGGTGAGCAAAACCTCCACTGAATCCCATGGAATGCTTTATTTTCTTGTAATAAGGAATAAATCCATCACCATGGAGACACTCAATCGTTATACCTTCATATAAGATGCTGTGTCCGTAAGCCGAGGCTTATAGGAGCTCATGCTTCTGTATAATGGCTAATCTATAGACTAATCCCCAAGCTCATTATCTCGTCTACGATGTTTTGAGTTCAATTGGTTCCCATCCCTTTGATTGTCTACTGTTTCTTGAAACACAAAAGTGTGCAAATGAGAACAAGATCAGAAGCACGAGTGACATTAGAGCGCCAAAAAAGAACGATGGAACAGCTCCATACTCGTCGATGAATACTCCTCCTAGAATGGCTCCCAGTCCACCTCCAAGGCCCCAGTATACACCTTGAAGGATTCCTACAATTAATGAACATTAAATCAGTCATTAATACTGCAGATTGCATAAAAACGATGATAAGTATTTGTACAACTGAATTTGCTTCTTGTGCACCAAAAGACACGTAACATGCACATTCAGCCGCCCATTCCAATTCTATTTTAATTAACTTTGGTAAAAGCCCTAACAATCTCTACTGTATTATATTAATTTGTCTGCAATTAATCGAAAAACTCCACAAAGGCAAGTGGGCAAAGCATTCTGGTCTTGGTAATATGTGACGCAATCGTGCAAATTGCCTGTATTTTGTTTTAAAGCTTCACATATTGTAGTGAGGTACAAGGAAGTGATTTATGTCCTGTGCGATCACTTTTTGAAAACGTTGACGCCTAGCTATGAGCATCTGAGAGGTAAGTGTTAGTATTAGATCCCTCTTGGGATCCCTTTGGACGAGCCGCAATGCAGGCTATTTGAGATAATGTTAAATTCAAAGATAAAGACAAAATTACCTTGCATTGTGGCAGCTCCACTCATTGGCGTCGCCTCAGCCATATACGTCACGCAAGTAGCCCAAGACGTCCCGTATGTAAGTCCCTCCAATAATTCAAAAGGGAATGCCCACATTGGGTTTCTCATCGTAGCCAGTGATATAAACAAAACCAAATACGAGAAGATTGACAGTAGAGAGACACAAACATGTCCAAACCAGTCTGTGATAAACGAATTGAGAAAAAAGGCTATTATAAGTCCGGTGGCTCTCATAGATGTGGCAGAGCCCATAAGGAGTTTTGTAGCTCCGAGATCCTCCAGATACCAATTGAGAAAATTAAATATTAAACCATTACTAAATCCTAAAAACCATGCTATCAGCATATAAAGAGCGTATTTTGGCTCAAGTAGAACCCTCCATACAGCACATTCGTCCATTTTAACGCCGTTATCTTCATCTTCGTAATTGAATTTAAAGAGTACTGCACCAAAAATGAAGGTCAGCGCCATTACTCCAGCAAAGATGTAGAAAAGATAGTTATAGTCATTCATGGATTGACCACAGTATGTATAACGAGTTAACTCTAACAAAGCACCGACTATAAACGATGCCACTGCATATCCCAAAGAGCCAAATAATCTTGTTTTACCATAATGTTTTTTCTTTTCTTGCAGCTTTTGAAGCAAAGCTGTATCAGTCAAGATAAACGTTGGTGCTTCAAGGAATTCTCCAACTACAATAAGCACCATCAACCAAATAAAGACTAAGTTTATCTCGTGTTGATCTCTAACCAAGTGAAATCCTGCCTTTTTCTTGTGAACATTTTCAGTACCGTTTGTGCTGTTTGAACGTCGAACTTTTTTATGAACAACTGAACCTGCAGTTTGACTCTTAAGCACGAATTTCATTTTCTCCGCTGGTAAATGGGTCAAAGTGTGGTATTTTTGGTAAAATTCGGTCTCTGACTCAGGAATATCATCATTCATCGTGATTCCCCCAGATGTAGGGACGACGGTACCACCTTTGATGCAAACAGTGTTTTTAGGTCTTGGGATCAAAAGCGCCAAAGTCATAACCAGCCACGAAAGAATTGAAAAGAGAAGGACTGCTTTACGGGCTCTGAACTTATCTGACAAAACCGACCAAAATGGAGCACTGGCAAATTGCACTAGAGGACGAATTCCCGCCAAAAGTCCCACAAGGCTTGCGTTTAAGCCAAGCTGTCTAAAGTACAATGGCATGTACGGAAACGATGCACCAAAACCAGCGAAAAATAAAAAATAAAACGCTTTGTAAGAGATAGTCGAAGTGTCGATCCTGAATTCACTCTTTAACGTTTCTATAAAACTTTGTTTGGGTGGTTCATCTTCTTGTATCAAGGTTTCTTCTTTATCAAAACCATCCATTGTGCAGTCGTTGTTTCTACAGTGCTTTGACTCGTACAACCATTAAGATGGTAGCGTACACGACTCTGATGGATCGGAATCGGTCTGTCAAAATGCTTCACTGGTCATCGACCTGCAGTGCTACCTGCCGTCAAAGAAATATGTTTATCAACTATGGAAATTCAACTAAATGTAAACATTGGAAATCCCAACTGTTATTATGACAATTATTACTATACTTCTGGTCGTTTCACTATATATAGATCCTAAATTGTTTTGATAACTATGCCTCTTGCTTTGATAGCTTGTCATTAAACCACACAACTTTGATTTTTAAGATTTGGAAAAAACGTGACTATCTGCGCGTGTGTAGCTCTTGTTAATCCCTTTTGTGAATTCCTTAGTTTGCTTTGGTTTTTCTTATTGAATAGTTGCTCTTGAGGCTTTCCTCACAAATTCTCGTATTATTGATTAATGTGTATTATATACGCGGTTTAATTAAATCGTCCGAATTGCGCATGCGTATAATAGTTATAACACATTATTATCAGAATGTTGTATTATTATTCACAATTATATTGCTATTTATTAATGCTTGCTCTAATTAACCTTGTTTGAGTAAATAATCAAAATAAAAGAAAACTTTACAATTAGGGTTGAACTTTCGAGAAAAAAAGAGACACACTATAAATCGAATCGACGTCGTATCGTGAAAATAGTCACGATTCGATTTATTGATCAATCACTAGAGTTTGTTTTCACTTCAATTCACACAACTTGCCGTCATTGACGACTTCACGTTTAAAGAAAGAAATAACATATAAACACATTTGATACAATGCTACGTGTTTTGATCTATTTTCAAATAACTTTTCCATTTTGCACTGGTCTTGTAGTTTATTCCTTTTTGAAGAAGCTCATGAGGCCGACCACCCGTTTTAGGCTGGTCACCCGTACCCTTTGATGTCCCGGATGATCTGTGTCTTTTGATGTCGTTTAATATCAATGAACAGACTGTTAACAATAATTTTAATGTCGTGATATAATGTTTTCACTTGATTATCAAACATAAGATTCTATAACTGGTCATATTAGCTTCAAGGACTCAAAGCCAAGAGGCTGCTTCGACGCGTTTCCGATGCGATGGAATCGAAGCCGAAAGACAAAAGAACAAGCAAACCATATTCAATGGCACACAAACCAGCAATTCAACCAACTACAACAGACAACAAACTAGTACTACAACGAAATGGAATTGCTGCAAGAATCAACAAAAACTTAATAGTTTTTAAGTACTTTTATCTCTTGTTCTACAGCGCTGCTGGGACGACTTTTCCTTTCTTGGTAAGATATTTTTACCAGATTGGTCTTTCCAATGGACAGGTCCTCGTGCTAACTTCAGTTCGTCCAGCAATTCACCTATTATTCGCTCCATTTTGGGGAATTCTCGGAGACAGATACGTTTGTAAAAAGCGAATAATTCAATTTTCTCTATTAATTTGGTTAATAGCGACTATTTCCATGGCATTTCTGGAGCCTACCGATCAAGAATGTCAGCTTGTGACGATTAACGAATCAAAGACATCGGTTATAAATTCCACTAACATGAAAACGGGTTTCTTCCGTCGAAAACGCGCTGTTATTGATATTGTAGAGACACCTTTAATAACAGAACCGAAAATTGAAACTACTATTAACCAAGGAATTGTTTCTGGTGGAGGACCCCTTAGTGAAAATGAAGATCAAACGGTACCTTTTTCAGGGAGTGGCTTGGGTTCACCAACAGATCAGACAGTCTTACACGCAACCACGACGGAACCTCCAAAGACAAAGCAAAAAGAAAAACATCGTAAACCGCAAAAAACTGCAAATAAGGTTAAACAACGGAACGTTCTACGGGAAAATGAGGAGGAGTTGAATCATATCTTCGTCAATGCGTTATTCGCTCTGGCAGTAGTTGAGATTTTTGCCTGCCCCATTTTAATTCTCATCGACGCAGTTGTTTTGAGTAAACAAAATGAAGAAAACTTTTCCTACGGACAACAAAGAGTGTTTGGATCTCTAGGATATTTAATGTTCTTTTTCATTGTCAATGCCTTACTACAAAATTCCCTACGCCCAGTCTGCGGGGAGATTTACGCTGATTTTGTGATTTGTTTCTGTTTCTTTGCGTTGATAACTATTGTGACGTTAATAGGAACAGTTAAACTACCATCAATGAATTGTGTTTCATCCTGCTCGGGCACTAGACCATTCTTTCGACTTAGGCAAATATTCTACACCAAGCATTTTGGGACTCTTTTTGCAAACATATGTTTCATGGGGTTCGCACACTCTTTCCTTGAAAATTACTTCAACTCCATTGTAATGGACTCCAAGGTTTCCTACAGTACATCTGTAACGATTAACTTCTTCCGTTCGATTGGTGAACCGCTGGCTTTATTCTTCAGTAGTATGGTGCTCAACAGAGCTGGTATCATTAACGTGCTGTTTGGGATTCCTTTGGTAACTGCGCTCAACCTTTTTGCAAGTTCGTTTATAACAAGTCCTTGGCATGCAATTCCTCTTGGGTTACTGGATGGCTGTACTTATGGGATATCATGGGTAGCTTACGCTACGTACCTTATTGGTTCTGCTCCAGATGATTGCACGGCTACGGTTCAAGGTAAAAACTGATTCGGCATAATTCCCATGCACTGTATATCCTGTCCTGCAGTTATTAGTATATAACACACAGTTTAAACTCTGTAAGCATCATTATAAAACTTATTAATAATGCATGAGCTATTACTCCAATAAGGGTTGTCCATTTCATCAGGTGATTGACCTTGTAAATCAGATACAACACTGTGATACAACACTAGTGTTGTATAAGATTTACAACACGGTCGTCACCATTGAGACAACCCAACACTAGCAAAGGTCTCAGTTTTAGTGTCGCATCATAGACCTTCACTAGGTTTTGAAGCAATCAAAGACGGATAACAGAACTGGCTTATGCAACAGATGGCTTGCTTTCCATGTGGGATGGATAATTATTCAAAATGTTCTGTGTTGCAGTAAATTGCGCATGCTTAATAGAGACTAAACTCAGCAGTTACCTTATTTGTCATTTTTCGTTATTTATCTCACTGTAATTCATGTTAATTTGTGTTGGAGTTTTATAAGTCGTTTACAACATTCGCGTCCGTGTTGTATGGGAATTACAATCTCTCGCCTGCGGCTCGAGATTGTAATTCCCATACAACACGGCCGCTCATGTTGTAAACTATACTTAAAAACATGCATGAAACACACTTACATATTTTCACATCGATTAATACCACGTCACTGCAACACAATGTTATCTTGTCGTGTGCTTTATGCAATTATTTTGGTGTATGACACAAAAACGAGCTCAGAATCATCCCAATTTAAACTGACCATACGTCAAGTTGTGAGCCTGCGTGTGTCTGTTGTCGCTTTTAGGTTAATTCTATGCGCGTACATAGAATTTCGAATATTTTTCAAGAAATGACAAGACTGAGAAATTTTGATAGTTTTTTGCTTGTTTTTGTATTTGATTGGCAATAATTATTTCTGATCCTTTAGAGTCGATAATCTTATGTTTTAAAATATTGCGTTCTTCAGCTTTCTCAAGTTTCGCAAAGCTGCTCATTTACTACATCTCGCCATGACATCAAATAAAAAACATATCTATACATGTATAGGTTGGTTTTATTTTATCAGCTAATGATGTATTATATGAATCTTTTTTGTTTTTGTTTAGGATGTTTTCAAAGTGCTTATTGGGGAATTGGGAATGGACTTCGTGTTTTGATCGGTACAAGCATCATGACCCTCGTTGGTCCAAGCACCTCGCTTCGTTTATTCACCATTGTGGGGTTCTGCATCACCATTGCTTTTATCGTTGGTCTTAGACATCTGCACTTTACAGAGAAGAACTTTTATACAACTTTAATCAGAAGACTAGAAGGTCTTTGCGAAGAACAGATAAAATGCGAAGTAATTCCACCAATAAAACAGGGTGGTGACAGCAATAATGAAGCCATGGCACACAAGGTAACCGTCATGGAGAAATCTGAAAGGAAGAAAGATGGAGGAAAGAAGGACAATATTAAAAAGGGAAAACACATTGAAGACAATAAATTTTAGCTAAAACATGTAAAAAAGTATTAAAAAAAGAAAATTTAATAATTATTAATTTGCAGACAAACTAAGAGCACTCTAGTACGATCTAGGACTGCTTGTTTATATGAATAAAAAAAGATGCAAGTCCAAAAAGTTTCATTTTAACTTGAATCATGTTTTCCTAACTGAATCGTTGCGCCCTGAGATTCCATGAAAAAGTTATCATAATTTTTGTTGTTGATATATTTTAGTTTCAGTCCGGTGTCATGGACTTTTATAACAATGAATGAAAACTTAGAAGATCAGGCAAGCAAAGCCGTTCACTCAGGTTTAAGCAATATCTCGTGTATATTGTAAAGGGGAACATACAGACTAAATCATGTGGATGATGCCAGCACCGAAAAGGATTCTGGTCAATTATATACAAAACGTCATCAAACATGAACTTTATTTTTCAACCGCTGGCTGAAGCAATTAGTGGGTCCCAGTTCGTTCTCTGTCGAAAATTTTGTAAAGTCACAAACCGTAAAATCTCGAATCAAGCACTAAAGAAAATAAATATAAATTATAAAAAAAATGTAAAATATCAAATTTCTAAGTATGGCTATCAAACCAACAAAAAACGATGAGAAAACGACCATTGTACAGCTGATTTCTACTCTTGAAACGTTTCAATCCATAAGTGCATACTTCATGACAGAGAGGAAAGTACTGTTAAGTAAGCCTTGATTTTTTTTAATCAACTCTTTGTTGTTTTGTCATATATAGATATTTTGTCTTTGGAAAATACAAGTGCTTGATTAAATCAAAATATTTTTATTCACGTTGGAAGAAAAACTGGAATTGTATGCCGTGAGAATCATAAAACTGCTTCAATACACAAAAAATTTGTCTTTTACCAGTAGTTGTAGTTTGAAGGCGACGTGCACGTGGTCACAGTACAACTGAAAGTGCGCCCAACCATACTTCAAAATCGTAAAACTGGAAAGAAACCTGCTAGCAGTTGACTGAGCAAAAAGGTGTCAGCGTTAATTCAAGATCACCTTTGACTGGTAAACATAGTAATGCTGGGAACAGACCTTGAATGAACCATCCAATCACAGACAAGGATTTCATCACGCGTTTGTGTTTATTAACAAGAGTGGCCATAGAAATTATCGATATTTTGAGTTTTTTCACGTGCCAGTAGTTATTTGTTATCATTAATTGATTGGGCACCTGTTATCGTCCCAAAATATCAAGGTGACAACATGATCCTTTAGTCGCGGCGACTACAACTTTGATTTCAGCCGTATCAATCAATGAGTACTCATTCAAATGCATGGAGACGTACTTCCAAATCAAGGGAAACAGACTATGTGGAACAGTCCATAAGAACCATTGTGTGTTCATGAAATAGCAAGAATATATTAATAGCTCTGTAACGACAGATACAGTCGAAAAGATGGCGAGCTCTGGGTTTCCAAAAATCAATAATGAACTCCTTCGCTTCAAAGCGTTTTACTTCTTCTTCCTTAGTGCCTTCGGTTCACTTTTACCGTATTTGTCGGTCTATTTCAGGCAAATAGGGCTGTCTGCAAGTCATGTGGGGCTGTTGATTGGCATGAGACCGATTATACAGTTTGCAAGCGCGCCATTTTGGGCAATAATGGCGGACAGATATAAAAAACGCAAGCCAATATTGGTAATGTCGATATTCGCATGGCTTATCATGACTTTAGCTCTAGCATTTGTGGAACCAACTACAGAGATCTGTGAGATGCGTATTGAAAATAATTCCATGCTACAATTTGTTAATTATACGAAAATAAAAACTGGATTTTTCAGTCGACGCTCTCTTGTGTTGACGGGTAGAATCAATATGACGACTGCCATCGTGAATGCGTCTTACTTACACAAGTTTAGAAGGAAAGATAATGTGTTGAACGACTATAATAAAAAGGGAGGATTTTCTATAATCCAGTCTCCATTAACAAAGAAGACTTTTTCTGCAAAGAATCACATGGCATCTCATCCCTCGGTTGGATCTAAGTGGAGATCAAAATCATTGCAGGTCAATAGGACAAACAAAAATGCAGTGATTTCGGAAGTTAAGGCCATGGATTATAAAGAAAAACCTTTTAAAAACATCTTGTCTGATAATAACACATTACATAAACCACGACGAACTATACCAGGGATACAATCTAATAAGATATTCAGAGCGATTAAAGATTACAAGACGTTGAAAAACAGCGAGAAAGTCGCTGGTAGTAACCACTTTACAAAAAGTGATAAAAACCTCGTCAAGGAAAAACGGATGGATTATTTGAAACTTCATGGAAGATCAAAAACAAATGCAACAAGGCCAAGACTGCACAAAGCAAAGCCACATAGCTCCACAGTTGCATTCTCAACAGGTGATTTTACAGATAGCAGCCATTTTACAGTGGACAAGGTAGATGAAACGACCAATGAAAGTGGCGAAGAATTTTCTGGAGAGCAGAGTAAAAAAYCAGGGAATGCAAGCATTCCTAAGCACATAAAAGAGGCTGCAGAAAAACTTCAAAAACAACTCACAAATAGTATTCATCTTTTAAACCACATCGCCAAAAACTCCAGTGAAGTTCTCCTACACCACGCCATTGCGATGTTTTCAAAAAAGGACAAAAGTGACACAGTGAGGCATAGTCCGCCAAAAACCATTCCACAGCTGTCAAATGTCATTAACAATTTCGTAAAATCATCTCATGGTTATAAGTCAGTGAATCTGGAAGGTTCGGGCTCAGGTGTTGGATCTTCTTTATTGTTAAGCAGTGATAACGATTTGACTAATTTAGCCATGTCACACATTAACCCAAAAGATGGTTTGAATACTCCTGACGATCTTCATCAAAAGGAATCCAAGGAAACACTCAGAGGTGTTATCCACCACAGCGTCCTTCCTCATCATGTCTTGACTTTAAAACGGAATGATACAGAAAGGTTGTCGGTTACGCAGTTACTTGGTGATAGTGATGAATATAAATCATCTGCGCAGTCCGGTTCTGGAGAAGCATCGGGTGCTACATCAAATCCTTCCATCATCTTGTCTGCGACGGGTTTTAATCACATGGACAGCAACACTTCAACAGACGAGCAACAAACAGACTCGCTCAAGCACGTTGGTTCTAACTCACCTTCTGCAACTTCTAACGTCATAAATCAAGCAAACACAACTTTAAAAAACCTCTTAAAATCAAACGAGCATGAAATGTCCCGGATCTTCACAATCTTGCTTGTTTTCATAGTTGTCGGAGAATTTTTAGAGTCGCCTTCAGCTACATTAGCCGATGCATCTCTTCTTGAAGTGCTTGGCGAAAATCGACAATTTTATGGTAAGCAAAGACTGTTTGGATCCATCGGGTTCGGAGTGTCTTCATTCATTGTTGGTGTTTTGTTAGAACACTCTAGACATCTCGTTTGCGGTGATGAATACATAGACTACATGATATGTTTCTGTGGCTTTGGTGTGATGATGTTCATCACACTTCTCATAACATCGTCGTTTGAGTTTCATTACAGTGATACTCAATCCAACAGTGGTAGTGTCTTTTCTTCATTATGTAACGTACACTATGGCTCATGCCTGCTTGCTGCATGCATCATGGGTATAGACTTTAGCATGTCTCATAATTTCCTAGCATGGTTCTTAGAAGACTTAGGAGCCAGTAAGTCGATCATGGGACTTGCTGTCATTTCACGATGCTTTGCAGACACCGTAACTTTTTACTTTGCTGGTAATATTATCAAACATATTGGACAAGTCCGTGTAATGATAATGGTCCTTATATCATACACGGTTATTCTGCTCATATTTTCTATACTACACAACCCATTGTGGGTTATCCCTGTGGAAATTCTCGATGGAATTACGTATGCCATGGCGTGGTCATCGCTCACCTCGTATCTTGCAGGGGCGGTTCCTGCTGACTCTCTAACGACACTGCAAGGTATGTTTTTGTCAAAAACCCTGTTTTGAGACTATTAGTAAATACAGCAATGTTTTATGGTAACATTCGAGATTAGGCTAGCCTGCAATCTTGGACATAAATGTTGACAATTTTTACGTACGCACGACATTTCTCACATTCTTCGTCGATAAAACCTTGCTCGTGACGCCCCCCCCCCCTCCCTCTCCCCTTCCCCCAATACAATGTTGCGTGGCTTTCTTTTCATTGGTTGTCCATTCATTAACCCCTGCATGCAACATTGATGCGGGAGGGGAGGGAGGGAAGGGGAATATTTTCAGTTTATGCACACAATACAGTATTTGTAATGCGCAAGAGAAAAATTGTCAAGTATTTATGTCCAAGATTGTGGGTTTTAGGGCAGTTCTTGATGTTAAAAGAAATTGTACATATTAACATTATATTATAGCTAAAAGAAGAAGCTTGAGCTATTTTCAAGCAAAAATCGCGATCTTCCTCGATTCAATGTAATATATTTTTGTTTCAGGTATTTTACAAGGAGTGTACTGGGGTCTTGGTTCTGGTTCAGGAGCAATCGCTGGAGGCTACCTTATTCATCACATTGGCGTAGTCAAAACATTTCAATTCATGGCGGGTTTAACATTGACAGTATGTTTGATATTCAGCACGGCTCAATGGAAATGGACTAATAACAACACTTCTAATGACCATACACAAACTAAATACACATATTTACCAACTGTACAAACAAAGGATACCAACGAACTCTTGGGTAGATATCATATACCTAGAATTCCCGCCAGAATCAAAGGAAAGTTCACTGTGAAGTAACATTTGCTCGAGGACACGTCCACACAAACGCGGATTCATTCATCAGTGAAATAGCTCGAAGACCCGGTTCCTTCGGCGAATCTCGGCTTAATCCAAACCAAACAATTCAATCTTTTATTTACTGATTATAGAACGATTCGCATTGACTGGGATTCGGCCTATGTGATATTCTTCGTATGTTTTAAACAACAAAAGTAAGACATAAAACTGCTGTAAACTGATTCAATTTAATTTATTATAGTGTCCAGCAGTGACCAAAACTTCCTAATTACAGTAAAGAACAGCCTATGAATTTCATTAAGGACACTGATGTTTCTCTTTTAAGTGATTTTGTAAGTTATAAAAATGTTCATTAAAAAATAACATTAATTAAACAACAAGCAAACCAAAATGAATTCTAAATATAGACTTCTAAAATTTTATGTGTTTTCAAAGACGACGGCGGTTTCCACCCATACTTGAGTCTAACGATTAATAGATGAATAAACAAATCATGTCTAAAACATAAAAAACAGCTATGTGCAAGAATAATACTGATGAAGACAGTGTAGTTCACTTAATTTGGGTTCTCTCCTTGTCGACTGGAGGGTTTTCGGGTAAATCGTCTAGTTCTTTACTAGGGAGGGGTTCGTATTCCCGCTGTTCGTCTGCATGATTTGTTGCCTGAAAGATCGGAAAAGTAATCAGAAGGATGAGTAAAACCACAAGTGAACTTATCGCGAAGTACTGGAACGTCGTCTGTGGTCCAATTTCCTTGTATAAATGGCCGCTAAGAACTGTTCCACCGCCATTACCCAGTCCGTAGAATATCCCTTGAAGAATACCTGAAGAAGAATTCACAAACAATAGTCGGCAATAGATTTTAATTAATTAACACACTTTGTAATGTCACACAGCTTTGATCTGAATCTCACAATGAAAGTCAGACTCCATAGACTAACAAAAAGAAACAAGCTGTTGTACTGTGTTGTAGGAGCGGGCGAGGGACGGCCCACCCTTGGCCAAATTATCACTAAGGAGCCAAACCATTAAAATAATTTCATGAATAATTATAATTAATACAAAATGAAAAATAAATTCGAATATAAAGGTATCACTCAGAAGTTGTACATATAATGCACATATCTCAGAAAAAAGACAGTTTTCCATAAACTCATCCGTACATGCTTGTAGTTATAGCTGAACAAATCTACATGAATTATAAGTTAAATGATCCGCGAAGAAGAATATAACAATAAAATCCAAGATTTAGTCATTTTCAACAGGGTTTTTTTGCATTTCTAAAACTTGAAAAAAAAACAACAAAAAACAACATTACCTTGCATGATAACAACAGCGCCAATTGGTGCACCAAGGGAAGACATATAGTTGATACTATTGCACCATACTAGACCATATATAGCGCCATCTAATGCCTCTAAAGGAACAGCCATCCATGGAGAATTGATAATAGAGAACCAAAAAAAGCAGGCCGCATACCCAAGAAGACAGATTCCCATGGTGTTCAGGTTCCCGATAAGCTTGACAAAACTTCCTCCGAGGAAGAAAAATGTCATTTCTCCCAGCTCTCGTGCGGCCCCTGCGGCTCCCATCACAAGGGTAGAGCCTCCCTTGTCGTCAATGTACCAGTTTACAAAATGCATCAGAAATCCATAACAGCATCCAGCGAAGAGAATCGTCCCAAGAAACGTCAGGTGAATTGGTTTACACAAGACTTTCAATGCTCTTCTGAGAGACGGTTTTTCTTCGTCTTCCTGTGATTTGGTGAAAGTGAAGCAGAAGACACAAAAGAACGCACAAGATACGAACCCAAAATACACATAGAAAACATCATCGTATCTGAATTGTAAGACAGCGCACATCACCGTTCGTGTGGAGTACAAAAGCGCGCCTACAGAAGAAGTGGCGATCGCCCATCCTAAAGCTCCCCATTGTCGTATCTGACCATAGTAATTCCGGTCTTCACCAAGTCTGTTGAGGAGAGATGCATCCGAAAGTGCGTACGTTGGAGATTCGAGGAATTCACCAATGATGATCACCATCAGGAAAATGATGAAGAGATACTTGATTTCTTGCTTGTCCACTCTTGTCGTGAAGGCGATAGTCTCTTTAGTGGTTAAGTCAAATTTACTTACAATGCTTTTATCAAATAAAGAATGAGTTTCCTGCAGTAAGAGACCTGGGTTTTTATTACCTTTTTTGAGAAATGTTTTACTGTGGTCGATTTCCCATGTAATTTTAGCAGTGTCTTTTCCCAGCCACAAATCTCTCGAAGAAATATAACTAATGTTAGTACTTGAATTGGTGTATGTCTGAATACATAATTGATGTTTAGGAATCACTGCCCAGAGAAGCAAGGCTTTAACAATCCAAGCCAAAATCCCTCCACACAAGAATAGCTTCTTTACTTGGAATCGTTCTGCCAATTCAGTCCAAAATGGAGCTCCAACAAATTGAATCAGAGGACGAATTCCAACTATGGTGCCAGCCAAGAGACTGCTTAGTCCATAAGACTTGAAATACAATGGCAGGAAAGGGTATAGCGCACCAAATCCACCGTAAATAAAAAAGGAGAAGGCTTTATATGCTAGGAGATCTTTCTCTACGAAGCATTTGAAGAAACCCYCTTTCTCCTTTTTCTTCTGTGCCATCACCATCTTGTAGAACCAAACGTTTACAAGATCATGGCGAAGGAAATATAATATAGACGGCTTGCTTCGTTGATTGCGAGGGGCGATCTCATCTATATAGTGATATTTGAATATGCAAATATACTGTGAACAATAGAAGTAATCCTCACATAATCATCACCTAACTTACCATAACTCACCTTCAAAGCAAATTGGAGAAATTTGGCAATATATTGAAGATAGGAAAAAATAATGAATTGTATATGAAACCAACGTCAGTATATCAGAGTGGAAAACTGCTTATATTAGAATTTCAGCGGGAAAAAACACCTATAGGGGCAACATTCATGAAAATTGCTGATGCAGAGCATTGAAGCTTCAGGCAATTTACCAAATAACCTCCCTCCCCGAAGTGTTTTTGATATACAGGCTTTTTTTAATTGGAAAACATTCTAATTTTATTCATGGTTCTCTTAATACATGTTATTAAGTTCAGTGTTCACATTAAATAACATCTCTTTAGACCTTCTTTGTGACATCTCCTTGTGGCCTCTGCATTATACTATGGATGACTACACTAAGCTTCTCAGTCCATTCAAGTCCTATAGTGTAGGTTATGCCCATGCAAGCGTTTCAACAGTCTGGATAATCACGCACGCATTTCGTCCTCTTATTGATTTTACGTTTTCCAACGTTCAAAGTTTCTGACAATTTTTAATTTGKATATTGAAAAGTTTTAATTCAATTATACCCAATTTCTATTATTGAAATAAACCTGTTTATAGAAATTGTCCATGCACTGGATCAGGTTGGCTGAGCTTCTTGGCTTCTCTACTGAGCTCATTATACTTGCTTGGAAGCTAGAACTAATTACGGAAAATCGTCTTTGAAATTCTGCTCTAAGATCTGGAATTCAACTGATGACTCGATCACTTCCACGAAAATTATTACTTCAAAAGTTCAAAGAAAAATGCTTATTAAAATATATCTATATATCGCCTTTAATAGATAATTGTGAATAATTGACCTATTTCATTATGACGTCACAGTATTTTTACATCGGAAAACGATGCTCAAAAACAGTGGAAATTTGGACCCATTTGTATTGTCTACAAAAGTAGAACTTCAATGAATCGTGTTTTGATATATGTCATGCATAAACGATTGTTCATGTACATTTTATTTGATATGCAGTCACTCTGATCCCTTCTGGCGACCATAATCCTTAGCGTTAAAACAATAAATGTTTTGATGTGACGTCATAATGAACTAGGGCAATTGTCCTGAGTATGAGAAAAACATCTATTATGGCACGACTCAGTATCTTATATAATAAAAGGTACTGATGGAACTATATCAAACAATATTTTCACAAGGTATGCTTTATTACATCAATTATAATTAGCATTAAATAACATCAATTATTTAAGAGAATCTATTAACAGTTCATTTTGTGATATATAGTTTAGGTGTTTGCCTAGTTTTCAGTAGTTTTCTAAATTGTCGCTATTCAATTCATCATCGTATTGCTGGCTGCTTTCGTCCAGTTCCCTAGTATCATTATAAACATTATGACCGTCATTATCACCATCACCAACATCATTACCATCGCCACCATCATTGCCATCACCAACATCATCGCCATCATTGCCATCACAACCATCATTATCATCATTACCATCACCACCATCATTGCCATCATCGAATGATTCTCTGTAATCGTCATAACGTCCATAATCGATATTGTTTTTCTTCTGGTCATCATCATCATAATCATCATCAAATTCCTCGTCTTCTTCTGGGTYAGGTTGTATGTAGCAAAGAATTGCAGCCAGTACAAGAAGTAAAACAATTGTTGATACGCCTAAAGTGCAAAAAGTGTTCCTTCCTTGGAAGTCATACAAGGATCCACCAATTATCGATCCAAGACCTTGTCCAGCGCCCCAGAAAATTGCAGATAGCAGATCTATAAATAAACAATGAAACAAAATTTGATATTCTACTATTTCCTTGAAAGCATTCCTCATTAGTTTCTCTGGGTGACTTTCCGACATGGTGGAAAATGCTGAATTGATCTTTTCGCAGGGGATTCTAGTCGTTGTCATGTAGCTGGATTTGCACTGATCGCATATGCATGTACAATTTAGGCATATATATAATAGGCGATTAGCCTTTTTAAGCAATGAATATGGACGCGCGCTTCTTTTTTTTTTAATTTAAACGTATACAGACCTTTAGTGAGGGAAGCGACGTTTTCGGAGACATTCAAGTGTCTAACGAAATGATCACAGCAACGCCAGACGAAGGCGAACGAAACTCCTTCAATTACAACAATTGCTACCACAACCCAATTATTCTGTATCAGCCAATAACAGAAGAAACAGACGGTATAACACATCAGAGAGAACAGAGTCACATTAGCCTTGCCAAGTATAGGTACCATGGTCTTTGCGAATTGGTAAGATATGAAAATAACGAGAACTCTCGTTGAACAAAGTGCTGCCACAACTAAAGGACTTGCACCAAGATCATCGATGTACCAGTTTAGAAAAGGCACAAGAAAACCTGTACATAAGCTAATGTACACCAAGCCCAGTAGAAAGATTAGATGTTTGGGTTTGCAGAAGGTCTTGAAGGATTTTTTCCAGGTGGCACAGCCAGTGTCAGATTTTTTAGTATCGTCGACGTACTCAAACCACAGGGCGTTAGTAAAAGCCATGCAAACAAAACCAATGCTGAAATAAAACGCAGCGTAATAGGTGAAGCCGTAGAAGCCACAGCGAAGAGCATTTGAACCATAGACGATTGCTCCAACGACTAAAGCCGTGCCAGCCCAACCAAGGGACCCCGTGAAGTGCATTTTTGTAGGAGAAGAGCGAAAACTGTCCTCCAAGCTATTAAACACAGAGCCATCTCCTAGTCCAAACGTTGGAGCTTGTAAAAAGTCACAAACCAAAGTAAAAAGAAGGAAAATAAGAAAGATATCGTATACTTCGTCTTTATCTCCTGTTATAGTATAATGAACAGTGGCGTTCAGGGTTGGATCCAATCTAGAGCCTTTTTTTATCACAACCGTCGAAGGCAAGACACTTTTAATGATTACTGGAGATCCTGCCATGAGATGTCTTGACGTCCAAGACTTCGGTAGTTTTTCCATGACGTTTATAATGTCATCATTGCTTACATCTCTAGCAGGAGACGCTGTTGTTTTGAGCGATTTCTTGCTGGTTGTTCGTTTGACTACAGTCCATTTGACTTCTTCTTCTTTCATCGAGTCCGTATACACCATCGAACGAGTGTAAGTTAGATTAGTAGAAGAATTTACATAACTTTGTAGACAGATTTGTTTATGTGGTTCCACAGCAAGAAATAGTAACAATTTGACCAGCATCGACAAAACTCCAGCAAGAAAGACTAGCTTCTGCGCGTTCCATTTCCCCGCAATGGCCATCCATACAGGTGAAACAATACATTGTACAATCGGTGACAAACCTAAAATGATGCCAACTTGATAAGCAGCTAAGTTGTATCTCTTGAGATAAAGCGGTAAATACGGCGTTATAGCACCAAAAGAACCGTAAAGAAAGATACAAAACGCTTGAGAAATAAGCAGATCAGGTTTCAAGAAGCACGAAGAAAGGTTACGAAACCACTCGACTACTTTTTTGCTCTTTTTTTGTCGCAATTTTTGTAGAATAGGGTCATTTTCGATGGCTTCATCGTCCTCCATAGCTGAGTATTGTTTTCAAGCTGGTGATCAAGGAGGATTTATGCGAGTGCTTTCGTTTTATGAAATATTAGCATAATAACAGTCTTCGTCTATTGATGCATAACTTAGATTCACTTGACGCACCGTGGAAACTGCTAATTGAATGCAAAAAGAATAAACATTAGTGTTTGTAGTAAAATAAAAGGATTACAATTTGATTTAATGATTATTTTCCACTTTGAATTTTGGGTTTTTCAAAAAAACGGTTTTTGTAGAAATAAAAAAAAAATTGAGTCAGAATTATTATTTTAAAATCATTATCACAACCTCATCGTCTTAGTGACATGTCTTTCTTAGTAACAACATATATATTTTAATGGATTTTCTTTTTATTTTAACGAGAAAACGAATTGACACTTTATCGCATTTAATTCCCGCGCAAAAAATAAATCAAATATTGGCAGCCATGCCTCGGACCGCGCAAAAATACATTTAAATATATTAATCAAGTATAAATTGTTTTTGAAGGAAAAAAATACAAATTAGATTTTGGGAAAACTAAGACAATCTAATATATAAAATTACTTGTATATCACACATAATCCATTCCTTAGTGGGAAATTATCCTAAATTACCGTTTCGTTTGATTTACAAAAGAAGATATTACATGCGTAGGCGCCGGAATAATTCTGCATGCATTACAAGACCAATAGCGCTTGGGTTGCGTAATGAGTAACTTGGCATGTGGCACGAAAGGAGCTTCCGATAGAAAAATTGAGCAGGTTTTCATTGTTGTAACTATCTAATTACCGCTTACAATCTAGAAGGCATCCTTTCAAGCCTATAGCAACTTTATTTGGGTTTGAGGTTTGTTGGGGGAGGGGAGGGGGTGTGGAAGTTGAACCCGATTCTACTCTGCAACAATTTCTGCTCCCGACAATATTCCCCGGAAGCTTAGTTTCCGTAATGCCTGCATGGTGGACGAGATCCCAGGCACACTCCAAGACTCCGAATGCCAGGATACTGGTCAGAAAGGTAGCAATGTCAATGTGAAATAGAGATATTATTGACATGCAGAATTCCTCAAATGCATGACTCAAAATACTCCACACATTTCCTAATCTAGCTTTTATTCTTTAAATAAATCTTTCCCTTAGTGAATATACCGCAACTGTTGTTTTACAGAAAATTATCAAATACTTCCATAAGATTATTAGTAAGTTCTCGTCTAAAAATGTATTTTCTCTCTATTTAAACTATCTTTATCAACACTGAAGTGATACACCTCAAAATGTTAAATTTATACACCGAAATACTCGGAACCCAAAAAGAGTTCTAGCCTATACCAAATATTATAAGTTAATTTCTCCAAATGTGGATCGTTATGAGTCGATAGCTTGCGAACAACAAATGCCGTACTCGGCTTTCGTGCTCTTATTATTGCAGTTTTAGTTCGTTGATCATTCATTTGCAGGGGCATTATTATTGTATCCATTTGTAAGTGTTTTGTGTTGCCCACTCCCTCTCAGAGTTTGCTGTCCGGTTACCACAAAGGCACTGGACGGAGCAATTCGGTTATGATTACAGCAAAGAGAACTGCGAATCCAACTTGATATATTCTTGAATCCATTGCGAAAACTCTTGTTAAAAAGCGAGTAAAGGAATGGATTGATAGCACTGTTTGAATGTCCCAAGAACAAAGACACAAAGTAGAATGCATTGATAGCTCTTGGACATGGAATAAYGTGTCTCGCAAAGAACATTATAAACTGAAAGACCCACAAAGGCATCCAGCAGAACGAAAACACGATTGTAACTGCAAGAAGCATGATAATTACTCTACGGCGCGATTTCTGAATAAGCATTTCAGTCTGGTTGATTTGTTCACCTGGTGCTTTCCGCTTCCATAATGATTGACAGATCGCCAGGTAGAGAAAAGCCATCCCAACTAGTGGTACGACGTACATTACTACAAAGAGAATGATTGTAAAATGTTTAGGTGATTGTTCTTTATCAAATGGAGCGCCCCATTCCTCGATACATAAACTATTTCCGTCAATTTCAACGACTTTTTGCGCGGAAATCAATGGCGCCATGACGCTAAGTGATACAACCCAGATCAATACCACAATGTACTTTGCCTTGTCGACGCCAGGCCGACGTCTCAACGGAGACACGACGCACAGATATCGATCTCCTGAAACAGCTACGAGCGTCAGCACTGACACTGCCACCGCTACGCTTTGAAAGTAGACAACAATTTTGCACACAAACGAGCCAAACATCCAATTGGTAACGTAGACTTCGGTGATCATGTTCGGCATGCCAGTCAAAGCTATGAAGATATCTGAAGCAGCTAARTTGGCTATAAACCAGTTTGTCATATTCCTTTCATGGTAGTTCTTATAGACAATGTAAATGACAGTAGAGTTGCCAATAATTGAGATACTGATGATTAAGATATATACAATTGTCTTGAACGCTTGGGTGTATGGTGTCTCGGTGTACGCCTCACAGGGGCTCCCTGGGGAAGTCGTGGTTGTGATATTCGTGGTGTTGTTAGTCATTTCTGTTGGTAAAGTAAACGACGGCATTAATATCAATAATCGATTACTGATTTTATGTGGAGACGCTATGGTTTGTCTTCGGCCTCCTGCGCAGCCGTATCGAGAATTTCTTCTAATTTTGACTCGGCAGTTTGAGTGAGCGCCTGAATGAGAAGACTAGCTTTAATGGTGCTCCAGAAATAGTCTGTCAATTGTGCATTGACCAATCAAATGACAGTAACCATGGTAACTAGAACTAAGAAAACGTACAAGAACCAAATAGACTCGGTCGGAGTTTGGGAAGATATCAGCTGGATTGAGACTTTTTCACTTTCAACCTGTCACAGAACCCCTACGGAGCCCACTTATCTCACCTGAATGAGGGGAAATATAACTCGTCATGTCAAATTAAGCTCATGAATTTTTTTTGCTAATCCCACCCAATTGCTTGCTTTGCTTATAAGCAGGACGAAGAGAGAGTCTCTCTCTTCACTCTACTTATAATGTAGTTACATAGGATCGCAAACTGCCAAACTAAAATTAGACTTACTATCATTTGCTGTAAATATGCCATCTCTTTCCTATTTCCCGATAGTAATTTAAGTCCTGAGGGCAGTCTGAAGGCCGGATTTAACTGTCATACAGTATATTTCGCTATGTACAGTTTAATATATAGTGGGGACTCTAATTGCAAATTGCGTGCTCTATATACACATCAATTTTCACTCAACACCCCAACATTAAGTTGTTCTCCTATATTGTACTACTCACGCTACTCCTATACTTAAGAAAATTATATATAAAGCGACTAGAAAATTCCGATAATTATAATCTATATAAAGTATAATATAATACGTACTATGCCCTCTAGGAGTGTATTCAGTTCCATATTTGACTTTTGATGAGTTAGATACCATCTGTTCAAACTAGTTTCAAGGAAGACTATTTCTCTGAGAGGCGTGCAGTTTGTCAGTGATATTGTGTTATTAAAACTTACGCGTTATGCTATTTGTAATAATTCGATATAATCGCTGACAGCATTGTACAATATCCGTCAGGGCAAGACCTTCCTACCGCCAGTTCCAATAACCTTACTTAATGAGTCCAGACGACAATATGCACTGAACGGTTTTGTAAACCTAGCAATATGCAACGGTTTGGCTCGCTTTGTGGCTTAAAAGATTGTCTTTTCTAAGATGGATTAAGTCGAACATTACTCACTAATTCCGTCGTCAAAAATATTACATTCATTTCCAGACATGGTAGTTAAGTAACCCCAATGTAACTACATATATCATTGTGCTATTTCACAAGGGAACTCCGCAGTTTAACGATACGAAAATATGCTTTCGCAATTTTCATTAAAAAAAACTTTAAAAGATAACGGACGTCATTTTAAAGGGCGTGGTTAGTCAATAATTTGATCCAAAAAGGAAAAGACGATGCTGTAAAACGTGCCTGGAAGAGAAACTGATTACGTCTCTACATAAATGTGTAAAGTGCAAACGTGAATTGCATGTAATGGATATCGCTGCGCTGATAATAGATGTCCGCATATTGCTAAAAAGGGTCAAAAATTTCGATCGAAAGCTGTCCATATAGATAGTAGAGGGAAATGGTTAGGAAGCCTTTTGTTGTTGGTTTTTGTGCAACAAGCGCGACCATGCACAATCTTACAGATACTGGTCACATCTGAATGAACAGAGCGAAAATTATTCTTCTGACTATTGTTTCAAAACGTTCAAAAAAATTTAACCAATATTAAAATATTTCATTTCATAATCTCATAAAGGGTATTTATGTTTAGTCATTTTGCAATTTCCATCTTCCACAAGAAAAACGTTGTTCACGGTCTTGATTGATTCAACAAAATAACAGGGGCGGATCCAGGATTTTCCTCAGCGAGGGGTGCGGACCTCTCAGGAGTGGGTATACCCCACAAAAATCATTACAATGAAGATAAAAAGTATTGAAAGAAATAGATCTCAGGAGAGGGTTGGATCCGCCTCTGAATACGTACAAAAGAACTCAGGCATGTTAAGGCCTGGTTTTTCCTAGATTTTCAATAAACCTCAAAGAATTCATTATTCTTTCCAAAAATCATTAATCAATTGGTTTGTATTATCAAGTTCAGCAAAAATAAACCTTTATTTAAGTATTTTAACTTTGGGGGGGTGTCACGTGACAAGATAAGTCCGTTATTTGGCTTGAAAGTTTCAATTGAAAATGGGGGATATAATGAATTCTTCGATTTACANCTTTGCTGATCTACTGTTCAAAAAATGGATAATAAACAAAACTAATTACTTAGAGATTAAAACTGATATGCAAACAAACCTTAGGCATTTGAGGATGGCTCATATCTTTATCTACAATAACACCTTTTACCAGAACTGTGTCATCAAGTTTGCCACCTTCTTTTCCTTCTACTTTGATGAGTTCAAAATCAACATCCCTTCGCTCTAAGTCGGCTACAGAAAGGACTGCATCAACGGCAATCTCAGCTAAAGGACGATGACATCTACTAACACTGTAAATCAAATATCAATAATGATTGGTGATTTATAAGTATTTGTATCTATAATCCCTTTGATAAAACTGGCTAGAAAATTGAGACAATGCACACCATTATTCTACAGCTTTACAAAAAGTATAAATTGAAGAAATTTTACTTTAAAAKGACTTACATTTTTGAACCAAGTGTAGTCATTGCTGTTTGAATTAAAGGTTCTCTGTTTGTTTTATCTACTGGGAAACTATCACAAATCTTATCCATGTGTTCTATGGCTATTTTAGCRGCCAATTCATAACCATCTGATATACGAATAGGATGTAATCCCCAGTCTAGTAACTGCTCTGCATGCTCCAGTAAGGCTCCTGCAAGAACTGATAGATAATAATGATTTTAATCAGTTGAAACTGCTGGTGGTCCTGGAATTGTGCACAGAATTTTAATTTAAACTGTTATTTTACATACCCACGACACCAGTTGTTCCATCTCCAATTTCATCGTCCTGTGACTTGGAAAGTTCAACCATCAATTTGGCAACTTCATGATCAACTTCCATTTTACCCAGAATGGTAGCACCGTCATTGGTTACTGTAACTTCACCATCTGGACTAACCATCATTTTGTCCATACCTGTCAAAAAGTATGCAATACCAAAGACTGTTAAACAAAATGTTGGATGATTTAAATAACACAATGTAAATAAGTGAAAATATTGATGGAGATCTCTTGAAAGAAGTTTAGTGAAGTTCAGATTTGACTGACAGCTGAAAACAGCTGAAGACAGCAGAAGCAGATCTGGTTATTTGTCTGTGAACTGGATTTGTCATACGTATTCCGGGTTGCATGTTATGTCATTGTCGCCATGTTGGATAACGATAACAAAGCATTTTTCATTAGTTTCTCTTGTTCAGTCATCCAACATGGCAGCAGTAGCCTTGATCTTTATTTCTTGAGGGATTTTTGATCATGTGGTTGCAGCCCAAGAATATGTACACAATGTTTTGTTCAAACATGACATGTTATTTTTTTGTAGTCAGAAAACTGTAGAAAAGAAATTGCCTACCAATCGACGATTATCAAAACCATTATTATTGTTGATAGAAACCAAATTAATTTCTAAGGAAACTCAGTACAGCAACAGATGACAAAACTGTGACGATCGATGGAGGTGTGTTCTCAATTTTCATTAAAAAWATTGATTCTTGAAAAGCACTGATAAAACAGGGAAAGGAAAAGACCTAAATACTAAAAACATGTAAATACGATTCTTCTAAATAAACACATTAATATTTTTAAATGCGAATCTGAAGCATTCACGTGTCTAAATCGTACATTGCAGGTTGGGAGCTGTCAAACTCACCCTTCGGTCCAAGCGATGTTCTTAAAATACTTGCTACAGCACGAGCCGCCAAAATATGTGACTAAAAACAAATAAAACCATGTAGCTGAGAATAAAATCTATACACTGTAATAACGTTTACGATCTTTAACAACAGCAGGACATACCTTATGAGCTTCAAGACCTGTCAACCGGCGTTCGGCCTCTTGTTCCTTGAGGATAATAAATGGTCTGCCGAATTCATCGAAGGTAATGCCTTGGGCAGTTGCTTTCAGAGGGCCCATAGACATGATTGACGATATTTYTTATAGGTTTCCTGTAGTTGTGAAGCCGATGATTTTGGATTTTGTACACAAAAATCTYCCAGGATGGATCTTGAAGCAGAAAAAGTATACACCTTTCGATACCAGTCCCCAGGTTCAGACACAGGTAGCCCATATATTTGATTATTTTCTTTTATTATTTTACTGACATATTACTGGTGAGTATCTTATAAGTAAGCCGTGATCGTCTAGTGGTTAGGACATTGCGTTGTGGCCGCAATAACCCAGGTTCGAATCCTGGTYACGGCAATATACAACTATTTTGAGTTCAAAGCCCAGTAGGACAGTTTGCTTGTGTAGTTATTTTGTGTTGCTTTTTGTTTGTTTGTATAATATTTATATTATTTTCTCATGTGCTTTAAATTGTCTAGGTGCATTTAAAACTTTGCCGTAAAAATAAAAACTCTAAAATAAAAACTTTGCTAAGAAGAAAAATTTAGTGGAAAAATAGGATGTGATCATTTAAATGATATTTCTAGAAAAAAATCATTATTTTCAAGTTACATGTTATTTTTAGTTTTTTTCTATATTGATTTTCCATATACGTGTAAGAATTTCAATGTAAAAAGAGAAAAAAAAAAAATCCCGTTCCCATACCGGGAGTCGAACCCGGGCCGCCTGGGTGAAAGCCAGGAATCCTAACCGCTAGACCATATGGGAATTCGGTGTTAWMGATAACAATTATTTGGARGAAAATTTACACGACACAAAATGACTCATAGTAAACATGACTCAGACTATGTGTCAGATTGAAATATTTTTAGTAAAATTGCAGATTGAATGGGAAACCAAACTAAACCAAGAATAGCTAAACCAGAAACATTTCCTGTACAGAACAGACAAATCAGCGAAGCAGAACACACATGCTGTATTGTCAAGGACCAGGGGCCAAGGGGGTTTTAGGAACAGAATGTTAGCTTTGAATAGTATTCATTCGCAATAATTGGGATTAAAAGTTTCGTTACTTTGGATCAAGGACTGAGGACGTTACGGTCAGGATTGTGGAAAACTGAAAAATTTATATGCGCCTAAAATGTTTTTTTGGTTTCTGATTGGTCGAGAGATGCTTTGGTAAATAATAGTACTATAACACGGTCGCAATCTAATTGTAGGATATTTTCTGTGTGGTAAAAAAAGAAATTTATGATAGTTGATTGATTGACTGATCGATTGATTAATTGATTGTTTGATTGATTGACAGGAGCCCATATTAATTATTTAAGGTGCTCCTGATCATGATCGATTGATTGATCGCTCTTATATCTTCGTTTAGAAAAAAAACTATAACAACTCCTCAAAAATGAAATGGTATGGGTTGCCGAGAAGGCTGTTCAATTGATAAATTTTTCAACTTTAAATAGCTGAATAGAAAGTATCCTTTAACACATACTGCATGTCAAAAAAATATTCTGCCGTGACCAGGATTCGAACCTGGGTTATTGCGGCCACAACGCAATGTCCTAACCACTAGACGATCACGGCTTATATAGTCAGTCATGATGCATATGTATAAACTCATGCCAGTTTTGTTTAATGGGAAAATGTTTTAACATTTATAAAGACAGTTTTTGAACAGACGAGGGTYGCTTAGTACGGTAGCGGAACAATATCTATGAAGGATACAACAAAAAGGTCGAACGGCCATATGGTCAATTAGTTTCAAAACCAATCGAATTCCAACAGCCTGATCATGTCGAAAGCTGTGATCGATCAGACGACAGAAAATAACCCTGTAATGTTGAAGAGGGAAAATTTTAAGATGACATTAAAAAGACAATTTTCCGAACAGAAGATCGAGAGCCAATCGAAACTTCAGCAAGCTGATCATGTCGTAAGCCGTGATCGTCTAGTGGTTAGGACATTGCGTTGTGGCCGCAATAACCCAGGTTCGAATCCTGGTCACGGCAATTAAATACATTTTTGGATTTTAAGAAAAGTATTTTACTGTAAGATTATTTTTACAAAGTTAAAGCCTCCGATTAAGTGTGATGAAATTCAACCCGTGAAAGCAGAGAAAGAAAATTCCTAGCTYCGTTCTTAAAAATATATGTATATTTGTAATTGTACCCATCGTTCTTTTGGGTCGTGCAAACAGGCCATTCGACAACAGTTTATCTCCTACAACCGTTTATAAGATGTTGGTGGAAGTTACTTAAAGTGAGAATGCAATGTCCTCTTTCTWATTTCTGGTCAGGCTGAAAATAACTCTGTAAYGTTGAAGAGGGAAAATGTTTTAAATGAAAAAGACAATTTTTGAMCAGAGARAGCCARTCGAACTTCAACATCCTGATCACATCGTAAGCCGTGATCGTCTAGTGGTTAGGACATTGCGTTGTGGCCGCAATAACCCAGGTTCGAATCCTGGTCACGGCAATWAAATACATTTTTRAATTTAAAAGAAAAATATTTTACTCAGTGTAAGATTATTTTTTTAATAAAAGTTAAAGCCTTCGATAAAGTGYGATGAAAGTCAACCTATGAACAGCATACACAGAACGTACAGTCGACAGAAAATAACCCAGTATTAAATTCACCATAAAATGTGTTCGCGCATGATATAAAACAAACAAGACAGCTGATTGTTATATGGACTTTATTATCATCTTTTCATATATTGTTATCATTTATGACCAATAAAATAAATAAATACATTATGATTAACAACGCTAKTGTCACCTTCTAATTCTCTATATATTTACACAGAAGTATCTACAGACATAGAGGCCCGATTCACACGGAACGATTGTCGCATGCGACTTGTTGTATACGACTCAAATGAGCTCCAAATCGTGCCTTGCCTTCAACARTCGTACGCAACCTTCGACTTGTCGTAGGATTTTGAACCACGGCTAAAAATCCTTGTCGTAGGGAAATCGTATACTCAGTACAAGTCGGACGCGACTATCGAACCGTCTAAATCGCCCTTAAAAGTATATATTCRACTTATTTCGATTCTTTGATCTTACTATGAAAGAAGCGCTCCACGATGTTCGCACATTTATAGTATTCCGTATCAGGYGAATTATACGTTCGACAATTTTGAAAGATACGTCTTATATCAGCGATGAAGAGCTTCTTGGAGCTGTAATAACCACTCTTTAATCTCTCGGTCATTGTCTTGAGATCTRCAAGAGAAAACCGAATACAGAATGATACGAAATATTCTAAAAACGATACGAAAACGCATGAGTAATGACAACGCCCAGTTCACACAMGCAAAACAGWGAATTGTGATGTAAGAATTAACAGAGAAATGAGGACAAGCCTAAGGCATCTGTCACTTGCTCTACAACTTAAACACATCATTTTTCATAATAGTCTTACCCATAGGGTACTTTATGTGGTCATAATAATCAGGTGCGTCTGATCGTTCGACGGGCTTTTGAAATGGCCACGAACTTGCATGGTTCTAGTGTAATAAGTTAGTAATGGCGGTTAGTATTTCTTGAGTATTATCATGATCATTGCATTAACTGATCGGAAAAGGGAGAAATAACATGAGATGCAATCCATAGAAAAAGGAAAAATGCAGCTTCCTCCGTGTCGGAGTCTGATCAGCTGGTTAAACCCCTCCATCCCAATCTCACTCGGAAAGACAAGGAACGCCTGGCTACATATGATTACTTTACCTTAACTTGGGTGAGAATATTCTTCAACTGTGTCTGTAGTACAGCAGGATCAACATCTCCATTAGCACTAAAAAACAGATGACATGTTAACGATAACTTTAACTAGCCTGGGTTACCTGTGGCCCAAGAAGCTTGGAACCAAATAGGCCAGATTACGTCACGTATACTGGTTTGTTCGTGTGACAAAAGACTAAACATCATGTACCATATGGCATACATAAGATACCGACACCCACCTTTTCTTCATGGAGCTTTTCCAACCTGTTTCACCTACAAAGAAGTCAAAATGTTWGCTAAATTTCGTGAAATGTGACTCGGGGCAGTATACCCCCTACTCTTCAACCTTCCCCTATCCCTAGTTGATTACCAATAWTACTTACTTAGCCCTGGTACACTTTCTATTGGTATTTGTCGAACTCCATCTTTAAAACATGTCAGACCAGGATACACACGGCGGATTTGCTCTTGCTTACTGGAGGTTAGTTTCTTGATAATCTAAAAAAAAGTGTTTACATGTGWGGGTTTTTCAACATAAATTGAACAACAGAGATATGCGTCTATTGTCATCATAGGGGTGGTTGACATGAGAGATGGTGCTTTTGGCTGCTGAGTGATATGATTCGCCCAGACAATGCAGCACGGCCTAAGGGGTAATGAGATAACGTCTGGTAGACACAAATACTGGGAAGGTCAAATCAACCAGTAACATTGCACGCAAGTTACACAGGGGAGGTTGATGTAGTGTAATTTCATGTTACTCAAAGTTCGTGCAAACCTCCATTCCCGAACATATCACAGGTTCTTCCAATTTTTACCGTGAATCATTGCTTCAGGGAAATGTACTAAACAAAAGAGTTATATGCAAGAGACGCAAGAGCATGCTTTCTCGTTGAATTACCTCTTTTTGTTTTCGAATTATTGTTGAAAACTCTGTATACTGGATGGARTCATTGACTTGACACTGCAAAGAAATGTAGGGTGATGATGAATCTCTATCATTTTTAGTTTCCAAACGGAAAATCGAAGACTCTTGTTAGAGACGAATGAGACTTTGATTTGATTGGCTCAAAAATTCCCATGTGCCATCAGTACTATATGCATATATTGTACGGCCCAGATTTTGTGACTTCCAGTTTGTCTCCAGCCAGAGCCATTAATTTTCCGTTAGAAAATCGAGGAGTTTCTGGGTAAGAGAATGGCAATATAGCCAAGATACCAGACTTTGTTTCTTACGTGCATTAACGTTGCTCCTTCATAGTCTTTGATATATCCAATATACGATGTTTTAGGGATTTTGATGTCTTTACTGAAACCCTACAAAATATCACAAAAATATATCATCTCGTTTTTACGGACCAATGTGGGATGGAAAAGAGAATGACGACAAACCTGTTTCTTAAAATAACCAATAGCGTACTCGTCAGCATACGTCATCAGGTTGACAA